GGGGAGGATTTCGGAGGGGAGTTTGGGGTGGATGAGCAGGAGGATGAGAAGAAGGTGGTGGAGGAGGAGGAGGAGGAGGAGGAGGGTGTGGATGAGGCTGCGGCTGCAGGCGCGGATGCAGCTGTGACTGCAGCTACGGATACACCTCGTGTGCAGCAAGAACCTCCCATCTCAACCACAACCACAACCACAGCCTCAACAACAGCTTCAGCAACATACCCCTCCAGCAACAAGACCCTCAGTGCCAGCTACACCTGCGTCTGCGTCTGCACCAGCAACTACATCCCAAGACACTCCCTGGCTTGACCGAGCCATCGTCGGCGTCATCATCGCCCTGGTCGCCATGATCCTGCGACGTCTGACGCGCGACATGGACTTGGAGTGATCCATCCTTTTTCTCTGCTTATACTTGCGATCAATATGAAGCAATGGTGTTTGGCGTTGGATGATATCTATACAAGTACCCTGGGTCAAGGTTTAATGGTTTTGGTTGTGTAAATTAGATTGTTATGTTATCTATGGTTATGTGATGGTCGATAGGAGGTAATTTCAGTCATCTATCGATTAGAATGTTCGCGGTGGTGAAGGGTGTAAGTGTGGTAGTGGTAGGCTTGGGATGGAGATGAGCGTAGCATTCAAGGGGTTTGTCCTGTTCAAATGCCATCCATCTGTGGGCTGACTGTGTGTGGGGATAGTGATAGAGCGATATGGAGGGATAATTCAGGGTATTTTCTGGTATGTGTTATCTGTAGACAAACAAGCCTTGGGTCTGATATACTAGTAGAAGGTAGTAAGGGACATGAAATCTGTGTCTCAAAATAAACTCGACTCACCAAGTCATGAGCTACTACATCGCTATAGCATAGCAGTCATTTAAATTTGAATCATGCTAAAATGTACATCATCAAATATCCCCCAATACCATCCACCACCATTCTCGTACTACCCATCCTGATTGTTGTGTCGCCACACCCAACCCCTCCAGCCACTCCAACAGCAGCTGCACCTCCCACTCGCCCATCGTCGGCTTCAACATCCCCGCTATCACGCTCGCATTGATACCCGGCCGCGTCGCTACGCATCCTACTACCGCCGCCAACGCCATGTCCCACAGCACCCGGACAAACGACCCGTGGATGTCATACCACAGCGGTATCTTCGCCGGCAGCTGCGTGGCCGCATCGATGCCCTGTGGACGCGGTGGTACAAGGCTCCTCATCTTCTCTTGGATGGGGTTGCCGTACACATACGACTTGGCCGGACGCACCTCCATCGAGAACCGCAGCTTGTCCTTGTCGATCTGCCGCGTCAGGTAGCCCCCGTCCGTCAGTCCGTACTTCTCGCGCGGCACATCGCGCGGGTGAAGCACCACACGACCCGTGGCAAACAGGTTGATCACTACAAGCATGTCGCCATCTTCCGCGTTGTAGTCGATGTCCATGTATCCCTGCTTACGCAGTGTCGGATCCAGTATCTCGGTCTTGAACCGCTGCGCCCGCCGCAGCTCGGTACTTTCGATGACTCGTCGCCGGCCCAGTGCCAACAGGAAGTACTCTGTCACGTCGTAGTTCCGGCCTGGAGTAATGCGACCTCGGTTGCCCATAGAGAGCGCTCGTTCTGTTACCAGAGACTGCAACGCCTGCTGCACCACGTGCTCTCCAAAGACTTCCAGCGCCTGTCGCGCCTCGGCCGGGCGATACTTCTCCTCTGGTGTCACCACGTTGGCCCGCACCCAGGTCTTGACCACCTCCAAGCGTGACAGCTCCGCGCTCCGCGGTTGAGGCCGATTGGATTTCTCTGGCAAAGGAGCAGCGAACGGGACACCAGCGATCAGGGCGCGCTTGCGGCCCATGGTAATTGACTGGTTGGTTTGGTACAGTTCATCTATTGGCACGAGCGCCTCCTCCCTTAGTTCAAAGACGCTGTCAAACTGTTCTCGCGTTGCAGGCAAATCGGGGAGCTTCTCGGACTTGGGTGCATCTAGTTTCGTGTTCGCCCACTCAATAACCCCCTTCCAGTCGTACCCTTCCAGGTTGTCGTAGTCAATGGGAGGGACTTGGTCATTAGCATACGCCTCGATGAACCTATCTTGGAAATCGCCTTGCATCTTGGCGATCTGTAGGCGATATTTTCCAAGAATCCCCCTAGCTCGGTGGATTACAAAGGCTGGGTCCATGTCCGGGAAGCAACAACAGAGAAGGGACCAATCAACCAGACGAGCATCGGAGCCTCCAGCTAAGCTGCGCACAGCAACGATTGCGGCTATGAACTGCTGGACTAGTGTGCGTGGCATCTGTGAGACAAGACGGCTCCGGCGTGTTGGTTGGCGCGGGATGGGCTGGGCCGAGGCAAGCTTATTCCCGTCAGTAGAAATGCTCTCATTCAATTTGGTAAGACGACGGTGCCCAGGCTCCATAGCAGATTCGGACCGTCTTCGCCGCGATTGTGAAGTTTGACGTTCGAGGCGTGCCTTATGTCGAGTAATCATGGGTGTCACTTCTGTAGCTACCTCGCCGGCCTCCTCGTCGACATCGAACCGAATATCGCCTTCGATGCCGGGAGTCTCCATGTTCTGAACAGTCTGGTTGATATAGAACAGATCTGCACTCTTTCGACGAAGCAAATCCTCGTGGCTGAGCTCCCACTTGAGAATAGTATTGTTATCCCGGAAGAACTGGCGTGATCGCGGGTCAGCTTCTCCGGAGTCGTCCATGATTCGTCTCCGCGTCTGGCTGAACAGGTCATCAAGGGAATGCGGTAGGTCATGAGTCTTCTTTCTCCCAACCGCTTTCGCACGGTCTCTGGCAGCTTGTATAGCCGGGATTCCAGCCTCCGTACCAAAAGTTCCAGTGGTGCCATGGAACGTCGACTTCGTATTCATCAGCATCGCATGAGGTGCTATAGTAGACCACAATCGCCTCATCTTGCGCAGTGAAGCCAGCCCTGCCTCCACCTGCTGTCTTTGTCCTCGTCTAGGCCCATCGCCCGCACGTCCCGGTCGGGAGATGGATGTCAATGCGCGTGGATCGTCTTGGTCACCGCGACGACTCAAAGTCATCAGTCGCACGATCTCCGCACCATCTGCTGTCTCATACTCCTCTCCCATACTCAAATGTTGCAACAGTTCGCTTCGCAGCATGTGGCGTCGCCGTTTTTCCACGGCGCGAACCATTGCCGGCTTTTGGTGCAGCTGTACGGTAATACCCCGTTCCACGGGGAGCTGGGAGAGTAGCTTCTCATCTCTGCGTGGCGTACCCCGATTGCCATTCTTCGAGATCTCTGGGTCGATTTCAACATTAGGGGGGAAGTAGTATCGATCTGTGGCCAGCATTTCTTTTTGCATATCCAGAATCATGGGGTCGTCGGGCTTCATGTCAGCCTTATAGATAATCTTCTTTGTTACCATGACGCCCTTCCTGTCTCGCCCACTGAAGGTCAGCTGCCGGACTTTGCCGGCATCAACCATGGTTTTGACGACCGATCTGATTGTGCGCAGATCGGGTATTTCCTTGTGTCGCTTCTTTTGCCAGGCTGTCATGAATGGATACCAGATTTCTGTACCCATAGGATACGCTCCGCCGGCTTGTTCCAGGATATCCATGACGATCGATCTCCGGAGAACAGCGACAGAACCACCTTTCTCTGCAAATATCCTTCGCTTTCTACCAGAAGGCTCAGGTACTTCTGGGGCACCTTTCTTTTTCTGTTCTGTCGCGTCTTCGACCGTGGAGGGCGCAGCTGGTTCAGTCAAGCTTTGTTGAGTCGCTTCGCTGGCCGTGACATTTTCTGAAGATCCATTGGTAACGGCATCCCTCCCAGATGGCCTTTCAGCCGCGGAAGCATCAGGCTCACCTTCAACGGCATCGGCTTTTCCGGTTTCAGCAGCAGTCAAATGGGTGGTTGTACCTTTCTTGTCCCGTAAGGCTCGTCCAGAGCGAGTCCGTTTGGAAGGGGTTCCTAAATCCTCATTGCGAGTGGCGGTTTGACCATTGCTATTTCGAGGGAGTCTCCGGGCCGAAGCATTATCTGACACAGTGCCGCCGTTTGTCTGCGAGGCAACCTCCTCTGGGAGCATAGGCGACACTGCTCTTTTTCTTTTTGTTCGCATCAAGGGTGACGTCTGCGTGTCTTCAGGTTCACGCTCGAGCAGTTCTGCAGTCGACGAAACATTTTGTGTGTCGCTATTGACTTGCTCAACACGGCGGTGCTTTGGCGCACTTTCACCCTCCATTCCATGTTCAGTATCTGACTCGCGCTCATGCAATCTTTTGGAGCCTCTAACAGAAAGAGCTGGAGGAGTAGATTGGGGTAGGAGAGCATCATCATCATCGACTGCAGGAGAGGCCTGAGGCCGTCCGCTGGCCTGCAAACGAGTCTTCCTGGATACAAGTATAGACTCGTCATCCGGCTCGGCCGTCTCTTTCTGGAACCAAGGCAGAGTTGCCAGCTTCAGTGTTTTGAATACAGCGATCCGGCTAATTTTCGGGCGCCCCTGCCTCTTGCCAGCCGGTCGCCGACGTCCACGCGAAGTAATGTACACACCCGGCCCGGCGCGTTCTATGAGTAGGACACTGTACTCCGTCCAAGTATCATCCAAACCAAGAGCCTCAAGCTTTTCCTTTTCAGACATGCCTCGGAAGGCTTCGGGGTCTAGTTGTGACTTTTTTGGACGGCTTTTTACCGGTTTTACAGAGGGCACGTCAGCCATCTCTGTATCAGAGCCATCCTGGCGTTCTATCTTCACCCTAACCGGCGTGGCATAAGGCTGCGCAGTTGAGTCACCAGAACCCCGAATACGTTGATGGATCGTGTATGTTCCATCCTCCAGGCGTGCCGCTACGGCATCGCTGCCGGAAAAGACGTAGTTTGCCGGCTTGACTACCGATATGCACTCCAGCAGTGTAACATTGCCATCCTTCAACAATTCCTTCTTCGGCACAGCGAGGGTGAGCCCATGAGCATCAAGTTGAGGAACAGCATCAACGGGATGAATGTGCGCGTTGCTTGACTTCGCTTTTTTCGCGGAAAATTCAACCGCCTCCCACAGCGCCTCCCCTGAATCGACTAGCTGCTTGAAGTTCATTGCAGTATAATGCACATAGTGAGTGATAGTGCGCTGGAGCGCCGTGTCTCTCACGATAGCCAGATGGCGCAGGTGCGGAGGTTGGGATAGCTGCCAGCATTCTACGAGACGACTCACTGCATTCTCCAAAGGTCTTCTAAAGTAGCCGCCAAAACAGGCTCTCAGGATTCCCTAGGTAGCTTCAGTCAACGTTTGCTCAGGGTCTTTATTACCAGTCATCTGTCAGGTGCTTACCTGATTGGTAATACCGTCGGTTCCTGTTTGATCAACAGTCTCAAAGATCTGATTGTGTATGTTCCTATCTGGCGACCAAGAGGGGAGAATCCGGCCAGCCTCTTCTACTGCTTCGCGCTTCACTAGACCGACTGTGCCGTTGCTGTCTGGCTGCAAGGGGCTCTGTGATGTGCCATCTTGCTCCATATCATCCTCAATATCGAGATTATCTTCCTGTTCTAGATTGGAAAGTATGCCGCGACTGAATTCGTTGAACAGTTCGAAATCTCTCTCCGTTGGTTCTCGTATGAGCATGACGCAAGGGTGGAACTTCTTCAAAGTATCGGCATACTGGGACAAAGCTCGAACACGTTTGAGGACGCCGATACGTTCGAACTTCCGAAGCGCACGGGATAAGATCCTCCAGCGCCAGTGATCCTCAAATCCAAGCTTCTGTTTCAGATCATTGCGAGAAATAATCTGGTATTCCTGAAGGATCTGGAAGAGCTGATCAAGGAACTCTTTGAAATCGATCATGTTCTCTTGCTTGGTCGCATTTGAATTCTGGCCAGTCTCCCTGTCTACAGGGGCGTGCTCTGGTGTCAAGAACTTGCGCAAGGTACAAAGACTGGTACGAGTGGACTTGACTTGGATGGCCCGTTTCTCGATGTAACCCTTTTGCTGCAGAACATCCGTACGCTTCGGCACGGAACGTTTGTCCTGGCCACTGACTTTGACTAATTCTGTCTGCGCAATGCCATTGTGCTTGCGCGATGCAATGATAGAGAGTAGAGCAAACTCCGTGGGGAACACCTTGGTTTCATCCGGTCCGTGACCAGCTACTGCGAGCCAGGTTCGCTCTTTAGACACAAACACCCGGACCGAGTCCGATGCTCCGTTGGCGGTTTGATCTGTCTCTGCATTGGTTTGACCACGCTCGGCATCTTGGAGGCTGAGATGGTTTCCTTCTCTGTCTTTGCCAACGGATACCTCTGGGTTCTTCGTTAACCAGGACCAGACCTTCTCCTGGAACCGACGGTCCACGGTGTGCTTGCGGCCAGCTGCATCTTGCGCCGCCTTGGCATAGAAAGTATCGGTAAAGGTTAGTATATCGGCAGGAGAAGCGCCTGAAGAAGGTTAGTTGACTAGTCCTAATAGTACTAGAACCAATGCAATTATAACAGATAAAGTTTATGCAGGTATCCAAAGGCAAGGTTCACCGTTGAAAAGACCCGAGCTGGATGTTCCGTCATGGTCCAATCAGACGGATAGCGCATGCAGGGGTTGGCCATGTCGGTGGGGATTCATTCGAGACCGTCACGATCGGAAGAAAATTGGAAAAGACAAGCAACTGACCTTGATCGCCGCAGAGGGCAATCTCCGCAAGGAGAAAATCAATCAAATCGCGTAGACTCGGGGCCATCTTAGGCCATGTCACCATCCAGACTGTCTCATTCAAATTTCGACCAACAGGAATTGAGGTCAATCCATCTCCCAGACAACGGGTTGGGGAGCAGAAAATGGAGGAAGATGCAGAGACAGAGGCGCGATTCGAACCAGCGTCGCGGAGGATATGCGACGTTGAAGCCCGAACCCGCCGCGGGGGTGGCGGAAGGCTGTCACGTGAATTATATGTCAGGACTTGTTATGTAATATCGGTGTCTATGTAACCACCTACAGATGCCCGTGCCCTTCACTTTAGGAGTGAATTCTCCAGTGGTGCATTCGAGCTAACGGCTCGGCCACCTGCTGGCAAGAGACTAGAGATCCAAAGCTGGCAGTTTTAGTATAAGCTTCACTTGGATAGAACCCACTGTATGTAGTTATTACGGTGCGCTATTCTACGTATCTCACTAGTCTGCCATTGCACATTGCTGCACCACAGGTATCACCTGACAGTACTATTAAGCAAGCTCATTGTTCTGTCATGAGTGCAGACGTTCAGATCTACTACAACTAAGATCCTCAAAATCCCAGTCTAGCTCCTAGGATGCTCGCATACCTTTCCAGACAGGCTTTACTACTACCATCCTTGGGCTAGTGTCTTGTGTACCTAGTTGTCCGACTACCCGCTCCAGACTATGCTAGGTTCATCTTTATCCATATTGGATGTGAACTACACTCTGCTGTATGATTGGAAATCGAGCCTGCGATCAACCCTTACATGAGATTTACATTAATCTATACCGTGTAACATTCAGTTCTCACAAGAAGTACTACAGACCACGGCCCAGGTTCGCTGCTAGGACCAGCCTCCACCCATGAAACATCTTCATTCTCGTCAGGCCAGTTATACGTCGGTTAGGTTTGCAGGAATGGCTAGACCCGGAAGTAGGTGGTGAGAACACTTGTGCTTAGTTTAGGCAGAGAATATGGATAGGGTAGAAATATCAGGAAGATGCGTTTTAAACCTCGTGTACATCATAAAATATACGGTCCAATGATTTCTGCCACTTAACATGATTGTGGTCGAGCTTAAATCCTAGGCCAGAGAGTTTTGACTCAAGAAGATCAGTCCAGTCGTAACGAGAATCGTCTGCAATATCGAGATTAACCCCCCACTGCGGTATGGCTTAAGGAATCCATAATTTTGGATAGTACCCAGCTGACTCCCAGTCTAGGATAGCCTTCACAGCACCATCGTCTGTGAGGAGAATATTGGTTGGACTAAGGTCAGAATGATAGAAATGAAACTTGTCTCCTATAGGGGGTGCCGGCAGGGTTGATATTCTGTTGAAATACTTCTCAGCTGCGATGCGAGAGAAGGGACCCAATGGCCGGGGTTTCCAGGACGGGTGAGACGCTTCTGGATGCACGGTTAGGAAAGGTTCGAGAACTCCACAGCCTGTTGCAGACTGTAGCTTCTCCGAGGTTTCTTCGGTAAGATCGCGGCAGTATCCTGCAACGGTGCAAGCGACCTCAGCTTTTTGCTCTGCAGTTAGAGACGGCCAGGCACTCGCCAGAGTTTGCCCTTGGATCCGTTGCAAGATTAGGAAGGACCTATTGAGTTTCTCATCGGTCCACGAATAGATCACCTCAGGGATGGGGATATGTGGGAACCGGGATGCGATGAAAGCAAGTGTGTCGCTTTCTCTTCCCACTCCATCAGACCATGTCTTGACCTTACAGATTGCCTGTGTCCCGATCCCCCAGACAGCGGATGACAAGCCAGCCTGGTAGATGAGGCCATCGGCTGGCTCCCCTAATGAGTTGGCACTGGTAGTTTCAACTATGTAGAACTGCCCATCACCCTCGTCCCAACTGGCAACTGCAGTATTGGGAATCCCGCTTGTAGTCTTTTTGCAAAGAAACTTAGAGCCCATCTGATATGTATCCGGGCTCAATTTTGAGACAGATGCCTCGATTGGAGGGGAAGGCTTGCTACTTTCATTAGCACAATGCTTTCTCAAGAAGTTCGTGATAGTCGTTACCGGAAGATCATCTTTCAGTGGCGGTAAAGCGAGAAATTCGAACTGGTGAGGAAAGAAAGAAGGTCAGGCAAAGGTCAGCTGAAAACAAAATATAGCGAGAAGGCGGAGTAAGTATAGTAACATGTTGTGACAGAAATCATTCATTGTGCGGCAGGATCCATTATCTACAGCATGGCGTGCAGGAAGCTAGAGTGGACTGTTACACAGTAAGAGTTTTTCGCAGGTCATAGTACTGCTCAGTCATTGCATGTTCCGCACGATAGCAAGATTCATGGTTAGTAGTGGTAGTACTAAGATCGTGAATAGAACCCACTCAGCTATATCTTTTTTGATCTTGTGACTTCCATTTCTGCGTTTATCCTCTACGAGCAAGGTGTTTTTGTCACTAAGATTGGCCGGTCAGGTCCGCCAAATTCACGAGACTTCAATATCTCATAGAATGGATCAGTGGTTGACTGGTTGTACCCGAGAGAAATGGGGCTAGTGGGGACTGGGCCGGGAGTGGATCATTTGTTAATTAAGTCCCTTAGGGACCGAAGTCAGGGACTGTGTTCAAACCTCAAGTACTATTATCATTGCCCCTGCTAAGTGGTAGAAGTGATGGTCACTGGCTGTTAACTTATTCAATGCGCTCCAGTAACTCTTCTGATACTTTTATATTCTGCAAAGCCAGCAACCCATTTTCAACTTGTCTTCTTCTGGCATCCGCGAAACCGCCCCTGGCACAACATCATTATGGAAGACGACCAGACTTCCAGTCGTGGTCCGTGAGTACTGGGAATATGAGGATGTCTGTCCTCTCCCCCTTGGTATATCACAAGAATGAAGAAACAAAGCAACGAAGATGTCTCACAAAACCCTGTGCAGAACCGGTCTGGAGCGCGCGGGATCGACCACTAGTAGCATGACATCACGGCCCGGTTACGTCAGGCATCACGGCCAAAACCAACCCGAATCCGCCGATGGCAAAATACTTCCACAAAAAGCCTTGGGCTCGTTTACGAGGCGTCCCTGCCGTCGTTTCCGGCCTGTCTGGCTTATCTCTCGTCATTCAGATTGACTTCATCTGGGAATTGTCCTTCCTGTTCCTCCCATCCCCATTCCCGTTTCTCCCGTCATGTCTTCCCTTGTCTCTCGAATACTATCACCCTAGACCCGGTCATTGCAGATTGCGTGAGACTGACAGATTAAACTTCGCCCACCCGCACCACGACTGCCAACTCGATGGACGAAGAATCGAGGCCCGCTGCGTGTCCTGAGCCTCCGCCGCTCCCATACTCCTTGCGCTCGAGGAAGAAGTCCATCGCCATCTTCTGGACAATCTTTGTGATTGATACTTTGGCCCAGCCGCTCGTCCTCTACTGGGCGCTCTGGTACGCCACTGATCTTTCGCATAACTTGGGTACGTGAAGATTTGCTTCTGTATCTCATTTTCTCATCACCAACTCATTGATTATCCTATAGTCTTCAGTATTGTGACGGCTTCGTTAGGAGGTGTATCGGTATTCGAATACTTCTATCGTCTCTACAACTTGTTCCGGAAAGACTCGCGAGCACGGCCATTGAACGCTAGGAAGGGATGGGTATGCTTTCCGTGGCTACAATTCGCTGGAAGTGGGTGCTGACCGGATGTAGCTGGATTTCTTTCATATCAATTTCACCATCGTCTGGTTGATACTGGCAGTTGAGCTGATTGTGTAGGTGTTTCCATCCATTTGTCTACGGACTATACTGACATCATCACAGAGGAACCGTTCCACAAGAACCATATGGTAAAACCTATTCCTTCCATCTTCTTCGTGTCCTGGCTAACCCTCGTGGTCAATAGTCCGATTAGTCGCCATGGTCCTTCCGACGGTAATGTTCTACTTCGGCAGCATGTATCTGGCACTCGACATCCTTCGTGTTTGTGGTGTTAAAGCACCCTTCCGGATCTCATCAACGCCTAAAGGCTCGACAATGCCGACCGCCCTATATGTTTTGATCGAGGATGTAGTGGCAGTTGATGGAGGTGGTGGTCAGATCTACCGATATGCGCTTCGCACCCGATACCTATCTAGCCCGTACTTCCGGCGTATGCTGTTCCAAATGAACTGTTTTTGGGCTGGAGGATCTATCGTTGTCGCTGCCGCCATTACGGCAATTATATTTACTGTTTCGGAGCCAGTCGCATACACTGTAAGTGATTCCAAGCAACTGTCAACAATTTGGTACTAAGTGATGTGTAGCTAGGATGGTCCTTACCGTTCGCATGGGCTGGCCTCTGGACGTTGGTCACGATACCATGGGTCCAAAGCGACCTTCGGCGCGAGAAAAAGGCTTGGGCAGAAAACCGGGGCCAGGGAGGCATCCCATACACCGATGATCCTGATGCCCCCAGTGGTGGTCGGACCAGGCTTGAGGCGATGCAGGATCATCTGCCAAGTTTCGTGCCTTGGTTCCGAGAAAAGCAGGCTCCCCCGTCTACACCGAGTGATCATTGAGCTATGCCCAGATGGCCGCAGAGCCGTTTCAATTCTACCGGCCGTGACGCTACCAGACCGCTAGCTGAGTGATGAAGACCCAAAAATATGTTATGATGGAATGTTTATGACGGCCTGAGCCACTGTACTATATGCACCGATACCCTGCTTGTTCCCACTGCTTCTTACATTATTGGATATGCTTTTAGCCCCTGTTAAGAGACTGCATAGCATTGACAGACTCATTCTTGTCGATTGCGGCATGTCTCCCAGGGTTGTTGATCTAGCATTGGCATCACTTTCTGCAGCTAGCATAGATAGATTTGATACTTCGTACCAATCCAAACAAGCACTCTGCCTTCCGATCCACTCACAACAGGTGATTAGAGCCGCGCGACAGGTGTTCCTTGCCATGTTCTCTCCAAGGGTATGCACAGCACGATCTAGGTATATCGTCCACGTAGTGGTCCACTCAGCAAGTGTCCCATTACAGTGCAAAGTTGCAGCATAATCATCCGCTGCGCACCACTTCGCGTCCGCTTCAACTGGAGTGGCATTATCAATGCCAGCGTCCACACTGATAGTCGGACACGAGCCTCGGCTCCTAAGTCATCGGAATTTGCGTTCACTCTCAAGTCTCAGCAGCAGACGATACCAGCGCTTCCAGCAAACCAGGTGGACAGCACCGCTGTATTCACATCACTGAATCAACTCCCAATGTCCTCTCAAGTCGACGGCCTCAACGCGTAAAACCTCACAGGCAACAGCTTGAAATTCTTCGGGAACCCCAGTTGCAATTCCGACGCAACAAGCACCAACCCGGCCTCCTTAAACAGAGTCCGAAGCTTCTCATCCGTCCTCGTAACACTACTATCCTCCTCATCAAACATATCCCACCCATTCGGATCCGTCGACTGATTCTCCTTCACGACCATTATGCCCGTCTCCGTCAAGGCCTCCCGACACCGAACAAAGTACTCCCTCAACTGCACATCCGTAAGATGTCCCACGCAGAACTGCGTCCAGATCAAATCGTACTTGTTCTTCTCAGGATACCAATTCTCCAGACCCATTGTGTAGATATCCCCGACAACACCAATGCGTTTCAGCTCCGAATTCCGAATCACCTCGGTGAACTTCTCAATGGGCTCGACGGCATCGACGCGCTCGCAGACTTGGCTGAGGAGACCCTCGGTGACGCGACCCACGCCCGCGCCGCAGTCCACGCCGAGAGGGAGCTTCCCCTCCGTCGGGCAATTGGGGATCATGCGACGGACTTTGCCGAGGAAGGTCTTAGATCCTCTGAGATCGATGCGCGTGTACCATGGGTACGAGCCTAGCATGCCCAGCATGGTCTTTGTGTTGGCGGCGACGGAGTTCCAGTAGCGGAGGGAGGCGGCATGGTCGATGTGGGAGTCGGGAGGGGCGTCTGTGGGGGTGGCCATGGTGTGTTGCTGCTCTTTGCAGTAATGTAGCACAGCGCAGTGCAGTGCAGCTGTAGAAATAAGCTAGAAGTGAGTAAGTGAGCAAAAGAAGTAGAAATCCTGCAAGGGATGCATCCCACCCGATGTGATGTTGTTGATGCGGGATAAAATTTCCCTTATCGATCGGCTTATCTAATCGGTGCAGAACTACACCATCAATCATCCACAATTCCTATCGGAGTCAAGCGTCAACAGATTCCAACGGCGCGGTCCAATAGTGAAGAATACAAGATAGAAGATGGATGATTCACCTGGTGACGAGCATCTTGCGTTTATGCAATGGGCCGAGGCGTCAGGGATCAAGATAAAGGGTGTCACGCCGGCACGATTCCCCGGGCGACGTTTGGGGATGAAGGCGACGCGAACAATAAAAGTAGGCTGCTGAGACTGTACTCCTTAGACTAGGAATGGGATATTGTGGTGCATTGCTAATTTGCCCAGAACAATGAGATAATGCTCACCATTCCCGTGGATCTAATGCTAACTATCGACTCCATCCCATCATCATTTACCTCGCAATTTCCCTTGGGAACATCCATCCACGGGATAATGGCTGCGTTTCTCACGCACGGGGACCCATCTCTGCTTAAGAGCCTCGAGGCATGGCGGAGTGTCTGGCCCTCGTATGACGAGTTCGAAGACAGCATGCCGGTTCTCTGGCCGGCACATCTTCGGGTGTCGAATTCAAGCTACGGAGGCAACGCCGACTCTTCCTCACCAGAGAAGCAAGATCAAGATCATAATCGAGGAAAGATACTTCTCCCACCCTCCATCTCGGGGGAATGGAACACTTTCCCCAAAGTCCCTGTAGGTGTGGACTACGACACACGATACCAGAACCTACTCAGCCAGCAAGAAAAGCGACTAAAAGATGCCTGGGCAAATGTCGTCAAAGTCTATCCTGAGACAGAGTGGAAGATGTTCGCCTATTACTGGTGCATTATCAATTCGAGGAGTTTCTATTATGTGTCGCCTGGGAAAGATGAGCCAGAGGATTGGAATGATGCGATTGGAATGGTCCCGTTTGCGGACTATTTTAATCATGTTGATGATGCGGTGGGTTTATCCCTTTGTTTATGTACCATCTGTATAAGGGTGTGTGATATTGATTATATACAGGCATGCGAAGTCAATTTTGACGGAAAGAAGTATACTTTCCGAGCAACGCGGCGATACGGTACTCTCTATCCCTTCCACACTATGAGTGCAGAGGACTAACACCATTCAGAGAAAGGCGAAGAAGTCTACATGAGCTATGGCAACCACTCAAACGACTTCCTTTTAATTGAGTGTCAGTCTATAACCCTTCTATCAATCCCAACATCCCATTCCCAATTCATTCAACTAACAGACAAAAGATGGTTTCACCCTCTCCACCAACCCCTCCGACTGCATCTACCTCGACGACATAATATTTCAGGATCTCAGCATATCGCAGAAACAAGAATTAGCGAAACAGGAGATCTTCGGGTGAGCATAACGACCCTCTTATTCATTTTTTCTCAACACCCTAGAAAACAACCATGTATCCGGATACGCAATACTAACTTAGCATACCAAAAGAAACTACACCCTCTCCCACCCCCTATCTTCCGAAAGTCCCCTGCGCTACGCCGCATGCTTAAAATACATGAACACCCGGGACTGGCGCGCATACGTATGCGGACGCTCAGAGCGGGGCGTCGACGAGCAGAAGACCGCGAACGTGATACGAGGCTGGGTGGAGGTGTATCTTAAGGAATGCATTGGGACGATAGAAATTATTGAGAATATGATTCAAGATCTTGGAGAAGAGATTGGGGATAGTGATAAGAAAATAGGATCAAAAGCATGGGAACGAGAGAAGCTGCAGATGTTGTTGGATAGATGGGGACAGATTAGACGGTTATGTGAGAGCGTTCTTGAAGACTTGGAATAGTCTGCATATTACAGCTGCAATGATGGACCAGTTGGAAGGTCATGGCCAGACTTTCACATGATATACTCTGCATTGCACTTACATAGACATGGAAGAAAGACGTAATCAAATCTTGCATCACTGAATAGACCTCATACCGCGGAAGCAGGATCTCCCTCTTGATTCTGTTCTTTACCCCTTTCGTCCTCGGTCCCTACACATGTAGACGGTCAACAAGTATCAGATTAAGTTTGAGTACGATACACTCACACTCTCGAACCTTCTGGTCAATGATCCCCCTGGCAGGCTTCCAAAACGCCTTGAGCCGCTCACCCGGCACCGGCTTTAGAAAATCGACCTCAACCACTCCGATCCCCTTTTCATCAAGGTCATGGTTCATCTCCCGGGAATCAAAACTATTCTCTCTCCCAACATTGGCAAAAGTAATAAACTCCCGATCTCTGACCCTCACAGCATTAAACCACTCAAGCTGATCCTCATTCCCCAGAAACGCCTTTGATAAGGTTTTCCCAATGAAGAACCAGAACGGCCAAGGCTTGTCGAAGTCATAATTGGGACCTGCGCAGGACTGCATGATTGAATTCAGTCTTTTATCAGACAGCCTTTGAGACAGGATTTATTAGCTTGGAACACATGGAATCGATGAAGAGACACTTGGTGTCAGTCACCACTCGACACGAAACTTTACGTACTGAACAACGATGTGACTGATATCGGCTACATTGAGTGTCCGAAACCGGTTTTCGACCGTCAAATCAACCGCAGGAACTGGGACAGTTATGGCCTTGTTGTCTGGGAGTCTCTCGTCCATAAGGTCTTCTGAAATGCTTTGCAACTGTCATCAAATGTAGCAGATGTGATTGTAGACTATATCTACCTTATTCCAGGAAACCAGAGACCAACCTCTAACTTGAAGAGACGATTGTCGACCGGGCTCAACCAAAAAGGGGCATCTTCCCAGGCAGTAACAACAATGCTCGTGTCCTCCAGCGGGTTTATACCTTATGTTACACAGATCCTATCTGGGCCCGAACCGATTTATTCCGCTTTGTACTACTATTTGGAACAGGCACCCCCCTCGTAAGCATAAGGGATGGAAGTAAATGAACTGCGATATCAGGGCTCGGACCGACACGAGAAAAATGAAAGTTGATGCTAGACCAATTATCACTACTTAGTACGCCTGTCATATTTTAGGAAACCCCGCGTGCAAATAAAGCTTTTATCTAACTAGTGACTAGCAAGGCACTTTTCTCGCTCTACCATCATAATAGCATACTATGGCTCATCCCGGTGATAGAAACAAAATGAAAAGGATGTTCCCTGTACAATAAACTTTTGGAACATTTACCTCGATCCTCCTAGGCGTATTTATACTACTACCCATTCTGCCCTTTTTTCTACGTGTTCATTACCTTGTCTGCTACTGTACGTACTGAGTGCATTCATCACATTGACCCTACTATCACTGTCGTCTCTGAAACAAGATGTGCTCTCATAAAGTGTACACCTACATGGAATGTGGACATATGGGCAGTGATGGCCTTGAGCGATGTGGACCAGCTACAGAAAAGGATCAGAACTGTCCGCGGACAATTTGGGATAGTCGCCATGTTGGCGCTCGGCCAGGGAAATGCCATGCTTGTTTGAAGCTCACCCCGCCAGACTCGGATTGATGGGCAAAGAGTGGATGTTCTCGTCTATTCAAGCTGTATGTGATTTGGTAGAGGTACTAGCATCTCCGAAGTAAGCACAGGAGCTAGCAAAAACAACGTTGCGCCTCTTTTCTGTCCCTCCCTATCCTATCCTATACGATTCATGAATATGTTATGTCCACTGCGCGATTGCGCTTTGTCAAAATAACAGTGAGAGAGCCCTGTGCTCCCGTAACCCTTTTCTTCGTACACTATACACCAGCAATAACAGACCAAATGGGAAAGCAAGTGTCAGACAGCGCCACTCGCAAAATAAGATTAATCTATTCCACACAAAAACCAAATATAATCAACTTTACACAAGAAGTGAAGTAAATCACACTATACCCCTGGAACACCTGGAGACATCGATAATTCGTCGATGGAAACAGGAAACCAAAAGCGTTGACGCCTATATACGACCCACTGCGTTGGGGGTATCACACGGCAAATGCGAGGCCAGTAATGTGCAGATAACAAAATGACGGATTATAATAGGGGACAGGTATGATGCGAAAGTTAGCCAACGTAGCAGTCAGCTAAATAGAGCGATGCGGGCTCATTTTCGAGAAGGTATCAGTTTCCGACCAAAATTGCGGATGGATGTCTTATGACTAGTTCTAATAGATTCTTAGCTTGGAAACAATAAATTAGCAGAGACATTACTCACGTTTCTTCCGGCTCATCCCAGGTCTTGATTGTCTGTGACCTGGGCATAGCATTGCCTGAAGTCATGGGTCGAGTGGGTGGGTTGACGATTCGGCGTGATTGCTAAAAGCTGATTAGCGACGTCCTTTCACATTTGCTTCATTCAACATACCTCCCAGCGGGCATCCACGTCAACCTCGCTCGCAGAACGAGAGTCCGGTATCACTCCGCTTGGCTCGTGGAGCATACTGGATCCGAGAGAGTTTGATCGCACAAGCGGAGAACTGCCTGTGCCAGACTTGCCAGAACGTTGTGACTCTGAATATTCGCTGTTCGAGTCTGCACTGGCCATGCTATGAGCATTATCAGACACATTCACCGCGGTATCGGAGTAGTGTACAAGCTGGGTTGAGCTGGCTAGCTCCCGGTATCGTTTCTGCTGCTGCTTTGAAGGCCGGTGGTGTGAGAACTTGTTCCCAAGGATGGCAGGCGCATGCGAGATTAGAGCTTTGATAACATCCTTCTTCAATCGCAAGGCCAGGTCAAGATTCGACCATGTTTTGTTACGGTATTCTAAGACAGGCAACCGGAAAACAAAGTCGTGGAGATCCTCTATGTTGTGCTCTCCCTTGCCTTTGTAGCTCAGACACAGCACTACATCATGCACCTTGACATGGGCGAGCGTCATGTAATTTGACGCGCGCGACATCATCTGGGACAGATCATCAGGAGTCTCCTTTTTGCCCTTGTTCGGTAGTCTTCCCAGTGCGAACTTCTTTTTCTCTTCATTATTTCCTGAACCGCCCGATGTGTTAGCGACGGATTTTTCTGTGGGCTGCCTAGACAATATGCGCAGACTGTCCACTGATCGTTTCTTTGTCAAACCGCCACTCGTTGAGGGTCGGATGTGGTTGTTGTCCTTAGTATCCTTGTGGAGAGGGGTCATGGCGAGGCCTCTGAGCTGCCGATGATGAGACTTCGGTCTGGCCTCTTCCGATAGCGACAGCGTTGGTTGCAGCCTCAGCTCAATTGCTCCTGGACCCTTCAGCTGCAGATCGTCTGTTGAAAGATCACTGTTATCCTGGTGTGCATGAGCGGTCGGGCTTTCTTCTTCATCAGAATCAGATGAATCATCGAGCGGCTTCATGTTTTTGATCATGAACGGCGAGAATCCGCCGTTCTCGAATGCCGTAGATCCGACATTAGGGAACATGTATTCGAACACCTTTTGGCCGAGTTCCCGCTCCAACTGAACCTTGAGAGGGAAGAGGGACACCTCAAAGTCGTCCAAGACAGGAATACCGGCAACTGCCTCCAACATATGCCACTTCACCTTGATCATGCAATCATCAGGGCCGTTAAGACCCCGGGCCTGATCGAGATAAGGCACGATGATCTGAGGATAGATAGCATCTGGAAGAAGGTTCAGACCATACAATCGTTCAACTGCAACTAGGTTATGGTTCGAGCCATCGCTATTGTCCGTGCGGTCATATTCAGCATTCCTGAGTTGGAACTCAACCAGCGGCTCTGTCTGGTCCTTCATCAAATGCCACACCACTTCGCTTGCAGAAATGTTCCAGCGGAGGACGCCTTGTGTCTTCGACATGTTCGGGTCAATCTTCCTCTGAGAGGAGGTAATAGCCTTCATCAAGAAGAAAAGCTCATCCTCACATTGAGTCAGATCTTTCTCCAGCACCAGCCGGTCTTCCCAGCCTTGCTTATCCAAGTACTTGGCATGGATCTGGAAATGTTCCTTGATCTCTTCCAGCTGTCGGATGCGAGACTGAAGCTTGAAAACCATCTCCGGTGCACCTCTCAGATCACTGAAATCGGATGTGAGCATGATCCTCTCCAGACGCTCGTTTCGAACCTTCTCAAGAGGCTCGTTATAGAGAAGAAGATCAAGAATGATGATGTACATAGAGTAGTACTCGGCGGAGTCGCAAATGGCACGGAAGTGAGGAAAGTCGACGCTAATATGGTCCATCCTCGGTTCCGTATCTTGCATACTATACTGTTGGTCTGATTGCCCCTTCGCCACCTCCTCATTGTACTTCAGGCGGAGGTTGTTGTACTTGTCGTACCGCAGACTAGCCGAAGTCTTCTGTATGATCCTTGAAAAGCCGAACGGGTTTAGTTCGAAATCGAATAGTGCCTCAAGGTTTAGCCAGGGTGGCCATGCGGATCCCGGGGGATTTCCATATTTGTTGCCAGCATAGAATTGCAAATGATTCATCAGGCTCTTTTGCGTAGCCACGAAGAACTGGGCACCGTCCATGCAAAGTGAAAAGCGACGCTGCACGAGACCACTGACGTCGTCGGACACCCGCTCCTTGTCCATGATTGACACGACTTGGAGTTGCATGCCTTTCGCGGCGACTACCAGCACGGACTTCTGATTCTTCTCACTCTGCAATTGAATCTGTGGAGCAATGAGACGCAGATGGTAGCTGTTCTGAGGTGTGAATTCCGGCGCGATATTTTCGCTGAACCCATCAGACTTGGCGGCGCTATGTCTCCTTTGGTCAGAATGATGCTCTTGCTCTTCTGCATTCACATAGCGCTTTGCATCACTCAACAACTGTTCGATCCGATCCTCGATACTGTCATCATCCTCGCTGTCGACAAGTCCGCCAGCATCTGATGGGCGTCTTGAGGCAGTCCGGAACAGTTTAGAATGCTTTTGCTTGTTCTTGTTTTGTTCATCGACAATGTCGAGAATGAACTTTACAGCTCTGCGAGACATGTAGTACACAAATCCCCGGCGCTGGCTGACTTGATGAATATAGCGCAGGATGATGTTTCTCAGAGAATTGTTCCATTTCAGCTGGATGTTGTGGATGATGAATCTGTTGTTGAAGTCACTTGCCAGATCATCGTCAGGAGTGGAGTATAAGCCATCCATATCAGCCTCCTTGCCATCATTCGTCGAGTCGGAGTCTGTTCCCATCCGGGAAGCGCTGTCTTGGACGAAAGCTTCGGGATTCCTCTCCGTTGGGAGCTTTTCTTCCCGCGCCAGTTGCCTCTCAATCCGCTGAAGCCCGGCAGTAAGGAAAGTCCGTCTTCGATTTAGTGTTTCTGCCTGCCTAAGATAGTCGTTATGCTGACTCTTAAGTGCGGGGTCAGGATCGACCTCTTTGGCAAGACGGAGTTCCTGCTCGCCGATGGTACGACTACAGTCGCGAGTCTGCGCCTCGACGACAGCAAGTCGGTCTCGGATGAGCTCCATTTGTACCCGACGAGGTTCATTATTCTCCGACATGACGCATTCATGGGTTGGTTCATCACCAAAGGTGCTATACCCCGTTTCATCAGGCGCGATTTCGCCGTGGTCTGTCTGTCGGAAATAGGTAAACCGCGGCGTGAACGCCAAAGGCAAAATCTGCGTTCGAGGGTTTGATTCTTGAGGCAGTATCCAATCCAGCTCCACAAAATCGTCCATGTCTATCCAATCAAGGTTTTGATCAGGAATAGTAAATCGAGACAGGTCAACGGAAGCCACGGGCTGTTGGAAGGACGATATGATGTCGTCTTTGTTTTGCTCGATGTCATCGAGATTGGTGCCCTCAATACTGGCTGACACAGCCCTGAAATCTGCAGACTGCAGATCCAATTCCGCTTGGTTTATCCGCATCGCACTTGCTTTTGTTTGCTTGAGGCGACCCTTTGCCAGAGTCTTGACTTCCTCCCGTCTTTGATGTACATCAAGTTTCAGGCTATCCAACCGGACCTTGATGCCTGTTGCAGTCACGACATCCTCAGCATAGTCTTCACGGTCCTTGTGCTTGTAGATGTGAGCCACAAACAAAGGAGCGAAAAGCAACTGATACTTTACAGTGGCCAGGTGACGGTTGAATTTCTTGCTTGTCTTGGTGATGCCAGGCCACAGTGGTCCTTGTCGGACAGGGAGTGACATAACACCCGAGAAGAGAGACCACCAGTTGAAGAAGTGTGTGAAGAACCGAGGGGTCAAGTGAACGGTGTTGTAGCTTGCAGACGGCTGGACAGAGTCAACGGACCAATTCCTGCTTTCAGGAGCAACAACGGAAATTGACAAGTGGATATGGTTGCTGCGGAACCCGCGGTAGGCATCATAGGTCTGCCCCAAATTAGCTGCTTGAAATCGTCTTGGTACGGGATTTTGGCCTACCTCTCGCTGCGCAGGGTCGACATGAACGGGGTTCTGAAGCACAACTTCGTAGTGCGGTTTAAATTCAAACGATCGTTGGCCCTCGTCCACGTTACGCTCAAATACCAGGCCGGCAGCCCATTTCACGTCACCAGAAAGCTTCATGACAACCTTCTTGAAATGAGCGGCGTTTTTCAGGTCACTCGATGTTGATGTACTTTCCAAGTCCTGCGCTGTGGCTTCGGCCATATACCGAGCCTCGTGACTGTAGTCTGGTATCGCCAGCACGTACTCCCCACTCCTGACGCTCATGAATTCCTTGGGATCATCACTAGTATGGACTTCCCATCTAACATCTTTACGCCAGCACATGACGAACCCGCCTCCGAATCCTGTCACCACATATGGGTCACGCGAGCCCTTCAGACGAAGATGAACATCTCCATCCTCTTTCCATGCAACATTTATCCGAGAGTGGAAGCTAAGTCTGATCTTGTCCCAGAATCCAACCCTATCAGAGGGGTCGATTTCTGTCTTGGTAAACCCTTCGATAATCTTCATCATATCCTGTATCACAGGCTGATAAGACATGCCCCATGAGATGCTCGTTGGTAGGCTGGTATTGATCTCGATCGTAGGGTCAGAGTAAGTTTTGACAGGAGAGACAGATCGCCAGACTTCAATTGCGAAAGGAGGGCTCGTGGTCCCATCTGGCAGCTCCGTAGAGGGTACCAATTCGAGTTTGACTTGCCTGGCCGACTTATAGTCACGATATTCTTCGGCAATTACAAAGTTGGTTCGAAGAGACCAGCTTGGCAGCCTTGGAGATTGACCAGGACGCAAAGCTGGGATATGTAGCAAATCCAAGGGGTAGTCTCTCAGGTTGACGCGCGCCTCTCCCATGTCCAGCTGAATACTCATGGGAACAAGTAACGCATACTTCATGGACATCGGCATGCCTTTGCCGATTGTGTTAAGGAACTTGGGATAATCTTCCAAGGGGAAGAAAGGTTTGTCGATGACAAGGTTGATGTCACTTATCAAAGCAGCCAATAGAGCAGGTCTGTTCGGAATGGAGAGGACAGTTTCCGTTTCTTGGACATCTTCGGGGGGCTCATCAGCACCTGAGAAAAGGTTTCGCACTTCCTTGATCGACGTGCCCTGGAATCGTAAGGCAGAATCGATCTTATCCTTCCAGGACCGTGAATTGTGTTCTTGGAGACGAAACCAGGCATTATCAGCTGAAACCTTGGCTTCGCAAGACAGGCAGGCAGCTCCCTCGGTATCATAGCGGAATTTCTTTCCCCGGCCACGCTTGTCATCCTGCAAGCTCTTCCGCGGTTTAGAGTCGGCACTCTTACTCCTCCTTGTCTCTCCGCTAACACGTTCACTACGAAGTGTCCGGTGACTTGATCGAGCCCGTAGTCTGGATGAAGAGCGGCGCTGATCCGATTCCTTGATCTTTTGTAATTTCAGCTCGAATGCCTCCTCGCGGGCCAAGCGCTGGCGCTGTTCTATGAGGCCGGTGCGATAAATGCAGCCAAGTTTCCACTCGAAAGCATCATCTTCCAACTCGAACAGTAAAGCCTTGCTGCGTAACGATACTCTAGGAATCTTCTTGGGCTCTTCCGGTTCTCTGACTGATCCGAATTCAGACGAGTGGCCCTTGAAGCGTTCATGAAGCTGCTTGAGTGCCTTTGAGGTATTGATCACGTTGTCAAAAATGCGATGCATTACCATGTGGTGTGGTACACCCAAACGAATGAAATCAGCCCAGACATCGATGGACCTTTGCTCGACAAGATTGGTACCATGCTTGAGTTTCATTTTGCGCAAATCAAGGCGAACGTTGTTCATGCTTATTATTCTGGCCCACACACCTTTGAGCTTTGGCGCTTCTGCATGTAACCGAATGAGATGTGCTTTCACAAATGGAGAGGAGAGGCGATGCGAGCCAGCGGTCAGGCCGTAAATTTGAACCAACATTGGAGGATCGGCAGGCATGAAAGTCTTGAGCTGTATGACAGTTGCTCGGACATCAAATGTCATGAGCTCGCCCCTCGCGGACGGACGTGGTGATGGGGGGTAGGTGAATTCCTTCTGAACAGGGGACATGGGCGTTTCGGGCATATCCGGTGACTTTCGCATGAAGGCATCCTGGACCACAGACATCGCGACACCGAGACAATAATAGCGGTATAGGGAGTATTGTAGGTAGACGCCCTTGAACACAGAGTTGACGTTACTAATCGGACCAAGACGATCACTCATCGTGCTTAGGGCCACCTCGAATCTCGGTAGTGAGAAGAAGGGTTCGGCCTCCAAGTAGTCTTCGGATTCAATGACAAATCCCTCAAAGCCGCGGACGTGGAGGGCTAGTCGTCTGCCATCTGTGGCGCCCACTTGTTTCTGTCTCGGAGGCGACGTGGGCGGAAACCGGAAGGACGACTCATCTCCAATGTAAGAGTGACTTGGGGTCCGTCTTCTCGCGAAACTGACAGTCGTTGGTTCTGACTTCTGGGCTCTGTAGTCTGCGGTCCACGATTGTAGCTGGAATGAGACACCGCGTGAGACCTCAGAGACACTCGTGTCAACACCAGCAATTTCTAAGCTGAGGCCAGTGGCTTCAAATTGGCATCGAAGCAACCATGGCGGGATTCGCCTGAGAACACTAGGTTTCCGCTCTTCGAATGACATAGAGGCCTTCCTTCTATGCCGCGTTTGAGCCCGGAACTGCTCGAGCACCTGATGAATGCCACGGTTCACTTCATCGTTAACCATGTGTGCAGAACAGGTATTCAGGCTTCCAGATGCAATCACGCGTACTTCTGGCGAAGCACTAAGTAACACCTTGAATTCCAAGCTTTCAGTCGTCAAGAGATTATGTTTAACGCCGGACGGAGTTTGGTAGTACAGCTGATGCGATGCCACCCGGTAAATGGAAGAGAGCGAATAGTGAACCCCGCCTTCAGACGAATGTGAAGATTCAATGTCAAGAGATATAGAGGAAATAGAGGAAATTAGTAGATTATAATCGTCGTCAGGGGTGTCGGAAGGCTTGGAAATAGGGAGGACGAATCGAACCACAGGTTCGTGAACCGATACTTTGATGCTGGCTTTGGGAAGAAGCCTAGAAATCAAACGATGGTTATCTCTCTTCTTTCCACGAGGAGACGCCTTCTTCGCCTGAGTCAACCCTAGGAGCCGAGAGACCTGCTTTGGCTCTAGATCGAGTGATGGGGACGTCACCACCAGATTAGCAAATAGTATGTTGGTATTGCGCTCCTCCGGGTTGTGGTCATCGAAGGAGCTGATCGTCTTTGAAGGGAGCGTGGTCTTGATTGTTGTGGTCGCCATTGGGATATATAGTATGTTCTCCGTCTCGCCTGAGCAATCGTCCAAGGTGACCGACAAAGAGATGGCCGCCAAGAGAGCTTGATGGGCGAGATCATCGCGTTGGAAATACATGCGATGAGCAGGACTCTTCTGATCCATTCGGTGCAGATCGACGCCTAGCTCATGCGATACCACATTCAGATACACGGGATTCTGTTTTGACGAAGGCGGCTCAAAAGCTCGAGTTAACCTAAAGAAGCTCAGGGCCACCTGTATTCCTTGTATTCCGCGAAGGATTGACCCGGCAAACTCTTTGGAGTCGGCGACTGCTTGTACAATGGTGTCGTCTCGGCTTCCGGGCTGATCCAACTCCTCCACAAAGTCTGAGAAGGAAACCTCGTCATCAGTCTCAATATTGGTAGGCTCCACGGACGACTGGCGAGACTGTTTGACGCGCTGCATCAGAGTCATCACATCATCGTACGGGATATGCATGCGCCCAATTTTGAAAGCGATGGACGCATCTCTCAGACCCTCAAGGTCCTTGTGAAGAAGCCCATGTATATTGACCCGAACATTGTCCAGCACTTCGGTTGGCTCCGCTCCATCTATCCCGAGTAGCACGTTCTGCACATTCATCACCCACTCTGCCGGTCGATGTTCGTCAGGGCCCTGACTCTTGCGCCGAAAGAAGAGTTTCCCTCGATCCACCATCTTGCGCCTCGTGTCGACGCCCAAGGATAAAGATCCAACCTGGATCTGACCAGCTTCCACGAGATTGATGGTCGTATTGACGGCTACCACATCCACCAACTTCAACCAATGTATTTGTCGATGCAGCCGCTTCACTTGCTCCTTCATATGTGTCAGCTTCCGCCATGTCTTGCTCCGCTTGGGTATGGAAGAGCTGTCTTCCCGATTATCCGGCTCGGTGGACGACTCTTTCTCCAACGGGGGTTGCGAAACCGATGCATCGGGTTTTGTGGTGGACTTCTTTCCCTTTGCCAAAGCTGAAGGGTCCAAAGTCAATTTTAGTTCGGTCAGGCGAATGCTGAGCCATGTTGGTTGCGCAAACGAGGGCGGGTGTAGAGATAGGCCGAGGCCACGGAGTTCGATCTGGACGCCATCTCGGGGAACATAGGCAATGCGGCGGAGAGAAAAATATCCTATTCGTTGAATCGAGATCCCGGTCGCAATACGAACGATAGCGAAGATAAGGAAGGAGGAGAGGTAAAGGAGGAGGAAGCCCACGAGGACCGTGGTCGGACTAAAAAGCGTCATCGTAGCTCGCGGTCAGTAGGACCGATCCGTTGCACAAAATGGGCAACTGTCCAACAAGAGATCATGGAGAGTCGTTTCGGAGACCGCGGAGTGATTCTAGACGGAAGAGGTGAGTGAAAAATGACCAGAGGGAGCAATGGTATGCCTATGCAACCACACGAGCTCCCCCGAGTAGATCCAGCGCAACCCTCCTGAGAGGGGATGGGGGGTTGTACTTCGGCGGATCCGGGAAAGAGAACAGGTCTCCGTTAAGGGAAGAGCTGCAGAGGGGCTGAAGAAGCGTTGTGATAGTAACGAAAGAGCCGTAAGTCAGTCATGCTTTTCTGTCCCTGTTTTTTTCCCCCTGGATATTCGAGTATTGTCCTTTTCTTCTTCCTTCACCACCACCGTGAACCCAGTGCGTTATGATGAAAGGTAAGGACGATCGGGAGGGCGAGCCATAGATGCTAAACCACTGGAGCGGCAACCTGTCAGCGGCGGAAAGGTCGAACCCGTCACGGTCAAGACTGGAAGCGGAAAGCCGCCCACTTTTTTTTTTCAAGCTGGCAATGGACCAACGGGGGGTTATTCTCTGGCCGGACCGTCCGGCTGGCTCGGCATTGCTGCTTAGCAATTTACTGATCTGGCAAAAGATGTGGGTTTGCCCGCTGCAAAAAAGTAAAAGCAAGCAAGCAATTCGACGCACCTTCCGAGCCTCAAAAGGTCTGCTGCTGTCGATCGGGGAGCATTTTTTGTTCCTTCCCCCTGGCTCGATGGGGCCCTGCCTCACACAAAGCTTAGCAGCGTGGTCGTTTTAGGTTGGACTTTTGGTATCTACGAACACGGCAATTTGGCATTTTCCTCCTTGAAATTAAGCGCAACATTCTCCTCACCAAGTATCTATCGCTTGATGGTGGATTCCTCACGAAACCTTCCCAACAATATCCAGAATTCTTCTTGGCGTGTGGAGCAGAAAGAAACAGTTGTTGATTGCGAATACTCCGTAGTGTTCCATGTAACTAGGGTCTGCTTCATGATCATACAGGGTCTTGTTTCAAATTAAAATACATGTGTCTGGGAACAATGTGAGAAATATGATACACGACAAAGGTAAACTCCTTCTGGAGGGCTCATGGAAGTGGCGGCACCGGCCCCCGTAGCCAACCTAAAGATACGGCGGATCCGACCATCGTGTTGTGGTCGAAGTTCCAAAGTCGCAACGTTCAAAACTCTTTCCTATGCGAGCACAACATCCTTGCAAAGCTGGGTGCAAGTGCAACACAATACTGCCGGGAGTTCTATCTTGGAGGGCAAGTGAACGATCTACGTTCACCCGCGATCACTCAATTCTCTCCTTAACATAGATAGATCGGACATGTAAGATCGGCCCCCAACCATTCGAGCATGGCCGTACCTTTTCTCTTCTCGCACCCATAGCCAAGTTGCTAGTGGCCGTCTAGAAACCGACTACTTAGCTGCAGGATCCGAATTGCCCGATTCGAGTCCACTAGTCTTTAACTTTTCAAGCTCCCCGATCTTGTCGTCAATGAGTGCGATTTCAGCCTCGATACTCAACACTTTCTCGTTCAAAATACCCCTGTAATCGTCATCCGAGAGTGACTTGAGCGGGATCCATTTGGAGTCGGCCATCCGCTGCAGGAACGGCTTAGACGTCGTATTCGCGTTCTCCATTTGCCAGGTGTCGATCGCATTATAAGAGCTTTGCCCGACATAGCCTAGTAGCGAAAAAACAACTAGTCCAGGGACAAGTCGCCCGCCTAGCTCCGGCCATCAGTAAACCAACCACCACCACCTCTTTTTCTCTCAAACGGGGAAAAGAAGGGTGCTGCCAAACTCACCCATTAGCCTCGTAACGGCCCCTCCAGCAACTCCTCCAGAGAGGGCGCTGACATAAGCCCGTTGCTTAGGGGTAGCCTTGTCTTCATAGTGAAGCTTCAGAATGTTGCTTCTCAACCCTGTAGCAGCAAGATTGATATCAATTCCAGATCTATAAGGGATAGACGAGGGGATAACTCACACCAAAAGGAGGCTCCACATGCAAACCAGTGGATTCCGCAAGAGATAGAATGAATGACCGGATGAGGGGACCGAATTACTCCTGATATTCCCCCATATACGAGGCCAGCAGAACCTGTTAATGAAACTGAGTAAGTAGGGCTGCTGTAATGAGTCTCAGACATATGGTTCCTGAGTTGAGGCAATACAAGCCGGTCTACCAGTCACCGGAATGGGATTGGAAACTAACCACTCACGGCTCCCACCTTCAAAGAGGAAGTCAGTACATTGGGCTCCGGATATAACGCTTTGTTCTGTCCGCTCATCTTTGCGGTTACTGACACTCTAGTCTGCAACTGCAGGTCAGCGGCACATTATGGCTAACACTTTCAATCAGCATCTTCTGTTCATGCAAATCCATAAGCGTGCACGTGATCAGAGCAGGCTCGGGATGCTTATCTAATCCCTCTCCTTCCCGATGCCAAGCAGGAGCCTGATTTATACAATGGGTTGCTAGCTATCTATTGGATTTGGACAATATTAAGTATTAGGATTCTTCTAAGACTTATAATACCATGTCTGCACACGTCATTTTGAAAGCCCCATCAAACATTAGGACGAGTCTAAAATTTGTGAACCTGATCCTTCGAGAAACCCAATCGACTCAGGATCCCCTCAGGAGATCTTCTTGTTCCAGCCAGGGCATCTTCCATCGCCGGAGGACCGCAAATGAATACCTTTGTACCCTGTGTCGAACCCTTAAAAACGCTCTTTAAAAGTTCTTCGTCAATGTATCCTGTTCTATAAGGAGATGTCTCCTTTTTTGGACGGCTGACAGTGTAAATGTAGTTGAAGCGGTCAGGGAACTCTGTGGCATAGCGATCAAGTTCCTCCTTCAACAGTAAATCTTCCTCGGAGTTGACGCCGAATACAAGAGTCAGCTTCGTTCTATCATGAGGATTTTTCAGGGTGCCTTTTATAAGCTGATAAATTGGCGTAATTCCAGCCCCGCCAGCCAAGAGATAGGCGTGGGAGAACTCATTCGGCTTCCACTGATATCCTTTCAATGAAGTCGCAAACCTAAGTGAGTCTCCTGGTTTCAAGGAGTGCAAGTAACCGCTGGCCTTCCCGTCTGGGTATTTCTTGACCATAAGTTCAATATGGCCTGGTTCGTCTGTAGATTCGATCGATACTTAGCAATCATAATCCGGAACAGGGGCATCCTCGACCACAAATATATCTCCATCCCTCTGCTAGATGGGCCATCTTCTATGTATTCAGGGTATGTCAAATCAGACATGGTATGAGCTCACCTAAGTCACTTATAGGTGTATATGGTCGAATCGTGGGAAGCCAGCTCCCTTCAGGATGTGTGATTGCTAGTAGTGCAGCTGTTGGATGTTAGCAGCGTAGCTTGAGGTATAGACCGTCCTTCAAGGGGCAAGTATTACAAGTCAATGTCAGGCCGCTGCTGGCGGATTCGTCAGGGTATTCGAAGACCAGTCGCTTCGTGTTGTGATTAACGGTTCTGATGCTCTGCAAGCGCAAAGTGGTGAGTCCTAGCCCAGAGAAGACCGTCTTTGGCTCATTCGATTCCGCAAATGCCGTTGAATACAGCTTCGTGTAATATATGCCCAGGCCTGCAAAGCCAGCCACTCCAGCAACCTTGATCGCCCTGGGAAATGTGCGCTGGAGAGTATTCATCTTGTGATCAAATCACAACCTCTTTATCAGGATCAAAATAAGAAGAACAAGAACTAACAAGAAAGACTCTTAAAGTACATTGGGGTTTCACGACCTAAATAGACCGAGAAATCAGTAGTGTGCTCCATCTTGCTTTTAAGGCGAAAAAAAAGACTGTGGAACCAGGGATGAAGCAGTTTTCGCAAAGGCACACGTTATAGTTGGACGTGGCCTGTCAATATTATCGGCTTCGGATTCTGGAGACCCGATGGGATATATGCCAGAGAGGAGGAAAAGCAATGATATACAGAGTGCAGTCCCAAAGGCCGAGCAACATCATATTCCAAAACCCGACAAAATCCGAGACTGGATGATGTCAACAACGGTGGTGTGTTTGTGTGCCTGGCGGCAGCGGGTCGGTGCCTTGATCTTCCCGCCATCGAAGCGGGTCCACCGAGTAAAGGGAATCAACAAATGTGACCACTCTTTATTTACCCTGTGGTCTACGCTCGTTCGATTTGATTTGAAACTGTTTAATATGGTTGCAAACATTCTTGATCCCACAAGAAACTAACTTGTTTTCAAGACTACCTGAAGTGGATCGCAATATCCAACAGACTATGATGACCCCTGATGTTCACGATTGGATCTATGGTCCTATATATCATACGATCACTGTCTCGTCATACTAGTTTTACAGCAGTACCCTAGTGCCTCTCACTTTTTCTGAACTGATAAGGCACGAGATCTACTTCTGCCATGTATGCATAGACTGACAGGGTATTTGGCGGCCCGCAGATCTTGACTCCCCGCTGCGGGACGCATGGGGAGTGGAGTGCGGGTCGCTCAGGTTGTGCAAGTATTTGGCGTGTTGACCCTTTCAAGAGTGTAAAGAGGCCCTTGCAGACCACTGAAGAATAGCGGGGGCTGTGCGTTGACATTTGAATTACAACAGAATGAATAATTGGCTGGTTGGGCTACGCAGGCTCCGTGAGGCTTCATGGATGAAGCACTATGGGAAGTCTCTTAAGCATAGCCACGGAATAGTGCTCCCACTTTGGATAGCTCTGAGATCGTATGTACTGCTCAGCAGTGTAATTTGCATATTCTCTTGGACGCTTGTCTACTTTTAAAACCTACATTAGCGTCCACGCTACGCGTCCATGCGTAGCGTGAAGATGCCAAAGACGCGCATCAACTGGGCTGGTGAAGAGCAAGATATGCCCTTATCCCAAGAATGCGTAAGAATTATTGCCAAGCTGTTCCTCCATCATGTTTCACTAGAATACTGCAGACGTTGGTCCCTCGATGTATACTAGGTGCTTAAATTCCAACCATGTGACCAAAATGCCCAAGTCCATTATATAGCCGATGCCGACATCATCGTATAGAACTGCCACGGCCGACGAAATTTCAAGGGTTGGATGAACGACAGGCCCCTTGGAGTGGAAGTTGGGCTTGAGGTGTGTCCAACAAGCGTAGCAGACCACTAAAGAAACTATCTCTGAATGAATCGAGAATACCGTTCATGTTAAAGCCGGCAGCGGATGTCAGGAGCTGGTTGCCATTGCTCGTAAGATTCAGTTCGGCGATAAATTTGCAGTATTTTTCAGAATCGACAATCACCAAAACGCCTAGGGCATCGGAATAATAAAAATCGTAGAACGTTGGGAAATAACTTTTGTATTGTCCTTCAGACTGATAATTTTGTCTTTCGATTTCCTAGTCGCCAACTTGACGTGGGAATGTCGTCTGAAGTAGCGTGGGGGTCATGGGCTTCGGAGGTGAATGGTATCTAGCTCCATTAGTAGCAATGCCTTTTGCTGGAAGGTTGTGAGTCTGGATGAGGAACTGCGAAATAATCATTCACAAGTAGAGAAAAAAAGAAATGTATCATGAATGAAGTGCATGTTGAAGTTAGTGAAGAGTTTAGCAAACTGGAAAAACAGGACGAGAGAGAAGGGAGCGATTCTGCAGGCCATTGCCTGCGTGTCGGTTAAGTGTTCGTTCCCAAAATGGAGCCAACCGCGCAGACAATGAAGAAAAGAATGCCTGGCCCAATCCGGAATGGGGCCTATTCAAGCGGAGAGTCGATGAACATTGTTACTATTCACCACCATAACAATTGTAGTAACAGGGAACTAGAAAGAGAGACCAGTTCGACAGTCCACCACAGTCACTATACCTATTATCTCATCGAATCCGACCGAAAAAAGACACCGGGTGGAGAGGAGAAGAGGGGCGGAAGGACAGAAGACACACTTTCTCCGCAAAAAGGCGAGGGAAAAAAGGTGGAAAAAAGCCCTCGGGTTGGGTCGAGGCGGCCGACCCAAAGCCGCACCAACACTTTTTTGAGGCTGACTTTTCTAGCGTCATCACTAAAATTTATCCTCACGGATTAACTTACTTTCCCCCTCTGTCCTTCACTGCGGAGCTCTCCTGCATTCCCCCCATCACTCAACGCCCCTTTGGACGTCCACTATCACTATCGTGATTTCTTCCCCGTCGGAAGCCCCCCCTAAAAATCCTTTAAGAGAACCTTTATTCTGAGACGCGCACAGGAATCCCCTTGGCGCGTTTCCCACTTCTTGAACAACCGCAATCATGGGTGCGTTTAACCCCTCCTCATCCGGCGCACTGTCCCAATTTACGCCAATTTCGCATCCTTTGACTGTTCCTGGATACTAATGGCTTTTTTCTACGTACAGCGCCCTCTAAGCAGAAAGCCCAGAAGATGTCTCTGGGCAACTTCTTGGCCGATGAGAGTGAGTCCCTGTGCACCCACATCGTCGCGGGGATGAACGGTGGCTAATAGGAACAGACTTCGGCTCTTGGGCTGATGAGATGGAGGACATGCCTTTGCCTGGTAAGTGACTTATTCCTTGCCTTCGGTCTATCGCTGTCTGCTAATATTGATGCCTCTCTAGCCGGTATGTTGCACATGATGCTTCTTCCTTCGACCCGAACGATGCTAAACATATATCAGCTCCCGCCCCGTCCAGCTTCGGCCGCTCTGCTGCGCCTTCTTCTGGTTTCGGAAGCAGCTTTGGTGGTGGTACGATAATCTTCCCTGTGTTATTGCTGCAATTTTGCTTCGATATATGTGTTTGATACTGATGCGAATATAAGAGCGTGAGCGTGGTGGCTACGCCGTGAGAGAGCCCCTTCCTCTTCCCACCCAGCCCCCCTACACTGCCCATGTTGGAAACCTGTCCTTTGATGCGACTGCCGCCGATATCTCCGACCTCTTTGCCGACTGTGGTGTCACCAACGTCCGTATCGTGGAGGACAAGTTGACCAAGGCCCCCAAGGGCTTCGGATATGTCGAATTTGAGACTGTTGATGGTCTGAAGAAGGCTCTTGATCTTTCCGGCGCTACCCTCCAGGGACGTGCCATCCGCACCAGCATTGCCGAACCTCGTAGGTGTCCTTGCTCCGGTATGATGATCTGCGCCAGCTGACGGTACCTATAGCCAAGGAACGTGATGTCAAGGAGTTTGACTGGACCCGCAGAGGTCCTCTGCCCGATATTCCCCAGCGCCGTGTGCCCGATCGTTCCTCTTTCGGACGCAACCTCGACAACGTGTCTGATGCCGGCAGCGAACGGGGTAGTGGCCGCCGCAACTTTGAGAGTGATGGAAAGTTCCGTGATTTCAGCAACTGGGAACGCAAGGGCCCTCTCTCTCCCCCGCCTGCACCTGTCCGGGAAGGTGGCCGTTCCCGCAACGACGAAGGTCCTGGTTTCAGAAGAAGCTCCCCCGCCTGGGGTGAGGGACGCTCCCAGGATGGCTCCCGCCCCCCGAGACGCGAATTCCAAGAACGCACCCCCACCGCGGCTGAACTCGATAACGCATGGAGATCCAAGATGCGCCCCGATCAGCCCCCCAAGGAGGCCAGCAACCCTCCCTCTCCTGCTGCCGCTCCTGCCGCCCCCGCTACTCGTCCTCGCTTGAACCTCCAAAAACGGACTGTGACTGAGGCCGTCTCCAGCCCCTCCGCCAACACCGAATCCAAGGCTAGCCCATTCGGTGGTGCCCGTCCGATTGACACCGCCGCTCGTGAGAAGGAGGTTGAGGAACGTCGCCAGATTGCCATCCGCCAAAAGAAGGAAGCGGATGAGAAGGCCAAGGCCGAGAAGCCCGAGAGGACTGAGAAGACCGAAAAGCAGCGTCCTGCCAAGGAGCAGCCCAAGGCTGAGAAGTCTGGTACACCGGCTGATCCCAACGGCCGCGATGTCGCCGAGCACGCCCAGGGCGGCACGAACTTCGAGATCCTCCGGCGGGCCGGTGAGGACGAGAGCGGTATGACTGCCGATCAGGACCAGACGGAGGAGGCCGCTGCTGCTGCCAAGAATGCCGAAGCCTCGAGCAACGCTGCCCCCAGCAAGGCGAATGGTAACTGGAGGGCCGGGCCTGCCGAGGCTGGAGCCGACGACGAGGGCTGGAGCACCGTGAGCTCGAAGCAGCGCAACAACCGCCGTGGCGGCCGCACGTTTGCATAGATCAATGGATACCCCCCAAGCTCGTCATCGCTTGACCGAAAACCTGGCACCATGGTCCCCGACGTGCATATTATAAAGCGACCAAACTCGTTTGCTTCTGGCTCTCGTTGGGTCGCCGAATGCGCAACACTCGTGGAGATGGCCAGGTGAATTTTGGTTAACGCCGATGTCCGTTTGTTTTGATGTTGTTCAGAGTCGTCCTCAACTTCTTTCGCTTTCTCCTTTCTCTTCCTACGGGTTGCCGCCTCCGTCTAGATCTAGGATTCAGGTCTAGTCCTTGTTTCTTCCGTCAAGCATGTCGAAAAGTTTGTTCTTTTCCCCAAATTTCCTAGTGTGTGTTCTTCACGTTTCTCTGAGCTAGTTATTCCCATGTACGTGGATGAAGTGTTATACAGCAATGACCCTTATGGCTGATGCGAAGGAAGAAGAGTATACGTTTCTTTTCACTTTATCTTATGCTTTTGAACTTGCTGATCACCCACACCCTCCGTTCGACTCCGAATTTAATTTGCTCCAAACCCCCCTTTTGCTGCCAGACAGTTGCTTTCTACTCCACTCTCCAAACTCTCTTTCCTTTTTAACTCTGTCTTGCTTCTGGATCCGGGGATGGCGTGTGGAGTCTTGTTCCTTCTTGTTCAACCTAACCGGAGCCCATGCATGTCCCTACTACTAGTTGACACGAGGCAGTTCCCCATACGAATAAGATAACGATTAGCAGTTTAAAGCCACTGTAGTTGTAGATGATATTCGTAAGCAAGAGCAAATTGCTTCATACTATAGCTCGTAATTACCATCATCAGTACTCAGCTAAATTAGTAACTACTACGATCAATCATCATTTCAGGGAGTTCAGTTCTCCCCTACCAGGAACAAAGCTAGTATGCGGCTATATATAAACCAACTACCCCAGCTGAATAGACAAGATAAGCAAATACAAACACAACAACACCTATCAGGATAACACCATCATCACATTCTAAAAGAAAAGAAACGAATAAAAGCAGAGGAATGAACCAATCCTAACAACCAATCGCTTCCTTTCCCCCCTAGTTCTCCCCCTCCATCCATGGGAGCAGTACGCGCGAAGAAGCTGACGGAAGAGGGAAAACCAAACCTAATTCGATCGAAGGGATCGACGGGATGCATGGCGACCCGACTAATAGCAGTACCTAGTAGTAGCAGCTGAAGGGAATGAAAGTAGTAAGGAAACTTACTATTTCAGTCAGACCATCATCTGATTCATTGGCGAGTTACTAGGTAGTCTCTTTTCTCCCAGCCCGCATCCCGAATAGGAAGTCGGGTCCCCGCGGATACGATCTGCCGCTGGTGTGTCTAGCTGTCTGTCTGTCTGTCTGCCAGAGATTATAAACGGGGTGAGGAGAGGGAAGAGAAATAAAGGCAAGTATTCCCGTAGTCTGTGATTTAGAGCTAGACTACTACGTAAGTTGGTCTTTATCTATCTGCTAATCTGTCTATCTATCTAACTTATTTTTATCTATCGCATTTTGGACGCGACGAGACTGCGACTAGCTACGATTGCTACCATCTGATTACTATTCCGCTACGCTACCCCACATATCATACTACTGTCTGTATCTAAACTAGAGCTCTTGACCGACCGACTGGCTGTTTTTTTCTCCCTTTTTTCTTTCGCACATATCCCTCTCCCTCCCCGCACAGCTCTCTTCTCATCCTCAAATTCCAACAAGTCTTCATCGTTGTCGATGTCAAGATGCATCGAGATGAACCTCTTCCCGATCCGCCTTCCACTAGTTCTCCGCCATGGAAGCTCGCTTTTCGCTCCTCCAGGGCGTTTGTGATCTCAGTGGTGGCTATTGCGGTCTTCACGGTATTTGACCTTCACAATGATGAATGAAGCTTTGTGCTGATATTGTGGCAACAGGATGTGTTCATTTATGGCATGGTAACTGCGCCAACTTTGGATCGGCTCGGAGCTTCATCTGACCAATGTAGATCGTCCCTATCTTGCCTATTGTGCTCAAAACACGCGTGATTGTACCGGAAGATGAATGTAGGATGTCTCTGTATGACATTTGACAAGACAACAGGCTAATCGTCACAGTGCAAAAATGGATGTCAATCATGCTGGCCGCGTTCGGCGGTGGTATATTCTTCGGATCCCGTAGGTGCCGTTTCCTTCCTTCGTGGTATGGGTGCGGCTAACACCAGATTGCTAGCAATATTCGGTTATTTCGCGGACAGAAGCTCATCACGCCAGCTTCCGTTTCTTATTGGACTGCTCGCGCTCGCTGGGACGACTATCGTGTTCTGGTTCGCAGAAACAGTATCGTCCTTGGTCATTGCACGCAGTCTCCAAGGATTGTCAGCTGCTGTGGTCTGGACTGTTGGTTTGGCTCTTGTTGTCGACACGGTGGGCAAGGATCAGGTGGGAGCTGCAATGGGATATGTCTCGATGGCACTGACTGTGGGGACGGTGTTTGGTCCATTCATTGGAGGGATCATGTGAGTTCAGTATATTGTCGCATTGGAAGCTTGATCGGCGATTTACTGATTATCTAGGCTGTCGCGAGTGGGCTATCATGCGGTATTTGTATTGGCAATTGGGTTGATAGTGCTAGATATCTGTCTTCGGCTCGTGATGGTCGAACCCAAGAATGCTGCGCAATGGATTCAGTCGGGCAGTGGCGGAGAGACACAAGCTCTGCTAAATGAAGCCGAAACGCATGGCGCTGGGTACGATGCGATTACCGCCAATGCTAGAGCAGGACAGACATCTGGCCTCGGTAACGAATATCCAACCGAGGGCAGCGGCGAGCCGCTGACCAGCGGGAGGTCGACCTCCGTACCTGGGATTATCCGCTTGATATTCTCAGGCAAGTTACTGGTCGTTCTTCTAGCGACGGTAGTGGATGCCATTATCTGGTCCGCTTTTGATACGGTATGTGGCCCGTGGAAGAGCGCTTAGTCCTTTGTGGTCGAATATCAAGTTAACGAGGTCAGGTGCTCCCGCTGTATGTCATGAAAACGTTCGGCTGGGGATCATTCGAAATCGGGCTATGTTTCCTACCTCTCTTTGCACCGTCTTTCCTCTCTCCATGGATTGGTATGCATCAGGCGGTTCCTATGCCTTCTATCTCTGCTGATCAATGACTGTAGGTGACGCAGTAGACCGTTGGGGAGCACTTCGGGTAGCCTTTGTTGGCTTCCTGCTCGATTTCCCAACATTACTGCTTTTTCAGCTTGTCGCACGCAACACGACCCAGGACCAAGTTCTTCTCTATGTGTTCCTCTTCCTCGCAGGTGTCGCTTCGACCCTGCAGATGGTCTCGTTGATGACGGAGGTCAACAACGTCACGGAGCGGTACGAGCGGGAATTCCCCGGTATCTTCGGACATCAAGGAGGGACTGCGCAAGCGTACGGGCTTTTCAATGTCGCCTGGTCGGGCGGGCAGGTACTGGGACCCTTGGTCGCGGGTCTGCTAGTTGAGCGAGCCGGCTGGACGACAATGGTGACGGTGTTGGGGGCAGTTAGCGGAGGCATTTCCGTGGTTATCGCGCTCTCGGATCGAAGGGTTCTGCCAGTGAGGGAAAAGAAGTGACATTCGACGTAGGTTGATGGAATGAGTTACGATGCTAAGGCTGTGATGATGATGATGAGTATAAACGATAAGTAACGATTGATGGATCACAAGGGACGGAGATGAGATGTTGATACGAAATCAAAATGTTGATGTATGATCATTCGGTCGGGAGGGTATAGTGAAGCCGGGAGGTCTGCAAGGGAGACAATCATCGGTGATTCCTCAGCGCACATCTCCTTTCTAGATAGATAGGTTAAGGTTGAAGATCTCCCGAGCCAGCAAGGGAACCCGATCTTCTATCAAGGCTGCAGGGTCCATCAATTATCTCATGGCTGGTGTTACCCTGGCGATTGAAGGAACGCGATGGCATCCAGGGCGGTTGACCGGGAGGCTGGAATGGGGTCGACGCCTTTCACAGCACGCCTCCCCGTCGGTGTATTGAGCGCCCATCTGTAGGACCTTTGTACGAGAGACCAAGCAAGTCAGCTTTTGGGAACTGTCACGACATGAGGTGCAACTGGCAGATCAACCAGGCAGGCAAATGACGAGTCACCAACAGCAACTCACTAGCCAGCGGGTCTCAACGGCGCGGTCCACACGTGTTGCCTCGCCGCGGATCCAACAAGATTCCACGACGTCGCCAGGGTTCGCAGAAGGCGCAACATTGTTGGTGATGGGTACTAGTTAGTTCAATGCCGGAGATCTGATGGCAGGCATCCATTGGCAGTTACACCGTCTCCCCAACGATAGTATCATCTGGGTAACTGCCAGCGCAGCAGAGGAACGGAGATGATGCATTCCTTTGGTGCTTCTGGAGGGAAGGCCGGCGGCTCCCCCACCGCTTCCCGCCGCAGGGACAATTAATGCATTCAATCCCAGTTTAATCAATTAATCTTCCCCGTCTTACTGCCTGTGCCGACTTCGTTCCTCTCACCGGCTTCATCCCCATCTTCCTCTGCACGGTTTCTCTCACTTGTTTGGGCAAGGCTGGCTACCGACATCCTCTCCTCCAACCACCTTCCCTTGCCTCACTGCACCACTGCATGACCGGTCTTTTAAGCAGTTCGGCCTCCTATTTATTGTCTCTCTGCCGCTTTCTGCGACACTGGTCCGGCATCCTTTCATTTCCAACCTCCCGCCGCTCAGTTTCACCTCCGGTCCGCTGACGTTGCCTTCTTACAATTGATTGTGCTTTGTACACGATCAAACATCATCCTCAATTTCACCTCATGTGGCACAAACCATGTCGACCACCACGACTACCACCGCTCTAACATCCACCACTCTCATCGGCACGCTGCCCTCTATGGCGGGCGCTGCCGCTCTCGTCTCCGGAAAGGCCTGTCCAACTTGCGGCCAGGACGGATTCCTCGCTGCTGGACAGTCCACAACCGATGCCCGACGTCGAGCGAAGGACCTGGAAGGCCAGGTCAATGCTCTGAATCTACAGGCCATGCAAATGGGTGAGGATAGCTGAACCCCAACATATACGTTGATAGTGAACTAATGGAAGCCATCACCTGCAGCCGAGAAATTGGCCGCATATGAAGAAGAGATCCGACGACTGCGTGCGCAATCGTCCTCCCGAAACAACACATCCGTGTCATCCACCGCATCGACGCAAATCGACCGGTCCCAATCGCCCACTCACCTACAAACGTCCCCCAAATCGCAACCGGGTCGACTTTCTACTCTTGCCTCTTTCCTCCCTTCCCGTCGACCGAGCGCTACCAGTACCACACAGGCTCAGACGGTCGCTTCGCCCCCACCACCGGAACCCGTGCAGCCGGCCACCAGTCAGGAGGAGACAGTGGAATTACAGAATGCGTTGAATCGGGAGCAGAGTCTACGTAAAGCTGCAGAGAGCCAGCTGTCTCAGGCGAGCACGGAACTGGAGGAGTTGACGGCGCAGCTATTCAGCCAGGCGAACGAGATGGTCGCGCAGGAACGCAAGGCACGAGCTCGTCTCGAAGAGCGGGTCGCGGTACTGGAACGTCGAGATGTCGAGAAGCGAGCTCGACTCGAGCGCTTAGAGAAGGCGATGGCACGCGTGGAGCGGATCCGAGCGATGGTCGGGTAGGGGGGTATATCAGATTTCGGTTGCTTTTGCTCGCTCTTCATTATCGCTTGCTTTTTATCATATACCCCGGTGTTTTGTTTTGGCGAAAGCCATGTTATGGTTGGCATGAGATGCATGACCTGACGGGATGAGGCGTACTTATGAGAGTGACGATAGCATTTACGGCGCAGCGTTTGGAATTATTGCATTGATGGAGGATATTAATATAGCATAGTATACATATTATTTTTATTTTTTCCCCTTTAATCTCTCCTTGGAATTTGTCTATCTACACAATAATCATTGTAGGAAACTGAAATGAATATCCACCGAACCCCGCCATCCACACTCCGGGACTAAACGCCATTAGTCTGATTGCCTCGCACGTCCCCACATTTATTTCCTATAGCAAATTATATTAATAGCATCGATAGACCCTTTCACCTCCCCAGCTTCCCTGCAATTATTCCTATAGATCCTTATTCTTCGCCCTTGTCGTTAATACTACTTTTATAAACCTCTTGTTAAACATCAAAATGTCCACCCCCATCGGCGTAGCCATTATCGGCAGCGGTACCCTCCCCCTCTCTTATCCTATCCCCAGTATAAATCTCAACATCGCATGAACTTATCTAATTTATTAATGAACTGATAATAGGCATCTTCGCAAAGGAAGAACATTTGGTAATATTCACATATCCCTATATCATTATGCCCCAATTAGTAATTGGAATAAACGAACAGCCCATTCTATCCGCCTCCCCCCTCTTCACCCTCAAAGCCATCTACTCCCGGTCTCTCAAATCCGCAGAGACCCTCATCTCCGGGAGCAAAGAAGATGTCGTGAAGAACGTGGAATTATATTCCGAAGACTCCGAGTCCGGTAGACAATTCCAGGATCTCCTCGCTAGGGAAGATGTGCAGGCTGTTATTATTGCGTGAGTTGCTCTATACCACGGAGATAGGTATTATCACCATGACAAACTCATACTGAATTGAAACGAATAAGTCTCCCCATCCCCGCCCAACCAAGCTATATCCGCGCGTCCCTACAAGCGGGCAAGCACGTCCTAAGCGAGAAGCCTATCGCCGGTGATCTCAGCACCGCCCGTGCTCTGCTCTCAGAGTACCAGTCTCTCGCGACGAAGCCTCTCTGGGGTGTAGCAGAGAACTGGCGCTTTCTGGCGAAGTTCTCTAGGGTAGCTGAAGAAGTTCGGAAGTTGGGGGCTGTGAAGGCTTTCAGAGTTAGTGTGAGGACGTTGATTGGGGAGGGGTCGAAGTATCATCGTATGTATTTCCTCTTTTCTTTTCCATATTTGGCTTGATTTGTGGAGATATGGTAAGCTAATAGTTGACCAGAAACCGAATGGCGTCGCAAACCCACATATAAGGGTGGTTTTGTCCTCGATGGAGGGATCCACGCCATTGCTGGATTGAGGCTCATTCTTGGTAAAGAGGACGCTATGGCGGCTGTGTCGGCCATGATGGGACTGCAGCGGGAGCATTTGGCTCCTGTGGACACTGTCGATGCGGTGGTCAAGACTAAGACTGGGGCGAATGGGGTGGTGTCATTGTCGTATGGGGCTGCTGTGAATGAAACGGTCTTTGAGTTTAGTTGTGAGCGAGGTGTGGTCAAGTTGGATCGGGATACGGTGACGGTTAGTGGTGGGGAGTCGTTTGAGGTTCCGTATGAGGGACGTGGAGTGAATTATGAAGTGGCTGCGTTTGGGGAGTCGATATTGAAGGGACAATTGGAGGAGAGGCTGCGGCCAGAGGAGGCTATGGCTGATTTGGAGGTGATGGAGGGGATGTTTGTAAGTGAGGGTGGGAAAGTGCTGTTGGATTTGCAGTGATGGACTGGCCTAGGAGGGTAGTAAATTCTTCAGATATACTCAAAACTTGAATTTTGTTTGTCCAATAAACCTAAACTCATTCAATTTAAAATATGATATCCTGACCGTTTGGCCTATCCAAGTAACGGCCCCAGTGATATATGGAATCTTCACGAATACGTGAGGTGATTGCTACAAACTGACAGGCGACTTCCCCGATTCTTGTGTTCCTGTTGCACGACAAACAATAAGAGGAGCGTTTTCCGGCTGGCCTGCGGTGCAGACAACTTCATTGATGGTCATGTTGGTCTCATCCATTTGACGCGAGAGAAGTAGCGCGATTTGGTTGTGCCCATGTCTTCGCGCGTGGAGGGCAGCATCGCGGCCGTACTTATCCCGACGCTTGGGGTTTACCCTTCCCGTATCGAGCAGTAATCGAACTGTACTTCCGCGTCCTGCTGCTGCTGCGGCCATCAACGGCGTCCATCCTTGCCTGTTTGCCGCGTCCGGGTTCGCCTTGTACTGCAAAAGTAGTCTCACAATGCCCTCGTAACCACGGCGTGTGGGCCGCGTCACAGGGCTCATGACGTGGAAACTGTGAGCTTCTGGGTAGCCCCCAGACTCAAGGATTTGCTTAACTAGGGCTTCGTCTCCAGTCTCTTTGCGATCCAACGCTATAGCAACCAACAGAGCCGTCCAACCGTTGCGGTCCTGGCTGTCTGCGTCAACCCCCCTGCTCAACAATGCTTCCACCATCGAATAATTACCTCTCCTCGCTGCCCATACCAATGGAGGTCGACCGAGTTTTTGATCAGTGAGGTTAGGGTCAGCACCACAGTCTAATAGGCACCTGGCTATCCTGTTATGGTCTTCCTGGATCGCGCAAATCAATGGTGTTATGCCCCGACGTCTACTTCTCACGTCCGCACAAATCCCAATGTGTATTAATGCCATAGCAGTTCTATAGCATTTGTGCTCCAAAGCGAGCAACAACGGAGTCATGCCGGAAGCATCCATGTGGTTTGGATCGAACCCTTGTTTGAGCAATAGGTCGACAACAAACCCATTCCCGTATCTAGCTGCGTTGAAAAGTGCTGTCTGACCTGCATTATCTGTACTAAGACGATCAGCCCCCTTGGCCAGTAATAGCTTAATAACTTCGGAGTGGCTGTAACGAGCGGCGTAGTGGAGCGCGGTCCAGCCACGTTCATCTTTTAAATTAGGGTCACAATTTGCTTCGAGCAAAAGTTCGACTACCTTCTTTTGAGAATCAATTGCGGCCCATAGCATCGTATCGCCATCCATGACATAGTCATGGCCTTTTTGACAACCTAGCATTAAAGGGGTTCGGCCAGCGTTTCCCTTCAAGTCTGGACTGGCTCCATTGCTCAAGAGTAAGCTCATAACCTCAGGATTGCCCTTGTTTGCTGCTAGCGCAAGTGGAGTAAGCCCCCACCGGTCTTTGTGATCTATAACGAGTCCTTGTTTGATCAAAAACCTGGTTGCTTCCTCATGGCCATTCTCTGCCGCCCATGATAATGGAGATCTGTTTGTAGCATCAAGGGAATTCAAGGCATACCCGGCTTCTAGCAACTCCCTCAGCGCATTTTCCGACCCAAAGAATGCCGCCAGATGGGCTTCTGTCACCAATTCTGGCACTTGCACAGCCAGTTGAAATGCTTTCCTAATTCCCAAGTGAGTAACGAGATCTTGTGCGCAAAGCACGACCTTCTTCTTGTCCAGCAGGAGGCCGCGTGCCAGTCCTGGTTTTGCAAGGGCGCGCGCAAAATGATGTGCCCAATAGTGACGAGAGTAGCGGGCAAAGGGATAACCGGCTGTGCGTAAGCCTGCTCCTGACTGAAGGCAATACAATAAATATGCCATGCAGACTTTTGCCATGTCATAGTGCGCTCGGGGAAACCACTGGGTCTGGGTTCTCTCGAAATACTCCTGTGCGGTATGGTGGACCAAGCGGATGATATGACTCTTTTCGTCCACAGTCACCAAGCCAGCACAGGCAGCTTCCATGTCTTGCACATCGGGAAGGTTTTCTGTATCGAATTCGGTCTCTTCGATCTCAACAGCAAGGCCATGTTGGAGCTCTGTGATTTTCAGGGGTTTTCGAGCGCAGGTAATCCATGCAATAATTTGAAATGCCAACTCCTTCTCTCCAGCCGTCTTCCCATTTATCCGTTCCATGGCTTCCTCATATGCAATATTGTAGGCGTCAGTTCCGGATGGCAATTGCTTGAGTGCTCTCCGAATCGCCGTTACCGAGAGCTTTCCTTCCAATGAGTCGAGGTGGAGTTGAGCAAGAAGAAACCTATGAATGTCAGTGCGAGAGCTAATTTTTGAGGAGACACATGAAGGAACATACATTCCATTCACCGTTTTCGTAATTGCGTTGACTATTTCCTTCTGTAGCTCATCGTTGCGTAGCACGACTCTTGACAGCTGAGATATGTGACCTTCCAGATATGCCCTTACATCTTCAGCGGCAGCAGAGATTTCTTGCTGTAAACAACCTTCGAATGCCGATTGGATGGCCGGGCTGTGTCGTGACGTAGCAAATATGCTAACTGTGCTGTTGCTCTGCAGACGAAACAATTCCGATAACAACCTGCGTAGCGCTTCATCCCTAGATGAATATTCATCAAGGGCGTCTACCACTATGAAGATCCTCGAGAAGTGACCAAGCAAAACGGATAGGCTCTCAGAAAGTTCGTCGAGTTTCGGCCGAGTTTGTCGTTTCTTGTGTTGTGCATATAGAGACTTTATATCCTCAGGAAGGGACAACATTCTTTGACACAATTGCTTTATCAGACTCGCAAGTACATCGTCCACACTCTGCTCATTATGGCGCCGAAAGTTGCAGTATATGTAGGCGAGACCAACACTTCGATCATATTGACACTTCTCTTCAAGATTTTCAATGACAATAGCAGTAAGTATTGTTTTCCCGGCTCCAGGTATGCCCGTGCACAGGATATTTTTGTTTTCGTTGTTGATCCACTGCTGAAACTTGTCTGTGCCTAGTAACCACTTACCGGTACCGTCCTGGCGACGTTTGAGAAAGTCTTCTTGCTGAGTTGCATAATTTACTGTTGTAAGCCATTCAAGGATCTCATGACAGGCTTTATCTTCCATGGTGTTGTTGATTTGGTCAACGAGCTCTTTCGTTGCAAAGGCTACCTGACTATTCCGGAAAACATGAGCATTCGCCTTCCTGGGGTGTTTCCGAGCATACCTGGTCAGACTAGTACTCAAGAGACTGAAGACATGAATATCCGAATGTATTCTCTGATGCATTTCAGCCATTCTAGCTTGGTCCCATTTGAGTCTCTTCCAAAAATGGCGATATGCACCACCTAAGCTGTTAGTACCAAAGTTCAACTCCTGGTATTTGTCTAATCTGCGGAGCAGTTCATTCAAGTCGTGATAGCAAGATCTATAAACATCGTCTAAATGCTTTTTCTGCTTGGTATTAAGCCCCGCTTGTTGGTAGGTATTTTCGATATCACGGAGGACATTGCACAAGGTTTTTGAGCTGGTGAAATGTGAGTACCGGAATAGACGTGCATAATATCGGCACCTACGCTTCTGAAATTTGTTTGAATTGTTCAGGTGCATTGACAAAGCGTTCCTTGATGGTCTTAGCGAGATTCACTACAGCGAGGAAGTCCCCGACACCATATCCGAAGCTCATGGTGCAGATTGGAGGGGGCAACCTTTGGTTTCACAGAAGAAGGGAGTAACAATATCTCAATGAAGCTGTTTATTTGTTCAGCATCTTGCGTTTCTCATCAATATTATGGAAGAGAAGTCAGCCCTTATATGGACAACGCCTGATGGCAAGCGCCGGCATCGTGTACTACACACTGCAGCCTCGCGGAAAGAGGGGCTCGGTTCCCTAAAGGCCATCAGGGTTGAGCGAAGAGGATTCATTGGCGTCAGCCACCTGTACGACGAATCACTTCAGGCATTGACCTTGTAATTAAGTTTCTCAATTACCCGATGGGAACACAAGCATCACAAGGGCAATCGGGCGATGCTGCTGCTATACTGCGGAGGCGGAAGTCATAGAAAGTACGAAGTAGTACTCAGTAGATCACAGCATATACACGCTATTCCTGATGTGGAATGGCACAAGGCAAGCTTATCCACCACACTAACGTGGCTGAGTCAGCAGTACCGGCAAAAATGCAGGGCAAGCGTAATGAGCCCTAACGCACCGAGAGCAGTTAGACTCGCTAAGCGAGCCACTAGCTCGACTCTCTCGGGCGGCCAAACCTGAGCGCGAATTTTCGAGATCGATTTCGACCCGTACGACAACTCCCAGCGCCAGCCCGCGAGACGACGACAAGGTATGTGATATTGCTGTCAGCTGCTTGCCTGTTGCATGCTAATTGAGAACAGATGGTCCTCGCAAAGAAGCACGTCCCCATCGTCAAGAAGCGTATGTCCTTTCTTTTCTCCCTGCTAGTCCCAGCCCAGTCCAGTTCCCAGCCAGAGTACGATCCGTCGGTTGTCAGTCGTCCAGCAAGCATGAGGAATATACACGGTGCGATGGAATGAGAAATCAGACGATCGGAGCGAACGAATCAATTGGTGCGAAAAAAAAAAATAACGACAACGAACGACGAATATGATCGGCGAAGAAATTATCATAAGCGACCGAAATTTCGATTCGATCTGGACGAAGATATTTTACCACCAACATGAATTGACAAGTGCTTGCTGGACCACGGACATACAGCCGGATTGAACTAAACCACATACACACATCATCAAGACGAACGACCCGACTAACATCAAACTCCTTCCAGGCACCAAGCGTTTCTGGCGCCACCAGTCCGACCGCTTCAAGTGCGTGCCGGAGTCATGGCGCAAGCCCAAGGGTATCGACAACCGCGTCCGTAGACGCTTCCGTGGCAACATCCCCATGCCCTCCATCGGCTACGGATCCAACAAGAAGACCAAGCACATGATGCCCTCCGGCCACAAGGCTTTCCTCGTCCACAACCCCAAGGACGTTGAGCTCCTGTTGATGCACAACCGCACCTACGCCGCTGAGTACGTTTCACCTGTCTTTCTGACATGACCTCTATAACCACGGAATATACGATGCTAATAAAGAAAACAGGATCGCCAGCGCCGTCTCCTCCCGCAAGCGCGTCGACATCATCGCCAAGGCCAAGGCTCTCGGCGTCAAGGTCACCAACCCCAAGGGCCGCGTCACCACCGAGGCTTAAATGGATATGGAATGAATGTAAAGAAAGCCCAAGAAATTTCATCATTTTCATTTTCATTTTTCATTAAACTCTTTCCACTTATACCAACCAAATGGGAACCAACCACTTTCGGGGGACATAAAAAAGCAGCAACAGCAACTACTTCACTGTGGTAGTGGAGTGGCTTGTTTGTTGTGATTGGGGACTTGCGGAGCCTTGAATCATCGCATCTTCTAATGTGGGCTTTGGCTTTGACGTTGACGACGTATGTGCTGGATTGCAGCGTTTATGATGATTGATTTACATGCATGTGGGTCTTTTGTCATGGCGCTTGTGGTCGTGGCTGGTGCTGCCAGTCTGGGAATAAAAATTCAAATCTTATGAAGACTCTTTGATGACCTCGAAGTGTGGGTGTAGTTGTATCTCGTAGCTTGGTAGTTGGTCCCATTTGGTGTCGTATCCTATCGTGTAGACTATAGCTACGTAAATGGCCTAAACTTCTCTCGTTCTTCTCGACAAGCTAGGAGTTCTGCTATTGTACGTACGTAGTATCTAACATCCAGTAGATGGAGTTGTGTCTGTCTATGACGCTTGTTACATATTATGTCCAGTTTGAAGTGGCAGATGAAACTTGTCTATGGTGGTATCAAGTAAACGAATCCAACTATGTGACATAATGTAGTTCGTCGTCCGTCATCTCAACATGTCTAAAATCTCTAATTGCAATTGCAAGCAACGCCAAATTATGCACCATGTAACCAAACTAGTTAGAACATGATCCCATCAAGCAGTCGCCTGCGCAGCGGCATCTGCCTTCCTACCAGACGAAATGTCGACTAGGCCGACACCCTGCACAAGAGCAGGGATATTCGACTCCGAGCCGTCCTCCGCGCCAGGCAAGACAGCATGTCCGATAACAATCTCCTCTTCCTCGGGAACAAACACCCAGTCGGGCATCTCGCGCGGTCCCTCCACGCCATCAGGCGGCAGAGCCCAGGTAGGCATCTTGCTAGTGTATTTCCAGCCATCCTCTTTGTCAGAGTACGCCGCGGCGTGGAGGAAAATGCCTAGATCCTCGGGTCTAGGGTCCGAGTAGAGCTCTGTGTCGCAGATCTTGCATCTCTCGCCAGACAACATCTCGCCTTTGCGCTTGTGGTATCTCTCCACGGCGGCCTCGTGCTCGCGCGACATGATCTCCTCCACAACAGAGTTATCCGTGCCCGGCGGTACCAGAGGCACTGTGGTAAGGTGTGTCCGATAGCTTACGGTGTCGGGGACTTCAGTCTTGCCAATATTACATAGCTTATCAATGAGCTCGTTGTCGCGCTCGTCGCTGGTCTCGTTCTTTCCGAGATCGGGTCCGAAGACTTTGCGATTGGAGTAGATGGGATCGTTCGAGATCGGGTGTCCGAGGAACTGGAGATGCACGCGGATCTGATGCGTGCGGCCAGTCAATGGCAGACAGTGGACGATACTGTATCCTTCGTCTTCGTTGGTGTAGATCGGGGGTGGGGTCGCCACCCGTCCCTCTGCGTCGGAAGCGCTCTGAGGCTCCGGAGCTTGAGGCGGGATATACGCCAGGCGACGGAACTTGGTCTTTGCCTCCTTGCCAGTGGCACGAACGCGGTTCAAGCCTACCTTTGGGCTCACGGACATGATGGGCTGATCGCAGACGATGACACCGTCAGGGAATTTTCCCTTGACGCGCGCCACATACTCCTTCTGGAGGGTGCGGGCCTTGAGCTTTCCGGTCATGTTCTCTGCAGCTTTCGCGGTCTTTCCGAGGAACATGACTCCGGAGGTGAGTCGGTCCAAACGATTGCAAGGTCGTGGGACCCATTCCGGATGGCGTTGAGAGCGCATGATCTCGAGCACGGAGTTGTAGTGGTAGCGACCAGCGGAGTGGACGGGCACACCGGCGGGCTTGTCAATGACAATCAGATCGTCATCCTCGTGGATGATACCAATCTCTTTCCCGGTGACGGGGGGTTCGTGACGGTGCAGAGTATGCGAGATGATCTGGCCGTTCTTGACGACGGTATTGGGGCCAGCAGGCGTGCCGTTGACGGCAACAAGGCCATCTTGTAGGGCTTTCCTCTGCGGTCCAGAACAACTATGTCAGTATATGATTCTTTAAAGAATAGCCAAGAGATGAGAACGTACGTAGTACTCTGCGGGACGGTCGCGAAACTCCGACAGGAAAATGTCCACCAATTCACGACCCCGCCAGCGCTCCTTGCAAAAAGTGTTGTAGGTGTAGTGGTAGGGCTTCACCCGGCGCAAGCCGCCTTCAAAATAGTATGGTGCAGGCCATGGGTCACAGGGCGTGATGGCCACCTCAGGGGGCTTCTGAACCGGATCAGGAGGTGGGACTTGCAGAGTGGTGTCGACGGGCACGAGAGACATGATGGGTGGGGGAATCCGACCGCGTCGCAGTAGGTACGCGGTAATGCGAGGAGAGGGAGCCAGGAGGGAGAGCGAATGTGAGAAGAATGGCAGAAATGAAAGCGAAAGTGAGTTGGAAGGACAGGGACGAGAAAAGGGGATCCGTTCCTGAGTTGGTTCCGCGGCGGCGAAAGAAAAGAAAAATTTGGCGATGCGGGGAAATTCCCCGTCTATACTCTCCATCCCGCATAAGCATGGCTGGAATCCCAACTTCAACATAGAACCTTTAACCAAGCAAACGTATTTCAATTTGTTTACTATATACTGGCATATTGTTAGGAGTATTTTTGCTGGACCTTCAACATAGACTAATACGATTACATTTTGAAGACCATCATAACCATGCAGTGCAGATCTGGAAAGCAGTTAAACATATAATGCTGGTGACCCTCTGGCGGACTTACTACTAGGCGTATAGACTCACACCAACCTGAACTCAACTGAACCATGCTATCGCATTCATTGAAACTGTTGTTAGTCCACAGCATTCAAGGGCAAGCTTCGAATGAGTAGCGTCAATATAATTTTATCAGAAGAGGATAATCTACTATATAAGCTCGTCTGAGGATCACGTAGCCACGTTGGAGGTGTCACGAATATTGTATACTTCTACTATAGCTCAAGTCAACCATTCTACTTCCTTAGGGTCTGGAGAAGTGCACCAAAGAATGTATTCGTCATCCTGTGGTAGTATAACTGGATGGGGGATGCCATGTCATGCGATACCCATTGTGTTTTATGCCATTATCTTCCCGAATTTAAGCCATTGTTCTAAGGTCGATCTTGTCAAGGCCGGTTCGTCGACTGTCCAAGTGCGATATGGGATACAGGATAGAAGCAATAGCCCATATGACACAGGACTTTGCAGTTTTCATGAAAAGGTGGCCTGCAGATCATAGTTCGCAAGGCGTTTGGGTGGAACCGCTAGACTTCTACTATCACGATCGCATGGTCTTTAGCTCAAGGTGATGAGCAGTCAGGTAGGAATTGACACTTAGCTATTGCCACAGTAATTGACTGCCTCTGATTTGAAGCCTTTGAGCAGATATGCTGCACATTTCAGCATCTGAATTGATGTACCCTGTAGACTGCGCGCACTTAAGAGTCAAACAGCAAATCGAGCAGGACATACTCAATTCACATTGTCAGCTTTATATGTAGACTTTATATAGAACGTAGTCCATGTATGTGACCCGACCAAGCTAAAAGAATATCAGACAATTCTAAGAAAAAGAATAATCCTCATTAATACCCAGTATAAAAAAGCATGCTCCTAACCTGAAAGTAGATTAGTTATAAAAGTCTTGACACCTAAACCACAAGGTGTCAATCACTTGCTATGACGATCACTTCCGAAAGAGGCAATATAATTGCAAGCAACACCTTTCGAGAAACGCGCCGGCCATCTTGTGGTTCTGTCGTGACCTGCAGTGTTTATCAGTGTACTCTTCTCTTCTCTCGTAAATATAACCAATTCCTTGCATAGACAATACCAGCTTGTAGCATTGAAGATATACATTAGCAGCTCAAGGTAGAACCAAGAAGTGCACGTGCTGGAGCATCTTTCGCCGATCGAATTATTCCATCAGTCTCGTCAGTCAACTGGTAGAGAAGTAAGAGTTTAAGGGCCCTAAAGGCAGTCATCAGTGCATTGTGTATGAACCTTTATTGACAAGCCTCCTGCATTTCCAAAGCAACATTAGATCCAACGAGCCTTCGTGAGGACCTACCAAAGGGGGCATTGTAGCAGCTATTGTTGATCCTAGGTTATCTACACTTAGAGGCGCATGTAATGAATACTGGCTTAGACTCGTTGCAGACTATCCCCTACAAACGGCTAATATGCTCACCAGATATCCAAGCGAAGGATATCATCAAACCCGCAGAAGACGAATCAATCTTCCGGGAGTGGGACGACAGCGAGACTGCGCATCTGAGTCCTTGCGTAGATGATAATGAATATACCGTCTATCAGTCTCGCCCGTCCCATCGCAGAAGGGATGGAGTGGTTTCGGGATGCCACTGATCACAGATTTCGGAGAAGCTCGGGTGGGAGAAATGCATGAAGGATTGATCCAACGGGATATTCATCGCGCGCCTGAAGTTATTCTTGGGATTAGATGGACAGTGAAGGCTGAAATATGAAACTTCGGAGTGTTGGTGAGCATGAATATAGCAGTCTACCCATGCTTTTCGTCACGGCATCGGCTAACCAGGAGCTCAAGATCTGGGATCTCTTCGAAGATCATCACCTATTTGACGGCAGGGGACTAGACGGTGGCCATTCAGATGCACAGCTTCTGACTGAGATGGTAGTAGCGATGCTCGGGCCTCTACCAATGGAATTTCTTCGTGTATCACCTCGCAGCCTGGAATACTGGGACACATCAGGTAGGTACGGATGGACTTCATCCATCAGACAATCAATAATAGGTCAATAGAAAGCTTCTGACGAAATCCCATCCATCTTATTGGATGACTTGGAAGAATACCGAGAGGGCGATAACAAGCAGATGTTCATACAATTTGTGAGGAAGATGCTTCAATGAGACCCAGAAGAGAGACAGAGCGCCCGTGAACTAATTGACAGAACCTTGATTAGCAAGCCCTTAATACACTGTATCATCATTAGGTCAAGTTATGTACAATAAATCAAACAATGAAAAAGTATAATCAAAGTAACGAACAATGCTTGAAGATTTCTGAAGCTAGACTTAGTTCACCAACCACTAAACGCTAAGTACGTAGAATCCCACTAGGCGCGACCGCCCGACGAACGGCTCTCGGGTGACCCTCTCACCCCGTGCAACACGCCCCAGTTGCTCAGGGCGTTAACTATGCCTCGGCTCAACTCGGTAGCTCCAACCTTCCCATCCATCAGTCCATCCCCTCATCTACCATCTATACACATTGAACTTCACCAACCTAACTTCAACACCTACCATAACTCCAACCAATCCTACAATCCACCTATACACACGCCAACCCAACCCATAATGTCCACCTCAATAGCGCTCAAAAAGCGCCGCCTCCGAAGCGACTACATCTACCACCAAACCCACCGAACAAGATGGTGAGCCTCCCCTCCTTCCCTTCCCCCAATAACCCCCCTCTAACAAACCCCCCAAAAAACAGGTTCGACAATGACATGTACGCCCACCTCAACAACACCGTCTACGCGATGCTCTTCGACAGCATAATAAACACGTACCTGATCACCCACTGCGGAATGGATCCCTTCACGCACAACAACCCCACCCTTACGACACCCACACCCTCCTCCTTTAAATCCTCTCAAGTGGGCATAATGGTCTCCTCCTACTGCGACTACTTCTCATCGGTCTCATTCCCGGATATTTTGGACCTAGGGCTGCGAGTCACGAAGCTAGGGAATAGCAGCGTGACGTATGAAGTTGGAGTATTTAAGGAAGGGGAGGAAGAGGTGAAGGTTGTTGTGGGGTATACGCATGTTTTTGTAGCGAGGGAGACGATGAGGCCGACGAAGGAAGGGATGGAGGATGGGGTTAGAAGGGCGTTGGAGAGGTTGCTTGTTCGTGATGGTGAGACTCCCGGGGCGAAGTTGTGAGTAATTTAGTAGGTATGGTGAGGCCTGTTCCTGGTGAATGGGATGGATTGGGAGAGGGGTTGGGGAGTTGTATATAATTGATAGAAAGGGATGGGTATACAGAGTACTGTTATCTTAAAGTGTCCTGGTGACATTCATTGGCTAATTCATGTTGTGGATGGGGATGTGGTGTCTCCTGTATCAGATGAGCTGGTGTAGAGATAGATTGGACTACTGGGAGGGAGCAGGTAAATGATTCCGGTTTACTCCGTACTCCATAGGCATACGGCAATCCCGATTTCGTTCCGACTCACATGTAAATCAACTGCAGCAAAGGAAGAAGAATCCTGCGATGATACGTCTCATGCAGCTGTCATGTCGATCCCATCCATACCCGGACTTGCATGCGCTAAACTTTCCCACAATGTCTACCCGAGTACATCTCTCAATTTTGAGCTTCAAGTGAACCATGACAAATACGTTCATGCTAAGATATTAAGTAGTTGTAAAAATAGACTGTCCTTTGCTCCATTGTGCGGTTCGCTGAATGATCAGTCACCCGAAATATAACAAATAGAAAAGATGTGAAATGAACAAGAAGACCGCAGGCCAAACCCCATGTGCTCTATCGCAAAGTCTATCCGATTTTCTATGACCTTGACCCGAACGCCATTGTCGCTTTGTAAACAAGGTCACTGCAGAAAAAGCAGATTCATCCCAGCATTACAGGCTCATGTGTGAATATCATCATAAAAAATAAGAAAAGAAAGAAAACAAGGCAACAAGAACGGAAGAAAGGCATGTAAGACAGACACCGCGCTTAAACGCTATCCCATATAGCAATCAATCAGTCGTGTGCACGCGCAATCGACCATCGCATGTTCTGTAGAATCCAGCTGCAGATAGCATCGCGATGGTCAAACCAAGTGTGTTGACAGCAAAAGAAGTTTTCGATTTGTTCCCACTCGAAGACGAAGGACCATGTAAGGATCAGTTCATCTTGTTCGGCAAAATGCTAGCCCGGGACACATTCGAGCTTTCGGGGAACAGCACCCGGCGCAGGGTCCTCGACTCTGCATCGTAGTGCCATTTCTGGTAAGGACCGGGAATGAATTTGCCCTTGGCATCCCATCCGGCCACCCAGGTGTATCCATCATCAAGGAGAAAGAACATGAATTTTTCTGGCTTGGCGCCTTCGTGGATTTCCACGGTATGCCAGCGGCAGCGCTCCTCCATTTCATGTTCAAAGATGTATCGGTGAAGGATCCGGCAATAGACAAGCGGAACAGGCACTTTTTCGTCGTTATCGTTGCCGTCTTTGTAGACAAGATGCCATCCTCGACCGGGGATGTACTTGTAGATGCCAGGAACGGGACTATCCCAATGTTCCTCTTTGTGGATAGAACCTTGGATGCGTTCTCCACGCTGGAACCAGTAGGTCGGGCAGAACACGTTCCGCAAACAGAGAAAGAGGTTGGGAGCCATGACAACGAATATTGCAGAGGCTTTTTTCTTTTCAAGATGACACGATGTCGAGAGAGATTTTTGAAAACTTCAAAAGTGAAGAAAGAAGATCGAGAAACGCTCGCTTGCTGATGAACAGAATATCAAGAAAGAAACAAGGGGTTGCGAGTTGCAACGGCTGGTTATAAGTCGACGTACATCTTAAACAAACAAGTAGTATAACCTGAGAGTAGAAGATGAAGGAGGAAAGAAAAATGTTAGGCAACAATCAATAATGGCTGATTGTGCCCCCAAGTGCTTTGGGAAAGGAGTAGGATTCGTCGAGACTGCCTCCGATAAGATGGCTCGAGTCCAGGGGAAGGCAAGAGCAAGATGCACGACACGCTGTAACGATGCGGTGTGTGCGAATGTATATGTAGACGTGCCTGGCGACAGTCTAGGCCCGGCCTAAATTTTGGACGGAGAGTTGGTTTTCTTTTTCTTCGCGAAGCCTGAAGGAAGAAAAATCTGGATTGAGGCTGGCTTTAATTATTGGATTTGGGACTGATCGACAGGACCAGGAGACAAGGGAAGCTGGGAAGAGGGGCCGCGAGACAGCTAAAGCAACAGGCGCAGCAGTAGAAGCAGCGGGACGGCGTGGACAGCTCTTTCTTTAAGATTGCTTCTTAGAACCGCATGGTGGCAAGCTCGCATCTGACTGGACAGAAGGGAACAAGGAGCATGGATACCTGTTCGAAAGAGTACGTATCTGGGAAAGAGAGAGAGAGAGGAACAGGACAAATGGCGAGCACCGGATTGGTTTAAAAAGAGGCAGGAATTGAGATGGTGCGCGCCTCCGGGGCGGTCTGAGGTCAGAGTAGGTAGTCAGACGGTCTCAGGAATTGTGGGTGTGGAAAAGTGTGGAAAATTTTTCTTGATGTCACGGGCTAGACCACACTGAGAAGGCGCCCGTCATCCCAAACGGTAGCGTGGGCAACTGAACTTGCAACTGGATCCTTGCCGTGGCCTTAATCACCCTAATCCCACCCTAAATCAATGGAATCTTTGCCCTGCAACAGGAAACTTTGACGCGGGAAACCCGAGCCCCACGGGATCCACCCTCGGGCGATATTTTAACTTTTCCCCTTCTGTGTCTTTTTCCGCCATCCAGGCCCGTATTTGATATTCCGATCCTGAATATGTTGCTTCAGAGCTGCGAGGTGTGTGGCTCTGATGCATATACTAGATCATTCCAATTAGCTGTAGAAAAGGTGTGTGTGAGAGGGAAAGATGAGAATCCGAGTACGAACGTGAGCATCACGGATCACATCATCCTATAGAGCCCATTTCCTAAAATTACTTGACCTCCGGGCTGCGGTGGCTGTGCCTATGGCGCACACTACTCCATGGTGACTCAAGTCCTTGCTTGGTGGCCTTCATCACGACCACCACCCCCTATCAGGTCACCCGAAGCACCTCGTAGTGAACACTTCACCTTGGGGGTTCGAGACCTCTATCACGAAATCACCCGATCTTGGCTCTCATTTTCGGGCTGGTCTCGATCCTTCCTCGGTTGAAATTTGACTTTCTATCCCTTTCTTCGGCAGCAGTACTGAGGGTAGTAGCATAGTTGTTATTGTTGGTGTTGCACACCATGTGGCTATTGTGCCTTAGCGAGCTAGTCTGGCTGGCTGCGATCGCCCGATCATGATATCACTAGTGCCGTTCTCCTATCAAAGCATTTAGCAGATGAGCAACATTGAGGTTCGAAAAAGAAATAATCACCGCATTAGCCAGCTTGGCCAAGACAAGCTACATTCTTGGGATCAAATCACAGAAGCCAGGATTATCACGGCCTTGCCGTGTTGTTCATGCGAGTGTGCAGTCATTCCAAGGTTCCTTGTTCTGCAATACACCACTGGGCCACCACAAGTGCCTCTAAGGGTTGCTCAGGCCCCTTTGCTATCAAACACATTATGGCGGTGTCAAGACCGGCACTGTTTAGGCGGGTTGGAGGTAGACGGGAGTGAGTCAACAGAAGCTCACGGACGGATGTCGCACAGATCGCAGGTCTCCCGCTCTTTCCCAGGCACGAAAAGAAGACGGAACTGTTCAGAGGAGGGGCTGGGAATCCCGTGATTGAGCAGTGGCCAGATGGCCTGGAGCTTAGCTTCACATTCCTTCAGAGCTCTCTCCATACTCCGTGCTCCACTCACCATCCCACGCGCCCGAGTCTCTGTTCCTCAACCTAGTACCCTCGCGGAGATGCTATCTCGCATATACTCTCTTCCCAGATTTAGCTTTCACTAACTCATTAGCTATTAAGCTCATACAGCTCTATTGGACCGGTGGTCTATCCTCCGAACTGAGGTCTGATCAGGTGTTGAAAGCCTACCAATCGCGTCTTCTATACTGTGAAAGTACTGAGCTGTTTACACAGCATGAAATCATCAAGCAATAAGCCTGCGTGATGAGCTGTGCTGTGTTGTGCGCACGCGCCACCTCATGAAGTAGCTGGTGGGTCAAAGAAGTGTTGTTCATTCAATGCTCAAATTATGTCATAACAAAAACTATAATTATTCAGTGATTGTGCCTGGGCTCCGGGTATCGCTGCGCCAGCCGTTGGTATTTGACTGCTTCTCGGAGGACCATTCCTTCGCTCAACTGTGACGTTTCCTTGCGGAAGAGCTCTTGCCATGGGGTCTGGCTTTCCGGCATATTGTAACCCCCACTCGCTTCAAGCTCCTGCTTTCGCTTCTTTAATTCGTCCGCAGGGACAAGGATGTCTACCCGCCGCTGGTTAAGGTCCACTCGGAGCCGGTCTCCATCCCGAAGGATGGCAAGGTTGCCGCCCGCTGCTGCCTCAGGACTGGCGTTCAAGATAGATGGAGATCCTGAAGTTCCCGACTGCCGTCCGTCGCCAATGCATGGAAGGGACTTGACCCCTTCTCGCAGGAGCCTTCCTGGAGGGTGCATATTGACCACCTCAGCTGCACCGGGATAGCCCAGTGGACCAGCCCCGCGCATCACCAGGATACTCTTGTCATCGATGGGGGTGGAGGGGTCCTCTAACCGATGATGATAATCCTCCGGCCCGTCAAAAACTACCACAGACCCCTCAAACGCATTTGGATCTGCAGGATTCTCTAGGAATCTTTGCCTGAACGGCTCAGAGATGACGCATGTTTTCATGATGGCAGAGTCAAATAGGGTACCGGTCAAGTGAAGGAAGCCAGCATCCTTGAGGAGAGGATCGTCATAAGCTCTGATCATCCGCCGATTCCAGGTATGTTTCCCACGGACGTTTTGTGCTACAGTGTGGCCATTGCACGTCACGGCATCTGCATTCAACTTGCCCGCATCCAGCAGCTCCGCCATAATCGCCGGCAACCCTCCTGCTCGGTAATACTCTTCCCCTAGGAGCTCCCCTGCCGGTTGCATGTTTAGCAAGAGCGGGATGTGGAACCCAAGGCGATCCCAGTCATCTAGCGAAAGATCCACCCCAATATGCTTCGCAATGGCGTTGATATGAATAGGAGCGTTAGTACTGCCACCAATCGCCGTGTTGACAGCAATGACATTCTCAAAAGCCTCCCTGGTCATGATGTCACTTGGCTTGCGATCAGAGTGCACCATCTCTACGATCCGTAACCCGGTCTCATAAGCACATTGAGCTCGTTCACGGTACGGAGCCGGAATGGCAGCTGACCCAGGCAGGGCCATGCCAAGGGCTTCTGCAAGCGCATTCATAGTTGATGCCGTACCCATAGTGTTGCAGTGACCTGCTGACGGTGCACTAATGCGAAGCGTTAGTCAAAACAAGGAAGTGTGTCCGATAATTCGTGACATACCCGCGGGAAATGTAATCTACAAATTCCTCCGTGGTGATCTCTCCTGCAGCGTGCATCTCCCTGCCTTTCCAGACCACCATCCCCGAACCAGCCAATTCGTCCTTCACATAGCCATTGAGCATGGGACCGACGTTGAGACATATAGCAGGGATGTTCTGGGAATCCGAGTCAGTTGGGCAGCTATGGAAGAATATGATGCAAGCCTGGCAGAACAACATACGACTGTGGCGGCAGCCATCAGGCATGCCGGGGTTGTCTTGTCGCACCCGGTGAGGAGGACCACCCCGTCCAAGAAGTAGCCATGAAGGATTTCAACGAGACCAAGATAAGAAAGGTTCCGGTCGATACAAGCGGTGGGCCGTCGGCTAGTCTCTTGAATGGGGTGAGTGGGGAACTCGAAGGCGATTCCGCCAGCAGTTCTGATACCCTCTCGGACCCGTTTGGCAAGCTCCAGGTGATGACGGTTGCACGGTGCCAGATCGGATCCGGTCTGAGCTATCCCGATAATAGGCTTGCCAGACATCAGTTCCTCCCGAGTCACACCATAGTTAAGGTATCTTTCAATGTACAAGGCCATCATTCCTGGATCGCCTTCGCACTGAAACCACTTCGTGGACCGCAGCTTGCGTCCGGCTTTCGGCGTGCTGCTTGACGAACTCTTCATCGATGCAAGAGCCTTTTCAAGTTCTATGGTCCTCTTCCGGAGGGCAAGCAGCTCGGTTTCACAATCTTCAATGTTAACCACTCCTTTGCTGCCACTGTCGCTGCAAGAGCAGCCCTCACACGAAGCCTGCGACTGGCACGACATGTTGGATAGTCCCTTATTTGTCGACGTGATGCCTGCGCCTAAAACAGGCCACTAGCTATATGGCTATTCAAAGTCACTATGATGGAGAGAAGCAGGGTCGCAAGATAAAGACCGCTGCTCTGACGCCTTGACACCAAGAAGGTTACCCCGGGATTTGGAATGCGGTGCGCCGGGGCCGAGTCAATTCGGCGGAGAATGTCCGAGTCAGATTAGCCGCGTACCGAAAGGGGCATCAAAAGAGAGCGGAAGAAAAAGCAATGAAAGGTTAAATAACGACTCGGAAACTATTTGGATCGAAGACTCAGGCACAGCGGGAAAGCAGACAATTAAATAGCCAGCAAAACAGGCGCTGGATGTGTAATGAGGACCCCGTACCAATGTTTCGGAAATCAGCCTTGGATCGCGTGGCTCTCGGCTCGGGTTGGTTTAGTTGGTTGGTCGAGTCGATGAAGATGGAGCCCGTGGGAGGTGTACCCCACGCTATATCCATGGGGGCACGGAGGGGCCTGGAGAAAGAGCATGGGGGTTACAATTCTTCTTTCGGTCTTCATGCATTCCGTCATCCCGAGTGGGTTGAACCAGCACAGTCGGTTCCGGACCAGGGTTTGCAATCCCGTTAATAATCCGGTGCTGTGCAGTTGCAATGCACGGCGTCACAGGTTCGTGTTGGGTTGGGTCGGGAAACTCAGTTTCCCACACCCCATGCGTCGTATGTATTGTAAACTATACTGATGCAATCCAAATAGCTCATAAGTAAACAGAGGAGGAATTTTATACTGTGAAAACAAATGCTAAGGAACTTGCTAGTTGACTGCCTTTCTTATACTTTGGCACAGCGCGAAAAGATCGCTAGACTTCTCGACCAATGTGCTGCAGGCACTATATACCGCTTCCTTGCAGAGTAATGATATGAAGCTATTCAGCGACTAAAAGCAAACGTGATGTTTGCACTCAATACCAGATTCGCTACTCTTGCGGCCACAGTCTGAACAATGAATTTGGCAAAGTGTCCCGCTCACGCCAAAAAGGAGGACTACAGGTGTCCTTCCGGACAATGGGAGTACGGGGAAGCGAAGGGATGCGCCCATAAGTGCCGGGTTTGTTCAGTAGCTGAATCAAGACGGTAAGGTGGGTAGGCAACGAAACCCTTATACAGCTTTACAAAGCTTAAAGTCATAGTTTATTGAAGGGGCTGCGGGCATTCGAAGAACCCGTGTTGGACGCCTGGTTTTCTCTTCTGCACTTATATCCTTCAATATGTGTTGACAGCTTCCGTGTAGAGAATGAGAGGGAGTCGTTCTCCGTTTCCAGTGCGGGACCTATATCTCCTCGCACACTTGATGATACTCAGGGATCCTCCAAGGCACCTGCGATTATACTAAAAAACTAAGATAATAATACCTGCTGCCAAGTCAATTACGTCAAAAAGTAGGCTTATCGATGCCCTTTTGATAAGACAGAGGAGGCAGAACTAAATACAGGTAATGACGGTTCCTTTATGTTCCTTCCAACATGACCCTCGACATGCCATGACATGATCTAGTCAGACTCTATGCTACTCATTCTACCGGTAGTTAGTAAATCATCGCACATCGCTTTTGCCTTCCCCACGGGTACCCACAGATTATCAATCGCTTCTACTTGATACATGGCTCGGACTAGGGAGCTCTCTGCACAAGGTCTATTGTCTAGTCAAAAACAGACAATTGCACACTCAACAATCATCATTCCCATCATAAAACTATATTTATCTCATCGATCAATCCATAATAGTAGTTGACCCGAAACGCCCACGATGCGAGAGAGGAGCTGATCCAGAAGCAGCCAACGAGTCTATCATCATGAGGTGAACTAGCAGAGAGGTATAATGTCCTCGAAAAGGACAGAAACAAAAGAAGGAGCAGAGGCAAAACAGATACAGAGAAAGCATAAGCCATGCCAAAAGTCTACTGGGTCGCACACTGCGCAGTCGTCTCACCCTCATCATCATCCTCCCATGCAGAACCCCCCTCGGGGTCATGCGCCCCAAAGTCATCCAGATTGCCCTTGGGGTCGAACTCTACCTCGTCCACGGTGTCAGCCTGAATAGGGGGTTCCGGCTTGGGCAACAGTTCCTTGAGTTGCTCCAGAACAGCAGGGCTGGGCTTCCATTTCCCGTCGGGGAACTTGATGTTGACGACCAGGTACAGGTCACCACGGGCATCGCTGCGCTTGATGGGCATACCCTCACCAGGCACCTTCAGGACCTGGCCCGGATACAGAACCTCACCTGGGGTCTTGGGGTGCTGAATTTCGATTCCGCGACCGTCAAGGTGCTTGACTACCACCCGGGAGAAGCCCGTCAGAGCCTCGGCCAGCGTAACATCGATTGTTGCCGTCAGATCGGCAGCAGCCCTTCGGAAAGTCTCGTGCTCCTCTTCCACGATGTGGAAAACGATATCTCCAGGTTCCTGACCCGGCACCTGGTCGGCCTCGCCCTCGAGGATGATCTTGTCTCCTTCCCTAATCACAGTGTTAGTTACTGCACTCGAGGCAGTACGACACATAGCTAGACTCACCTCGCCCCGCGAGGGATGTAGATCTCCAGCAACTTCTTAGCCTCGGTGGTCTTCTTGCCCTTGCACTTCTTGCACTTATCCTTGTCGACAAAGTAGTCACCCGCTCCGTTACAGGTAGGGCAGGGAACCATAGCCGGAGACAGGAACTGACCCATCGGGCGCAAAATCTGCTTGTAACCTGCGAAGCAATACATTAGCCCGGAATTCTGCACACCAAGTCCCATAGGTATATGAACCTACCTTCACCATCGCAAGTGGAGCACTTCCTGGCCGTCGCCCTCTCCTTACCACCCTTGCCCTGACACAGAGAGCAAATCACATTCTTCGTGCTGGCAAACTTGACCGTCTTGCCCTTGTACAGATCCTCCAGGCGAACCTCATACTTCTGCTCCTCATCCGGGCTCTTGCGCGGCTTACGCGCATGCGGACCACCGGGCATTCCGCCCATGCCGCCCATACCTCCCATACCACCGAACATCTGCGCAAGAATATCATCCAAATCAGGGCCCGCGCCCATACCCGGTTCACCGGAGCCGTTGAAAGCGCCCATTCCATGGGTATCGTAGATCTCACGCTTCTCTTCGTCGTAGAGGATGTCGTAGGCTTCCTGCACGGCCTTGAATCGGACCTCTGCATCTTGTCTTTCGGCTTCGGGGACTTTGTCGGGGTGATTTGCTAGAGCGGCCTTTGGACCCAAAAAGTATTAGACTGTACTTCAATACTGTGTTCGATATAGAGAATCTGAATACCTTGCGATATGCCTTCCGGATATCATCTTTGCCGGCACTCTTGTCAATGCCCAAGACCTCTGTAATCCATCATATTCTGATTAGTCGCTGTTGTAATGTTGGCTTTCCGCATTTTCTCTCTGCAGAAATTAAGAGTAGACAATATATATACCGTAGAGGTCAACGTCCGCTTTCGACACTAAATCATACCAAATCAGTCAGCATACCGGAGGCTCAAGCTAGTAACATCTAAATTTTAAGCGATAGCGGGAACACATACTGATAGTAGGAAGTAGAGGGTAAGATTTTCGACGAACACAAGCGACGAATAAAGGGTATCAAAGATAACAGTATCAACAACAAGCAAAAGGATGAATGAGTAAAGTCTCAAGCCAGCAAAGCCGTGTGTTCCTGGCGACAAAGTAATTAGAGGAGGGAAGAGAAAAGAGGGAGAGAGAGCGGCTGAGGCCGTAAAAGTAAAAAGGCTAAAGCAATCGCGATAAAAGCAGCGCCCGATAATAATTTATTGCCGCCCCAAACCCACCAATCACATCACATATAATTGCGCTTTCCGCCTTTTCTGTCGGGATTTATCTTTCTTTCTCCGCCATTGATTTTCCCCAGCTTCAGCGCATACTTGTTACTTATATAGCATTAGCATCGGCGTTTTCGATATCTACCTTGTCACTCGCGATGCTCAGGCGCCCAACAGCCCCCACCATCTGGGCCCGTCGTCCCTGGGTCTGCACCCAATGTCAAGCCCGGTATTCCTCCGTCGCGCCGGGCTCGAATCTCCGCGCTGGCAATAACAACAATACCATCAACAAAAAAACTAAATTGCCTGACTCGCCGGCGAGGACTCGATTCGCACCGTCTCCGACCGGCTACCTTCATTTGGGATCTCTGCGGACGGCTTTGTTCAATTACCTTTTGGCGAAGCGCACGGGAGGACAGTTCTTGCTGCGCATTGAGGATACGGATCAGGTGCGGTGATTAGCTGGTTAAACAGCTTTGAATAGGTTTTTGGGAGGAGGTAGGAGCTAATTGGGGAATCTGCTACAGAAACGTACAATTCCGGATGCTGAGCAGAGGCTTTATGATGATCTTCGGTGGGCTGGATTGCACTGGGATGAAGGTGCGGAAGACAATATGTGCGGAAAGGAGCTGAGCTGGTTAGATGACTGACGGATGGTTGTTCTTACAGGTCCGGTTGTCGGTGGTCCGTACGGTCCTTACAGACAGGTATGATTGAGGAGACAGTGTTCCCTGTGCATCGGAGCCATTTACTGAGAGAAGCTTTAGTCCGAACGAACCGCCATCTACCGCTCCCACGCGCAGGAGCTGATCGAGAACGGCCACGCCTACCGCTGCTTCTGCTCCGCCGATCGATTGGACGCTTTCGCCAGACATCGCAGCCAAGCTGGACTGCCGGCCGGTTACGATAGGAAATGCGGGGAGGTCTCTGCGGAGGAGTCGGAAGAGAGGGCGGCCAAGGGTGAAGCGCATGTCGTTCGACTGAAGGTGGAAGGATACCCTATGTTCAACGATCTGGTGTACGGCAAGACGGGCCAGAACCGCTCGCCGAACAAGTTGGATTTGATCGAGCGTGTCTATGACGATCCCATTCTGATCAAGTCCGACGGACACCCGACCTATCATCTGGCGAACGTGGTGGATGATCATCTCATGAAGATCACCCATGTCATTCGAGGAACGGTAAGCTGCGGAAGATATATAGAAGAAGTTGCACAAGCTTACGCTCTACCCAGGAATGGATGCCCTCGACCCCCATGCACGTCGCGCTTTACAACGCCTTCAAGTGGACGCCTCCGCAGTTCGGCCACGTACCTCTCCTCGTGGACAAGTCGGGACAGAAGCTCAGCAAACGCAATGCGGATATCGACCTCAGCTTCTTCAAGGACACCCAAGGCGTTTTTGCTGCAACCCTCGTGAACTTTGCCGCTCTCCTGGGCTGGTCGCACACCCAGAAGTCGGATATCTTCAACCTTGAAGAGCTGGAGCAACTCGTACGTCCCTCTACCTCCTTCACTCGCTCACTCAAACCCACTAACACAAGCAACACAGTTCAACCTCAAAATCACCCGCGGCAACACCGTCGTGGCCTTCGAAAAGCTTTGGTTCCTCCAGAAAGCGCACGCCCAACGCTTCGCCTCCACCGACGGGCCCGAATTCACCGAGATGGTGACCAAGGTATCCGAAGAAGTCGAGAAGACCTACCCAGCCGCGCAACTGTACATACACCCACTCCCTTACCCTACAAACACATACTCAAACAAACCAACTAACCACTCACTCACAGCAACCCCCTCCTCCAATCCCGTTCCCTACAAACATACATCGCCCCCCTCCTCCGCGCCGACGCCAAATCCTACACCAACGCCGCAGACTTCACAACCCGCAACTCGACCTTCTTCACCCAATCCCTCAACCGATCCCCTTACACCCCCTCATCTACGACCAACACAATCCCTTTGACATCCCTCCACACCGCAAGCCTAGCACTCACCCTCGTCCCCCCGGCACACTGGACCCTCGAAACCCACCGCGCAAACATAACCGCCTACGACGGCACCACCCCCGACGACTCCTCTCCCACTGACACCCTCACGCCCGAAGAATCCACCAAAGCGCAGAAGGCAGCTGACAAAGCCTTCAAGAAGGAACTATACCACTACCTCCGCTGGGCATTGTCGGCTGGTGCACCGGGTCCTGGTATCCCAGAGACCATGGCTATTTTGGGTAGAGAGGAGACGGTGAGGAGAGTACAGGAGGCGAAGGAGTTGACGGCGCATTTGGTGCCGGGGCCGACGAGACGGGTTAAGCAGGGAGTGGAGAGTTTGGGTGAGGATCGGTCTTGGATGGGGTCGTTGGCTCCTTCTTCTGGGTCTTCTTAGGTGTATATGTCTGGCAGATTATTGTGTGGTAGAGGCTGAAGTATCTGAGAAGGGTAGATGGTGACGTGTGTAAGTAATAAGAATCAAGTGTATGATAGAAGTGTAGAATATGATCAGTACAGTTGAATCATGTTACAGCTTTGTATTTTATCGATCATACTATCCTACAACTCTTGATCTTCGAGTAAAAGTGGTAGAAAAGGAATAAATACTATCCATTGCTAGGACATGAACCATAAAGTAACTTAGCGGCTAAAAGAGATAACAAACCGCGCTGATATCACAACAGAAATAGAGTCAAAAGCATGCCAGGGACTTATACACACGTCCATAGAAGACAAAAAAGAAGAAAAACCAGAGAGCCACACCAAGAGAAGAGAAGATTCGAAGTCGGTAATCGAGCGAATTATCATAAAAAGAAATTGAGGGAGGAGTCGCAGCTGGAACACCAACCCCGTCTATCCCAGTCCGGGTAGAGGTAAATTATTCAAACTTAGAGCAAAAAGGCATGTTACAAAAAGACGCCTGGTTTTTCCGCAGTCCTTTTTCCATTTGTGACATCAGGTAACGACATGCTGAAGTCTGTCGCGGGTTGTCGGGCCCTGCCTATCACGCAGTGAGTGGCAGAGTGGTAGAAGTAAGTCGGACGCAAAGTAAAATCCAAGGTTGGGCGTCCAGATAAGCCAGAACATAACGCACGTGGTATAATTCCGAATTTTAACAGAAGAAATTAAGATGGTTAGCTGAGCGCATTTGCGCAAGTCATTGTTGATGCTGTGAAAAGCTCAACGATTAAATGGTGCGAGTGGGAACGGTGACAGAAAGAGTGCTTCAGGGTCATTCGTGAAATCGTCAACGTCGAGTCGTCTCGTAATCACGTTCTTTCAGAGACCCCTGAAAGTCTCAAATAAGTAGGATCATTAGTCAACGAAAGGCTATACGTGGGAGACTTCAATATGGCTCTAAGTCATCCGTCCACTCGGCGTCGCTGACTCGAACCATGTTCCCCATCTGGGGAGCTGGCTCGTCTGGGCTGACGCTTCGGATGCCTTTGGCTTTCTTGCCTCCAAGGGAGCGGTTCTGGTTCTCCTCAGGATCGGCCAGTCGCTTCCCATGTGCAGCACGAAGCTTCGCATAGTACACGTCGCTAGCGTCTGCTTCGGATTCCGAACCGTCATCGAAAGTCTCCCAGTTCTCTGACCCAGATACTGCGGTCTGCACCGTGGAGTTCGACACTTGTCTTGGCGCTGGCGGTGGGGGCATTTGCTGCAAATATGGGTTTGGCTTGGGGTAGCCTTGCATAGAGGAGCTCAAGGACAGTGACGAAGCTGAAGAGTGGGAAGATTGGGAAAATCCAGTGGAGCGTTGAGAGAACGCGGAAGAGCTGACAAAGGAGCGTTGGTTACGATCGTCATACACGTCCTCTGGGCTGACTGGCCGCACAAATGAATTCGACAAGGCGCTGGCAGATCGAGGTGGCTCAAACAGGTATGCCGCTCGATCCTCCCTCGACTCACCTCCGGTCAACGCGCGCATCCTCGGCGGTGGTGCACGAGGTGCCGGCATCTTACCGTTCACAGTACTAGATGAATATGTGCCTGGACCACCCCGGCGCGGGGAGTTGCTTCCATGCGGCATATTGCCCAGGGGAACACGAGCTGGAATTTTCGACGGCGATTTGGCCCCTGCCCTACCAGCAGCAGGTCCAATGGTGTTGTACTTTGTAGTTGGATGGGCAGTGGGTGTCTTGGAAGCCGAGCGCGGCGGCAAAGGCCCTCGCATGGCACTGCCAGGCCGAGAACTCATGACACTGGCCGGACGAGGCGGTTGTGCTGGGGTAGGACGTTTTGCGCTGGTAGGCCCAGGAGTCTTGGACCGTGGAGGTGGCTTTGCAACAACCGGGGTGAGTTCGTCGAGGTACCGTTCTCCATGGACGAGGAATGGCCGGCCATACTCATCCTCCCACCTCTCCAGCTCTTTGCGCAAGTCGGCTTCCACCTTGGGCAGCTCCTTGGCAATCCTCTTTCTCATCTTCTCTTCTCTTAGAAGCTTTCCAGGATCGCGTCTCTCGCCCTTGTTTCCGCGAGCCATAAGACGGGATGCGTCCTGACTCGAAACGGCCAGTGCTTCCCGCTCTGATAGGAGGCTCTTATGCTTCTCGATGAGTTGCAGAGTCGGCGCGCGCTGTTCCTTCAAGGTCTCTAGTCGCGCGATTTCAGCTTCGTGCGCCTCTAACAGTGCATCGCTGCAAACATCTGAAAAGGCAGGCGTGAAGTCAAGCATCTCTTCTTCCGAGAAGTAGAGGCTATCCCAGAGCTCTTGGAGTCGACACCGAGCATCTTCCACGAATAGATGCAGGTTCTGTCTCTTCAGCTCATTCAGGCGACTCAACTCGTCCTCGAACTCATTGATCGTCCGAAGTCCGCAGCCACGGTTCGCATTCATGAACGCTTTTCTGTCGCAGTCTTCGACTCCGAATCGTTCCCACAATGCTTCGACGGCGTTCTTAAGGTCCATCAGTTTGCGCTCGCGGCCCTTCTTCTCACCCAAGAGCTTTTCGCGCTTGGCCATCAGATTGGCCAGATCCGACTCATGGAGACCTAATTGCTCTGGCGATTCGCGATAGTATTTGACAATGTTGGTGTCTGTCTGAACCTGAGGCGTTCCGAGCTCGGCCCACAGCTTGATAATCTCTTCAGATGTGGACTGAACAAACTCCAGACGACGATGGTACTCCTCGTAAACGCGGGTGAATTCGCTGTCTAGCGCAGTGACGTAGGATGGCGAGAGGTCGAAGCTGGGTGAGATGGTTGATCCAGGAGCTGTCGGGGGAAGCTCAATGGCGACAAAGGTAGGTTCAAGATGCGACGCGTACGACTCAAGAGCCTCGACAAGTTCTATAGCCAGTCAACAATTGCGCGCCTTGTGGCGCTTAGGATTAACTCACTCCTGACTTGCTCGAAGCGCTCTTTGTGTAGTTTGCTCAATGCGTTGTGCTCCTCTCGGAGAAAGGCGAGGCAGCGATTCAGTGGGTAGCTAATGCGCAGTTCGTTGTGGTCAAGCTGGTACTGTCCGTTCGCCTTTTCATCGACTAAGGACTTCTCCATATGCTGGATTGCTTCGATGAGGTTCTGTGCCTCATCCTCCATATCTTTTTTCTCACTACAAAAGATTAGCCCTAGGTCATAAGGACATTGGAATGTAGGCGAGGCGCATACTTATCCACAAGTTTGAGGTGGTTGTTCAGCGTTTCAGACAACGCGCTGAAGAGCTGCTTTACAGTTAGTCGCGAGGGGTGCTGAGCATATCAGAAACAACCAACCTCTGCTTCTCTGGACTCGCGCTCATGGTTCGGAACGCCAATGTCATCAAAGATTCCATGCAATTGAGTGACGATGTTATTGACCTGAGTGGTCAAGTAGCTTGTATCGACGGCCATAGTGTTGTGTTTGTTTCCCACGCCCAAGCCAGGGGGGGTTATTGGTGTATTGTGGAGCTGATTGGCCTGAAGGAGGTTGTTTGAGTGCGCGATCGAAGACAAACTCGCCTTTAAATGGCGGGGGTCAGCGTCATGTACGCTCGGGGGGCGGCGATGCGCCTGGAGAGATTAGAAAGAGGAGCTGCGAGTTATCCAAACAGGCAGGATGAACAACGCGAGACTGCGATTGACAGCGAAGCGCCTCACGGGAAGATGAGTGGCATCTGCGAGGACAAGGGAAGACCCGCCAGATTTATGACCAGCTCAGCGAGATGCGGGTATATGCAAGGGTGACTGGGATGGAGGGGATGGAGACAGGCAGCGGTGATGGAGGGAAAGACAATAACAATATCCCTTTGGGGATTCTGCAGCCGCAATCCCGATCTGCTCGCCGCCTTGTTGCTCTGTTTGCTGCCGCTTTCAGCTGTGACCCCGTCGGCCCGGTAACCGCTGACTCAGCGCCGATCTCCGCCGCGATCTGCCGGGAAGTTGCTCACCGCCCGGAGTCACCTCACTCCATCTCTCTATCTACTATCCAGATCTCATTATCTACTGCTCCGCTTGACCTTTTCATTCCAATAATCAAAATCTACTTCTGATTTCAGCCAATCCGTGTTAATCACTTATCCCATTCCCTTGCTATTCCAATTACATCTTCTACTCTACCATCCACCATGCAGGCTGCCCAGCAGTCCTGGGGTACGTCCATCCCCAACCCCATCCCCACCCCCACTCCATCTCACAGCACTCTAACCCCATAACCACAGAATTCGAAAATGCCGTCACCCTCATAGACCCCCACCGAGACGCGCTCTACAAATACGATGAAGAGACACACAAAGCTCTTAGCGCTCAGCGCCCTTGGTCCAAAGACCCACACTACTTCAAATCGATCCGAATCTCCGCCGTCGCACTCCTCAAGATGGTAATGCACGCGCGGTCCGGCGGCTCCCTCGAAGTAATGGGCCTAATGCAAGGCTATGTCCTGCCCGAAACCTTCGTGGTAACCGACGCCTTCCGACTTCCCGTAGAGGGAACCGAAACGCGAGTCAACGCCCAAGACGAAGCCAACGAATACATGGTCTCATACCTACAGTCGTGCCGGGATGCAGGACGGATGGAAAATGCAGTGGGCTGGTACCACAGTCATCCCGGGTACGGGTGCTGGTTATCGGGCATTGATGTGACGACGCAGGATATGCAGCAGCTCGGGGGACCGTTTGTGGCGGTGGTGGTTGATCCAGAGAGGACGATCTCAGCAGGGAAGGTGGATATTGGGGCATTTAGGACGTTTCCGAAGGATTATACGCCGCCGAAAGGGGAGGGGGGTAGTGGTGCTGGGGAGGATGACTATCAGACGGTGCCGTTGAACAAGGCGGAGGACTTTGGGGCACATGCGTCACATTATTATTCGCTGGAGGTGTCGGTGTTTAAGAGTGCGTTGGATACGGAGATTCTGTCGTTGCTGTGGAATAAGTATTGGGTTGCGACGTTGAGTCAGAGTCCGTTGTTTACGACGAGGGATTATGGGAGTAAGCAGATGGTGGATTTGAGTCAGAAGATTAAGCGGGCCACGAGGGGCGTGGAGAGTAGTGCTTCGCGAGGGAATCTGGCGCAAGTTAAGGATCCGCAGTTGGAGAGGGTGGCGAGGGATGGGCAGCGGATTGTCTCGGAAGAAGTGAAGGGTTTGTTGGCGGCGGAAGTGAAGATGAAGCTGTTTCAAAATGTTGGGGAGGGGAATAGATCGGAGAAATCATGAGCTTGTGCTCAACTTCTGTTCTTATGAAAGGCTTATGAAGGTTCATTTGAGAACAACTCTACTATGAATGACGAGATGACTTAATGGATACATTTGCTGCTTCTTTCTTTTTGTTGTCTACTCAGTAGCAATTTGTGCTATCATTGTATTTGGTCGTATTACGTCTCGTTACCGCTATTCCTGTGCACTGATGACCATTGATGCATGTAATATGTGCTTTAATATGTACTAACACACTGCAGCAGGTGTATATGTCCATAGGAGAACAGATCAGCACAAGGGGACGACAAGAGGGGTAATCATGAATGAAAATGCCCAAAGCAAAGACCAATCCGTCAATAGTAGCCTGCGTCGTGATAAATCATCATCCGAACCGTAAACAAGCCTCTTTATAAGATCACAATCAACACCAGGTGAGAGACCACGAAAGCAAAGAGAATTTGTACAGAAGGGAGAAAGGACCCGAGCCATTGTACAGAGGTGATATGTTCGACACAATATGTAAAGTATCGGGAAAAGAAGCCGAAAAGAAATGGTGACCGTCAAGGTAGACTAGAAGACAAAAGAAATCGCAGTCGTATCGATACGAGACTGGAGTTGGTCGAGAAGAGATAAAGCGGAAATGGTGTCCGGCTATCAAGGAAATGATGAAATAAGGAACGACGGGGAAGAGATGGACCAAAGGAGTATAGGCCGGTGTCAAAGAGGGAGTCGTAGTGGATTTTCCCACAGTATAAGCCAGCAGTGATGGAGTTCCTGCGCTGCTATTTCTTTGGACTAATGGGCCATATTGGGCACCATTTTCTTAAGAATCAGAACCAGTAGTCCATGGACTGATGATCATGAGAGCTGAAAGTGACAGGAGCATCTTTCGGACTCAAGGTAACATTGCTCGAGCTTCTTGTGCAACGGCTGCCACAGTATTCAATCAGGGAGATGACGATCGTCCAGGCGAGGCCAAGAATCAGGGTGAAAATGTCGCATGATGTCCAGGTGAAGTGCTTGATTGGCCAGGTGGCGGCAGACAGAGATAAGGGAGAAACCCGTCGGAAGGGAGGTTCGGATCGAGGAATTTGGCGGCTCATGGGACCAGCCCCCTGAGAAATAAAGTTGCATGGCGTGGCTGGAGTGAATTGCGATCGCGCCATCGGACGTCGTTCAAGCATTGTGATAGGTGGTCGTTCGGGATCTGGCCGAGTGAATAGCAGGTCGACCGGGGTGGTGATAAGGAGCCCCGGCGGAGAAGCGAGAATCGAGGCGAGGCGAGCACTACAGGAAGCCCGATTCTGACAACAATCTACGTAGGGGAAAGTAGTAGGTTAGTCTTCACTCAAGCATCAAGACGTCTTCCAGAGCTCAATATTTCTTGACAAATGACCGTGTCGCCTAGGGAGATCAACCACTGGACGACAGGAACAGAGAAGGGAGGGGGAAGGGGATAGAAAAAAGCAGAACAAGCGACCTGATCAGCGCGTCGACACTACCATGCTCGCGAGAGTCAAGGCGCTCATGTCTCTACTGGTTTTGGCATACCTCGCAATTTTTTCGTCCTCCCGCTCTCTGGGTTCAACTTCCAAGCTCCGATCGTACATGTCGTGCACATCGCCTGCATTCTGCAGGTTGCTGAGGATATAGTCCTGCAATTCAGGGACCGGCTGGAGCAGGTACGGGACGTTCTGGTACTGCTGAATATCGCGGATGACCTCGGCGGTTTTGGCGCGCTTATTGAAATTGATCAACTCCGACGGAGTCAGGGATGGAATACCATCTTCAATGAAAGTCAAATCCGTCAAGTAGACACCTAAGCAGTCTGTTAGTCTCGAAACGATAGCATGATAACTAGAAGGCCGGGGCCTGCAATAAATGCATACCAAAGAAGGGGATACAAGGTGGATTAGCCAGATGCAGAGTCTCCCGATATTCACCAAAGTTCTTCGTGCTAGCCATGAGTCGGCGCATCTGTTCGAGAACGGTAGACGTGCGTCCGCTGACCTGAGCCCATGTGCGTCCAAGTCGATGAATAGGAGCCGTTCCAAGTGCAGAGATGATCGATGTCAGCGTGGAGTAATTGTTCAGAGCGCGGCATTTCTAGTAAGCGTCAGCATCTACCCTTGGCCGAGAGGTAAAAGAGGGGCAAAGGGCTAGTCCGTACATCTGCGACGTTAACGAAGTGTTTGATAACAACTACACGCTTCTTAACATCCGATTGATTGAGAATCATCTCCGCGACCCAGTTTGTCAACTGATTGGAATGAAGAATCAGTGCCTTCACATTCGAGGCAGGTTCCGGTTCGTCAGGGCCGACTTTCTTCTGCCAGGTCTTGTTCAAGCACTCCGTAGGCCGAATCTTCGAGTAGAGACGCGACTCGATAATAGTGAGCTGCCGGGCGAACTCTGTGGCATCGATGTCCAAGAACTTCAGCTTCTTCATGTTCTTCGGGATGATCGGCGTTGGCGCTGCAGTAGCCTGCGTAGGCACGAGACGCTTAACGGTATTATCTTGTCCACGGAGGCGTTGCTCTATGACAGCTAACAGCTGCGGTGATCCAGGAGTCTTTGTCGTAGCGATAGAATCCTTGGTAAACGCATGAACATGCTGAAGCAGCGCCATGTGTGGCTCATCATTGGGTTCCATCCAGAAATTCTCGAACCAACTCTTCAGGATATTGACCACGCGGAATCGAATGGGTTTTTGCTTTCTGTCGATCCACATTTGCATCTCGTCGTTGTTGAGACCGGGCGGGGGCTGAATATTGAACCGTTCGGTAACCATCTCGAAGAGCTCCTCTGCAGATGTAAATGAGCGGTAGGTTAAGAGGAACGTGTTGTTGAAGGAAGCATCAAGCTTGTCATGGCGAGTCAATTGTTCCACTAAGCCTGCCAATGTTCCACATTTCAAGTTGAGGCTATCATTCTTAGTATCGTAGAACACTTCACCTTCGTGATCTGTTTTCAGGAACCAGGGCGTTTCTTCCGGCTCGCGGACCGGTTCCCGCATTGCAGGTTCTCGTGGAATTGCAGCCGGAGGAGCCTGTCCAAAGAATCGCTGGGCCTTGTCCATGTTGCGTCGCACCTTCTCTGACGCGTTTTCAACCGAGTAAGAAGAGGGAATACCAATGGACTCGGTGGCGACTCCAGCTTGGGACTCCGACCTGCTGTGAATGGCCTTCAGCCCCGCATTCTCCCCACCCAGGCGACTTTCCGCGCGGAAGGCAGAAGGTTCGGGCACTTGTTCGAGGAGCAGTGAAAGGGAGAAGCCGATTTGGGAAACATAGTTCTCAAGCTGCCGGTGAACGCCACGCACGGCATTCAATCGGTCATCAAGCGAATTACCTCGTAGTTCTGCCCATTCATCGCCCAGTGGCGCCGAAACGGCTTGACAGCTGAGTACGAAGTCGGCAATGGCATCGTAGGTTCTTTGCTTTTGCAAGCTGAAATCAACCAGTTGTGGATTTTGGAAGCTAGTCCCGAGGGGTGCTAGGTTAATAGATTCAACTGCCGACATCCACGGGCGGAACTGCTCAACGACCTTGATTGCAGCAAGAGAAACAGCATTCGCAATTTCCTCGTGCTCTTTAATGGTAACAATCTTCTTCTGGTTAAGTGTCAGTCGCTCTTCCAGCCGACGAATGCTGCCAACAAAGGATCTCCTGAGAATATCAATGTGGTCTATAAGGGCCGCATCCAGGGTCACTGATGGCTCCGCCCGCGAATCATTTGCGTCGTGATCCAGAAACGAAGTCGGACCCGAATCACTAAGAGAGACGCCATTATTCTGCCAGCAGCCGCCCGAAAAGCTGCCCACGACGAATCCAGGAACAATGCGATGGATGGTCTCGCCACGCTGTTGTCTTGCAACCTCGACGTAGCCGTAGACGCCCTGCATCACACCATCTGCCTCTTGCAAGCATTTATTGATGGAATCCGGTCCTGGCCAATCGGCGGCCGCAATGTGGGACGAGAGCACGAGCTTCGAGAATTTTGACATCATATCCCTGAAGTGGGGATATAGCGCCTTGTTGGTGGAGATCACTGATGGGTTTCCGGAGTGATTGTCGGTCGTGTCCGAGCCAGCCGCCAGCAGCATGCGCAGATGGTCGGAAATATCCTCCGCTTTCCTCACATACTCAGAGCGGTCGCCGTTCAACAGCGTTTGCCGGTAGACCTCAACGGCATGGCGCATATTGTCAACAAGCAGAGGCCAGGTCAACTGAACAGAGAACCCGTCGTCAACGAAATGCGACGGAACTTCAGAGGAGACGGAAGGCCTGTGGATATTATCGGAGACGGAGTTGTTACTGCTCGTGGCAGAATCATAGAACTTGTGCGATGTCAGAAGGGACTGATGCGAACTTTTTCCGTCGTTGATGGACTTTGTCGCAGATGGTGGGTGCAGCGAGTCCATGGACGTCGCGGGTGAAACTCCGTCCAAGTAGGACTGGCGTCTCCGAGACATGGAATCGCGAGATGTAAGCATCAAGGACTCGCCTTCCGCTTCCGAAGCTGAGCCATCGTAATCATCCTCGTCCCGTTCGAACCCACGAGCCATCAGCTCCGGAGGAGGTCGCGTCTGGTCGGGCACGAGGAAGTTGTTGCGGTCATAAGGGCCAGTCTCGTTGACAGCGGGATTTTCGAACGGAAGTTCCATGGTACTGTAGCCGGTAAGGGTGTTGAAATAGAATAGACGGCCATCAGGTGTCGCCTGTGGGATCCAGAAGGCTGCCTCCTCCTGCTCCTTGGGAGCTCCTACGCCCTCGATAGGCAGAATGGGCTGCGAGTCGCGCGGATTGCCCGCTGAGTCAACATCATCACCGTCTTGTTCCTCCTCGTATTCCTCGCCAATGCCTGACTCCGCACTAACTTCCTCATTCTCGTGGGTCTGCGGTCCCTGTTCTTCAAGCTCGCCCAAGTCTGTTATCACAGTGCAGTAGTTACTGGGGAACCAGCCCCGCACACTATTGTCGATGACACCGTCCCACCAACCGGTCTCGAGCTGGTTCAATACCTGTATAATGTCGCCTCGGCGGAAGCTGAGACTGGTGTGATCGTCGGCATCGTAATCATACATAGCCCGCACGAACAGCGCCGGAGGCGGTTCGGGGCTGGGCGTATAGCGCCCATCCGTGGTGAGCTTCATTGAGGAGATACGCCGTGTGGGCGATTGGTTGGCGGTGAGGGAGGACTGTTGGAAGGATAGGCTATTCGCACGGCTCCGTGAGCCAGTGGTGGGGGTCGTGACTTGTTCGTCGGGGTACTCGAAAGTGGCCGTATAGGTGTTGGTCTTAGTCGCCAGCGCAGATCCGGTATCAACGGCCAATGGCTCTGCCACGCGGGAATCGAACATCGGGTATCACAACAAAATGATAGTTCGAACAGGAGTGAATCGAAGATCGGCACACTAACGTCCCCGCAACGGATGGCTGGAGGAGCTCAACGAAAGGCGTTGTTCATGACTAGAAGGCAAATAACCAGAATACAAGCAAGCGAGGCGGAGGGGCGGTTAACGGGGGAGAAGTCGAGAGGGTTGCAGAATTGGCTGCGGGAGTGATATACAGATAGCGGCGGTTGTGGTGGTGGTGGTGGCAGGGAAGAGGGCGAGTGAGATACGGGGGGGCAGAAAGTGGCAGGTGAGTGGGATAAGACACACTTGGGGTCTTGGAGTTAGGGGGGGGTAGTAGGTAGTGTCAGATCTGAGGTCAGAACACCATCTATCTTGAACTTGGAAAACCCAAGGGCAGTTCAACCTGACATCGAAGAAAAGAAAAGAAAGGAGCAGCAAAAGAAAAAGGAGAGTCGAAGCGACAGCAATCGCCAGGAGAGAGAGAGGGAGATTTAGGGAGGTTCCGACGATTGCCTTTGGGGGAGGTGGGCAGATTGGCATTATTGGTTTCTGGCTGGCGGTCGGCGGGAATCCCAAGTCAGTCCAAAGTGGAGTGACAATACCGCCCCGTACCGTACCAGCCCGTTACCAGATACTGTTCAGAGGAACAAGCAGACTCCAGTATTGTTCTTGTCGAGTTCAACTATCTACTATTACTATTACTATTACTTACTGACTGACGAACGGACTGACTGGCTTGACTTTAGAATCTCTGAGCACACTATTAGAACTTACTGCTAACTATGTATGCAAACTATGCATGCTGATACTGTTGTTGATTGTCTGTCACTCCTGCACTCTGCCACAAGTGCACACAATAGTCCCAACGCACATATTATTTCCAAGCTCACTCCCTTCTCTAAGGTAGGTACAAAGACCTCGTCAGTGGTCAAGCTCCCGTCCGACTTGCATGTGCAGTTTCTTCCTCTTTCTCTGTTTTCTTTTTCTCTTTCTTTTTTTATCTCATTCACCCTCCAGCGTCGCCACCCAACAAACGATCTAGAGCAGTCTTAGCCTATCATTAGCCTCTCTAACCTAGCCCTCGTGTCTTACCTTGAATGAAAAAGAAAAATAAAATAAAATAAAATCTCGCACTCAGACCAGTTAATATATGATAAACAAACAGAACACACCGTGAAGAATAAATACCGGTGCGTATGCCAGATTACCGCTTCTTACCGCGGGAAGCAAAGCACAGCAACAGCACGAGCCTTCTGAGGCTTCGGATGGCACCCGTACTCCATCAGACTCGATCCCTACGATTGGAAGACTGGGTAGGTAACTGGGTAACATCTTTCCCCGAACCATGGATGTTGTCTACGCGCTCCGTACCATCCAGATCCATCATTGGCAGCACATCGCGAGTACGTGCGCATTCCGAGACCCTAATGGGGCTCTTTGGGGTTAGCCAACCTAATTACTTAAGGCGTCTGGATTGCACGGTGGACTTTGCCGTGGCCGTAAGTAGTAGTAACTCGGTCCAACCAAAAACTCGCCGTCACAGATTGGCTGGGCCAGGGGGGGAGGAGGGAGAGTCGAAGGATGATATATCTGCTGATCATTGGTTTTGATGAAGCGTGTAAATTTCTGAATTATTCCAGCCACCACACCAGTAATCAGTTAGAGATGCTTTACTCCGCGAGTCAATAATACATTAGTCTTGGGTCTCGGGGGCAAGACGAAGGGGAGCTCAAACCGCGTCTTCTCAAGGAGAGTCCACACTCAACCCGCACGGCTGCCAATTCCGCTCAAAGACGATGGGAAGCACGTCCCGGTAAACCGTGGTATTAACCTTCTTATCCATCCCCAGCCCACTCTCTCGTCTTTAGTACCTATCAGAGAGTTTTAAACTTCCAGGCTCTCTCTCTTGTTACTAGTATCTTATTAGTGCCTTCGTTTCCCCATTTTTGGGTGGAGACGTAACTTGACTCGCGTCGCGCTGCAAGTGCATCTGCAACGGTCATAGCTTGCTGAGGCCATTGGCGATCTCAAGCTTGACTGGCGATAGTGAAACCAATATACGATGTTTAGAGACTAATAACACGACTTCCTGTGTATGCTATCTACTGTATCGTCTATCTCTACAGCAGAGATACCTGTCGTTCACTATGCTCGCACTGTCAAAGAACCAACCAACCCCTGTTCACCAACCGCCGCGGAAATGCAGGGCCTGAGGTCTGTGTCCAACAAAGCCACTGGGATATAGATAACAGGTATGGTACCTGATAAGTGATACTGTACTCATCTTTATGCTATTCTCGCATTGACACTTTTTGCCTTGGCACCCACTTCTCGGATGATATGTATGGTATCTAATTAGCAGGCAGTTGCCTTCTGATGCACTTTCGTATGACTGACTGACTAGTCATGAAGACATACAGTAAACGACACAGTACTTTCTGGGCTAATTTGACCCATCATATCTAAAGACTCAGCATAACGCTTAGACACCTAGCGTCCGAAAGTCAAATGACTTGGGAGCTAACGGACGCAGGACTTAATGGTATACGTCGATCACGCAGTTTACTTCTGACAGTGGCTTCACACCAGACCTGCAACAAACTCAAAACGATATCCTGTTTATGACTGGATCACGCTCATGCTTGGCTTTATGCTTAAGGACATTTTGGTCTAACTAGTAGGAGACATACTGCGGTTATAACAATAACCACAGACACCGGTCGATCAAGTCCAGTCGGAATTGAAATGACTAGGGTTCGATATCAGCGTGCAGAAGGATCTGCGGCCAGGGAGCTGTCTTGCAGGGGGTGCGGTTGTCTGCAGAAGTGTCAGACTTGAGCTTACTGGTAGGTTGTCTGTTCTGCGTGGTGAGTCTTTGCGAGTGTTGTAAATTGAGCATGGCAGTGGGTCTGTTAGGAGATATCAGCAGAGTGTTCAAGAAGCAACTACACAGAGATGTAGTGTGTTTTGTGTTGACTGTCAGCCTATAAAATACCAGATTTCCGGATCCAATTGCTCATTATGGGAAGACTGAGGATACGCATTGGATCATTATTCCTTCGTGTTGATCATATGCTCCTAGGTATGCTTCAAGCTCGAACACTCCAGTATCTAGGCAAAGGCACTAGCAATTCATCTCATATCTCAATTTGCTTTTTACATTGACTGACGCGCTCCTTCATCCAAACGAGTGAGGTATGCTCCATGCAGGATTGTCTGACGTCGACATGTGACACAATGCCATTCAATTAGAAGCTCCATGTTATGGCTAGTCGGTGATAACAGCCATGAGGATAAAACGGTGACAAAGCAATGATGTCCATGACCTCAGTATCAGTTTTGCATCGTGGGAGCAATGTAGCCTCATCTATCCAGCAATTTATAACGCTCATTCTCCTACAATCCTCCGAACCTTCGGTGTATCAACCTAGTCCGTATATGACCTCTTTCACTATAACTCTGCAGATCATGCGGGTATTCAAACAGTTATATTCCAAAAACCACGGGCATACAACATTAAAGCATCAACATTATATCCCAAGCAATACAGGACTACCATACCCAAACATCCAAGCATCCAGAAATCCAGAGGTCGTATCAACATTACCCCAATCCATACGCCCAATACCAAAACACCAGGCACTATTCTCACCCCTTCTAGCCCCGAAAGGAAGTAAATCCGATACAGCCCCCTATGATCAGATACCTAGCCAACAGCAACAATCAAGCCACCCCCAATCTCGCACATACTTGGTCATAATCTGCAGCCAGATCATTTATCCACCATTACCTACTACATCCTCACTAACATGGATTAGTCTCCCATCCATTCTTCAGTACTAGCTCAACTTAATCCCTCAAAGTAAGCATCATCACCCACGTGCTATAGAAACCGTCAGACGGACCGTAACTTAGCTAGTTAGGACTACCCTTCAGATTCATTGGCTACACTGCCTAATTACTACGATTTAGTCAGTTTCATACTGATACCGATGTCTCTAGGTACCTTCCAGACTAGGTTAACAGTCTGTGCTCGGAGATATGTCGGCACTTATACTCTATAGTAATTAACTAGTTGTCGGGAGTGAGCGGGTGACTAGGCGGGTGGATTCGTCATCTACGTAGTAATTATTCATTCTAGAACATTTCACAATGATATTGTGTTGTATTAAGTGAGTGGATGAAAAAAATGAAAGCATGTGAAGAAAGAAGAGAGGAGGTTACCCTGGTGGTGTGATATTCCTCGGTATCTGAGTAGGGTCTCAGCCGAGGCAGTAATTATTGGTGTCAGCTTATGGACGACATTAGAGATATTTTGCGGGGGTGTTGTCGTCGGGGTCAGATGGTTCTGGGTGCAGGAGAGATGGGGGCTGAAGAATCGGGATGGGTGGTATAGTGATGGGCTGACGTTGGATAGTGAGTTGTGGTGATGGTGTGGTGGTGGCAGTTACGGGGAGATGGGGGGTGAGGGTATGTATACGAGACTATTCGATTTGACTCGTGTTGGTGATTACTGTGAGTTGAGTATGTAGAATAGATATATACGGGTTGTTCGTGGATATGATGTCCGTATGGAGGCTGTTGTAGGCTGAGTATACATATACAACAGTTACTATATGGGCAGTGGTTGATAGATACAAACATACACGAGCATCTAGCATGACTTAACTCTAATAATCAATGCTTGTACTCTACATTGAATTAAAATAAAAAGTAGTATAACGTAGTGACATGAAATAAAGCACATGAACCACTACACGAACCACAAATATCATACACCACCCGCGAGACAACAATTATCAGGCTTAAGCTTAAAAGCAAACACCAATCTAATTAATGAAATGTCTTAGCACCTTGCTTCTCAATTACATTTGATGTCTAACAACAATACATTAAACCTCTGATCATCACGAGGGGTATTCAGCAAGGAGACCATAACCAGGGGAGGGGGGGGAAATTAGAGAAGAGATGATCCCCCTCACGGCACTACATACTGTCTGTCAATCTACTACTCAGACAGACACTAATTGTAGTAGATGATTATCATACCCCTCTATCAAGGGATATTTCACACATTCACAATAATGGTCAAGTAGTAAGCAGAGTACTTCGTAAACTAGAATGAAACATCCATCCCTGCCTAGATCCCGAGTCCGACACTAGTTGAGCTAGAACTACGGAGTACACGGAAATGAGCATAGCAGGAACCCAGATTCCGGCGACGACCTTTCCCTTAATCATATTCCATATGCTAGAAGATAACTAGGTACACAGGTAGTGCAAAAAAGTTATTAATCTCAGTTACGGAGTAGTTAGGAACTATACCCGGGCACTCCGATACCCACCACCCAACTGCAATCTAGGTCCAGATCCAGGTCCCAACGTTGCCCATCATCCAAATCCATCCATCATCCATCATCCATCAATCCATCAATCCCACCAACCAACCCACTTTCTCCTTAACTGAGCATACTAAATCGAACCAATCCCTCGGATCAACAACGGCACTCCCCATCGACCGTATTCCGTAGAAAGATGAATAGAAAAACAAGAAAGACAAACTTAGATAGTACGCCCGATTAGTTAGCTGATCACATCCCGTTTCCGCGCATTCCTCAACCAATCCAACCCCATTGTCCACGTACTAGTCAGTCTCAGCTTGAAAGTTAGTTTAACCCCGTTTCCCCCTTTTTCTTGCATTCACTTTAGTCTACAATACTTAGGAAGGTAGGATTCGAGGAACCACTGTTTTCCTTGATTCCCAAACATCCGGTTGGCAGGATGATGTGGACGAAGGATCCGATTGATGATGGTGTGGGTGCTTCGAGAAGAATTTTCGAGCCTTCTTTTTTTCCTCCTTCTCTGGTGGCTGGCGGGTGGGACGGTGTTATTTTTATTGATTACGGGGCGCGGCTAGGTTTATGGATAGGTTAGGGATTTCTAGATTTTTCTGTGGTGTTTATCTTATGTTATTTTGTTTGTAGAAGGGAAGCTGTGTCTACGGAGTAGTCTAGTAATTGTTTGTAGAGATACGATGATAATGCCTGTTGTGCATTCCAGCTCAGTTGATTGGTAGGCTATGAACTGGGTAGTGGTGTTCTAGACTTATGCTATCATTATGGATTCCAATGACTTCCTTGGATCCGGCTTTGTTTGGATAGTTGGTAGTTGGGGCTCGGGGAGCAATTCCTTTGACTTAGCTTAGAGTTCGAGTTCAGAGATGGGTTCTTGTCCGTCTTGGTGGTTGGTCGGGGAAGATGCATATTGAAAGTTAGTTTGTTTGGTTGCGAGTACGTAGTTGGTCCAATAGTGTAGACACGCGGTTAGTATGAAACAGATGTTTATCTCCTATTCGGATTGTTCGGTTGTGGATGGATGTGAAGTAGTGAGTAGTAGAATTAACGCGGGTTGATATGGGAAGTTTGCAGTATACTAGTAACACAAGTGCTGGTGATGGAGACGGCGCTATATATTTGGTTTCTGGGGTTAAGGTTTGAATGAAAGGAACACTACAGTATTTCTCATAGAAACCATGTTCCATGGGATATGCTTGCTACCGCAATATATATTTCGGCATCCAGAAATGCACAGAATATACTACGACGACCCATCATATCACATAGTCCCGATCATATCCAGAGCCAGATTACAGGGCCTACATATCCAGAAGTTACTCCTACCACTAATCACAAGTCTCCGATAAACTACGGAGCAGAATCCGGACTCCGTGTCGTAGCATCTGTATATCATCAGGAACCGACGGGAGTGAACCATGGAACCAACCAGTATCCCGGCCACGAACCCCGACTGACAGATAGCTTTCCATGGTTAAGCCGATCGCATGCAACTACGTGTTTAGAATATCCTGGACTACGACACCAAGATCTATCGAAAACCAAGCCGAATTAGGCGACTACAGTGTATACATCCCTTTGCTGATAGCGCGACGCGAAGAGACTACCGTATTTGGCGGGCCCCATCGCAGCTATTGCCACCAGGCTAAAGTAACTGCCGATGTCAGTGGAACTGCTGAAGTTAGGTCTAGGGTTAGGGAAGGGCATCGCACAACGCACAAACCAGGAAAAGGAAAGCGGAGCGCTGCGGTGGAGGGGAAAGATAGAAAATTGAAGAAAAGGGAAAGGAAAAAGAAAAAAATAGATGGAAAACTTGTCAGACGGATTTCCGGAGTACTAACCTGCCCACAGATGGAGCAGCTTATCAGCTGGAAGAGCGGGTTCATCATTGAGTGGGTCGCTTTCATTATCGAGAATCTGCTCCTTCAAAAATTTTCTTTGTCTTGGAACCCGTGTCTTCTGCTTCGACTCCGTATGCTCTGGAAACTTGTTGTTCATCCAAGAAGTTGTGGGACCTCTCATGACAGCAGACCATATTTTCAATGCCATGTGTAGAAAAGCGATGCCCAACCTGATAGTATCTAGAAGCGGTCAAGGAATCCTTCCACGGGGATCAAGATCAATCCCCAACGGCACCAAGACGGTGATGGTTGACATCCTTCACCGACTCCAGGGATGCCCGCCTAGGATATTCCAGACCGTTCGGAGATGGAGGGGCACTTAGTACGGAGCACTACTGCCTAATTACGTGACGGATGGACGGATCACGGGCGCCGCCGACCAGGGTCGATGCAAACCGCCAAAGTCCCAAAGTTGTCGGGACGATGAGCGCCAGCCGAGATAAGTAGACTTTTTCTCTTCCACTTCCTAGCCTGGGATGGCTGCCGACGCTTGCTAGTGTAAGGGCCGGGGTTTCGGGGAAGAGGTTCCTGATTTCCTGCAACGGTACCTGGTGGAGTTGGACGCGCCTGACTGGATCATAGACGCCCTGTGGAAATTCAATTGAAGATTCATTTGCCATGGTTGTGGAATCCGGCGATCGACCCTTCGCGACGAAGTTGATCGACTGCATCTTTGGTGCAAAGGAGGAAATAGAACGGGTAGCTGCAGGGTAAAGAGCCAAATCAGAAAGCCAGAAGGGGGTTTCTTCGCTTTTCGAGACTGGTTTTTGAGGTTTAGCCCCCTTTTTTTGTTTTCAGGTAGGTGTGAAAACCGAATGAACGATATCCAAGAGAATGGACTCCCAACCCACCGAATCACCAAAGGTATGGAGGACACGCTCCCGCCGGAGAAAAGCGAGCCTGGATCGGAAATGATCGATCATGGATGGGAGGATCGGTATGTACGGGAGTTTTGCACTATTGCCCCCCTCTCTTGACCCCGTGCGCCGGTCTAGGAAATCGATGCATGGTCCGTACGCAGGTGCTCGATATTGCCTGATAGATGAAACCCCAAGCGACTTGTTCCCAAGTTGTTGACACCCTTTCGACCAACTGGTAGGTCGTCATGAGTATCTCGCGTCGTTCCTGGACCTGCAAGCTCGTAACATCCTTCCATGAGATACAGGACAAGCTGAGGCGTTGACTGGGTCGGACCGCTGCATGGCTCGGAAAGTGGATCAAGCACCTCAGAAGTGATAGTGAACGAATCGAATTTGCCAGGGTTCGACCTCCAAACCGAGGCCGTCGAAATTCGGGCGGCTGGACGTGTGAGAGCAGGCCGAGTGTCTGGATTTGACCTTTCTGCTGTCCATCCTTTTCCGACCTTCTCAAAAGCGTAAGCGCCCCGGCTCACCGCTTTATTCCTGCAGGCCGAGCTCCTGGCAGATGAAAGCGGTGAGAATGGAGTACGTAAGAATGGGTTGCTCAGGCACTAATGCTGATTAGGATTCTGGGGCCTGCATCTGGACGGATCCCTCGGGTGGAGACTCAGAATCGCTGATGCCTCTAGGGCTGTCTATCATGGGATGATGGAAGCGGCGCCTCTCTGGCTTATCGCAATCAATGGCTAGCATGATAGCAGTCAGAGTATCCCAGTTCTTTCTGTAGTTAGTGACATGCATTTGGGGGATAGCGATCGTGACCGTATTGATCTTAGGGGCATATTGGAAGGACGCTCCTCGGTAACTCGATACAATGCGCCCAGATGATCCGCAGGCAGTGAGAGCCAAAGCACCACCCCTCGGTCGTGGCGGTGGAAAGATAGATTAAACTGATTCATTGTTCTGGATATCTACTCCGTAATTATCGGATGTATGCGATCCTCCTGGGGTACTTTTGTGCTCCCCTCATGATCATGTGCGTTTCCCTAGTAACTAACCGTGTCTGGTGGGGTTTTCTTGAGGTCCACCCAGTGATGCCCCACTCGCGTGCCGGGATTTTACGGGAACCTTCGTGGTGGTGGTGGTGATGATGGTGATACTGTCTCTGAGATTGAGAATGAAAATAGGCTTCATCATTTCTTTGGTATAGAATGAAACAGAAATATCTGAGACTGTCCTAAAATCATGGTCGAAATATCTTCCCGTATCATTCTCAGAACCAAGTCCAGGATGGAAACGCCAATCAATCCGGGTTTGCCTATGGTGGTCGAACCAAGGGGCCAAGGACAGGCCCGGAACTATCGCTCAGCGTCATCTGACCGTGACATATTTGTACTTGCAACTGTGTAGCTAACGAGCTAACTACGTCCTTGTCTACTTACGTATGTAATCTGTCCCCCTCCCCAAGGTGGATCGTTTACTTTTTCGACGGCGACGCGGAACGAGGGCGCGTCTCCGAGTGAGGCTGGTTAGGCGCGACTGCGGGCGTGCAGGCAGCCACAAGTAACCTGCCCTAGGGTACCTCTGGCTTCAGACTAACTCTCTCTGTCGAAGGGCCGGGTTCCCCATGCCACTTATGCAGTTGGGACTAGGTAGTCGGTGTTAGGTTGATGCATCTTCGGCTTGGATGCCAAACTGCCAAAAACAGAAACAATAGTGTTTGGGGATGATGCAGTCTTGCAGCTTCCCAAGGTCCAGGTTGGATCGCTCCAGAACATGAGTTTTGTCTGCTGTCTCAAGCTTTTGCATTATCCATTTAGCGTCCAGGATGGAGTAATTCTGTAGTATTTTGTGTCCCACGAACAAGGACACCTGATGTAGCCCGCCCACACGCTCGGTGGCCGAAATCCAGTGGATTGCTTTTCCAAAGTACTAAGTTAAGGTGGGGGGAGGGGGAAAAGAGGAGGGGAAATGGGGCCTGGCAAGCGAGCAAGAAGAATTGGAAACGAAACAGCGTCCATCGCCCTACGGAGGGTTGTGTTTCTGACCCTTGATTTCCTTCACCTGCTGACGCTGGCTGTCGTGTTGGCGGCCGCTGGAGCAGCTGACCCTGAGCTGAAGTGGGAGGCAAACCATGCGCCATGTTTGAACCTCTGACCACCTTTCACCCAAGGTCATTCTGGCGTTCGCAGTGCATCGCACGATTAGCTTTTTCTTTTTTCAGATAGTCCGTTTTCCTTTTTCTTTTTTTTTCTTTACCTATTTAGTCCAGGGGACATCCAATGAAGGCCAAGAGGCTTGCCAGAAATTTAGGGATGTTAGTGTGTGTTCTTTAGGCTACCGATAGACTGGGCGATGATCTGTCAAACTGAGAGACATCACATCGTCAGCAATATTCTCCTATTGATGCGTGATGACGGGTGGCTTTATCAGCCAAACACGATTCATCTCCCGCCCTCTATCTGGCTTCAACTGACTTGGCAACATGAAGGATTTAATACAGAATGCCGCGCGAAGCTCTTGTGTTCGCAAAGTGGTTCGTGAAATGCGCTCGCGAACCATTCTATATTTGTACTTTGTAGACATTCGAATGAACCAACACTCGTCATTGTGACGGACGGAAGAAGGGGAACGGAGAAGAGAGGGGGTCTGGAACAACGGCAGCGCTCGATTTAAAGATCCACCGGGGCTAGTTCTCGTCGGAGTTAGACGGGCAATCCCACTCACACAAATTGGATCGTATGGAAATGAAGTCATGACCAGCCTTGCGGCGGGCGGCCGATTATCAAATAACTAGTGGGTTATCTACGACATAAGTAGGGATTACCGACGGTGATCCCAGCGAGCCGATTTACCAAAGAGGGGTTTAAAGAAGGGTTAGACTTCAAAAAGAGGGGAGGGAAGGAGGGGGAGTTTAGAGGGGGATAGAGGGGTAAGGAAGTGGGTGGCGGGATACGGAGGGATACAAATGGAGTAACATTAGATGATCTAGAAGAAGAAGTAAGAAAAAAAAGTAAAAATGGGGAGAGAAAAAGGGATGATGATGGTTGATGATAGATATGCGGATTATTGAAGGATGAGATGAGTACGTAGGTACGATCAGCGTGAGGAATGAGAGCCCGGTTTGGACGAATCGACCACTTGATTTGGATGTGAAGAGATTCCGTGGTGGAAATGAAGGGAGCCAATACACGAATCATGATGGCAGTGCGTCTCCGTGGCATTTGGATGGTGCTGGATCCCTGCCGGAGGGGCAAGGGGGGGCTGACGAGGGGCGAAAAAATTAATTTTTGTAGGCAGAAGAGGGGACGGAGGGGAAGGGGGGCACTAATCTGTTGGCTGGACGGGAGTTTTGTGAGAGAGAAAAGAGAGAGAGTGTGTGAGAGGAAATGAGTGAAAGTGCGTGTCTGCGATGGATTCTCAATTCAACCTGCAAACTTACAGTCTAACCTCTTCGAGCCTGTTCCCTTTAACCCCCTTCTCCTCTCTCATCTATCGAGCACCCTCTTCCCTCTAATTACTGTGGACCATTTTCATGCAATGACCAAGATACATCGACTGGAATTGTAGTCTAATGCTGTGCCCTGACCTTTGTCTACTGACAATGGTCAATGACAGTATCTACCTGTCTCTTGGACGGCCCCGCAGCCGACTGTACCAAGTTTGCGATTTCTGCGCTGTCACATAGGGATAGGCGATAGGGATAGGGACCATTTGGCTTTTCTTCATCTTACTTGCACCCGCTGCGATTGAGGATTACAGCAGGTAATCCGAACCTCACTCAGTTCCTCGGTGCTAGTCATGTCCGCTTCAAGGTTACTAAGACAACCTGAAGTCTTGTCCAGTGTCCTCCTCACTGCATTGTACCCATCGAGCTACCACTTGTACCCACTGAACAAAGTTACATACCATACCGTATGGAGTCCTCATTCCACCCCCAACCCCACTATGAAATAATATCGATGGGAAGTGGGAGAGAATCGAAAGTCGAGCCTGCCATCCAGCGTCCGCATGAATTTTGTGTGGTCAGTTAGGCAAGTCGCAGGAATACACCGTAGAAGCTCTGCTGGCCCATTATTATCCTTCTAGGGTCCTGCACTCGACCGCTGAAAGGTGAGCGAGGGGCGCCATCACCAAATGGGGATAGGAGCATTATCCGAGTGGGTTAACCCTAGCAGGGGATATTTGATCATGAGAGTATCGACTGTGCGCTGTGTAAGAGAGGGGATGTATAATGTTCCCAAGAAGATATGACGACTAACTACGGTGTACTTTGGAGTCAACCAACCAACAAAACTAATCATCATGTCAATCATGATCCAAATCTATCCAGATCACATCGGGAGTCTCGATAACTCACCAGGGGAAACATGTAGGATGCTGCCCAATGTTATGCATATGAAGAGTAAATTTTCTTTTTTTTCTGCTCGGATCATTTTTTCGGATATTGAGATCATTGTGTTTCTTTTCGGTTTTCTTTTTTATTTTATTTTTCATTTTTTATTATTTTCCTTCTCACATTTTCCATTTCCCATTTTTTGCCTTTTTCAGCAGCAGTAATAGTGGGTGCAAAATGGAAAATGGAGAGTGGATAAGATTCTCCCTCACATCAACCCAAGACCTCTAACAAACGGTCGATTTCAGCCAGTCGAAGGAGGCCCCCCGGCTGAACCGGGTTGACGGGTTGGAAGTCTACTACTGTACGGCCCATGTGGGCTGCGGTGGGCTGGGCTACTGCTTTGTTTTGTTGTCTGTTCTTTTAGCTGTGTAGATAGTTTGTATGATTTTTCTATTTATTTTATTTAAATTCTATTATATTTTTATTCATCGCTTTGCAGTTAGATCCATTTTTGTTTTGAATTTTTATTAATTTTCAATTTCATTTTTGCTTATTTTCCTGAACTTTTTTGTCTCTTTTCGAAATATGGGTCACCGAAGGAAAGGTGGACGTGTCCTAACCAGGTTCCGTTTAGCCCGGGCACGCCGTTAGTCAGAATGGGCGACCAGCAAAACAATTGGCTGTCGGGGAATGAAGACGGTGGCATTATGGGCCCCAGTGCGTGGTCGAATCCGGGGACTGGCCTGTTCGCTTGTTTTCCCCCTCCGTCAGTCCCGCCGAGGGAGCCCCTCTTTCCCGCCTCCCACTTCCCTGTTGTCGCTGCGCCGCTCGTCGCCCAAATCGCCAACACCGCCGCTGGACACGACCGCCTCACTGTCGCGATCCAGCGATCGCCCGAATCGCCCATCGGCTTGTGCCCACGTCCTGGCGCGTTCTCTCTACACCCACACCACTTTTCCCTCTGCTCAAGTCTCCCTCCCCCCCCTCGCTCCCTTCCTTTCGACCAGGCCTTTTTTCCCAGGACTCTCTCTCCCGCAACTCACAAACTACTTTCTCCTCATCCATTCAACATCCCCCCCCCCCTCCTCTTACCCATTCTTTTTCTCTTCCTTTCCTCCTCCTCTTCTTCTCTTCTCTCAAACGCCTTCCTCCTTCCTTCTTCCCCCTCCTCCTCTTTCTCTCTCCTCTTCTTTCCTGGGTCAGCATTCAACATCTTGCTCTCTTCCTTTTTTCTTTTCTTTTCCTTTTCCCTATTGTTTGTCTATTCCCGTTCTGTCTTTCCCATCCTTTGGTACTTCCCCTCCTCGGCTTCTTATTAAAGACTGCCTCCACCACACAACCATCACCAATACTACAACCATAACCCGCTATCACACTATTCTCCCCTCCTAGTCCGCCTGTGGCTGGACCTCCCTTATTCCAATTCAACACTGCCCTCCAGTATTCCCCCACGCAAGGAATGATCAGGCACCAAACCGAATTCCTGTCGTCTACCCGCCTACAGAACCGGTGTGAAATCACAAAAGGGACGATAGCGCAGTCTTCGATCGTGTCGCTGCTCTACTAGGATTCAGCCGTGGTTGTATATTCGCTGCAGTATTCTCAGCAATGGCTCCCACTGCACCTCCCCAGGCGACCAACTCGCCAGCCAAGAAGACATCAGCCCCAGAGAAGAAATACAAGTGCCAATTTTGTAATCGCGCCTTTAGCAGAAGCGAACATCGCAGCAGACACGAACGTTCGCGTAAGTAGAGTGGTTTTCTTTCTATATGGTCGGCTTTCCTGTGCGCGGGGCTAGGTGTGCCGTCTTTGTGCAGGCAGGCTAGTTACTGTGCTACGGCTGTGTTTCGCGTCATTTAGTCTTTAGGCACAATACTAACCTTTGTTGCTTTATAGATACCAAGGAGAGGCCGTTCAAGTGTCTGAAGTGCCGGAGTACTTTCGTGCGCCGTGATTTACTCCTTCGTCATGACCGTACCGTTCACGCAAAGGACGGTGGGATACCGCTAGTTTCCGAGGGCCGGCGACGTGGTGGCGCGGGTGTCCAAAAGACTTCCCCCGCCCCCGGCCCGTCTAAGCCCTCGATCACAATTGATCCTGCTACTCTCGAACAAATAGAGGCCAGCAGTGATGGTATGGTTGATCTTGAAACTGCAGCCATGTTGATGACAGATTTCCAACATAAGGCCGCAGCTGCCGCTACTGGTCAAGCCAATGAACGTGCTGAATCGGATCGCTCCTTTTCCCCTGGACGCGGTCCTCTATTAGAGCCTCCTGTGTCGTACATGTCGGGCAACGCGACCTTGCCGCAGATGCCTTGGGACACCCTGGTTTCCCCTGCTGACACGAAGCACCCGATGGGATCTCCGTTTGTGTCTCAAGACAGTAGCTCGGAATCGCATACGCTGCCCTCGGTTATGGACCGACACGGCGCCGTGGGTGATGCGCTTGCGCCCTCGCTGCACTCCCTGGTGAACTCGCTGCCCATGTCTGGAAACTCGACGCCGAATGCGCTGTCGCCGTATCCCTCGATGACTGGTCCCGTTAGTCCAGTGAACTACCGCCGGTCGCCTGGTCCTAGCCAAGCCCTGACGCTGCCTAAGGCTCCGCAGATTGCGAACGAGATCGAGCGAAACATGGTTGTTGAACGTCTGCACAATGTGGATTCTCTCAATGTGCTTCCCGAGACCTTCCAGCTTCCTCCGACCGCGTCTCTCAACAAGTATCTCTCAACGTACTTCAATCTGTACCACCCTCACCTGCCGTTCTTGCACCAAGAGTCTTTCAAGCCTACCGCTACTTCACCGCCATTGCTACTTGCGGTCCTTTCTATTGGTGCTCTGTACACCTTTGAGCGGCAGCATGCATTCATGCTTCACGTGGGGTCCAAGATGCTTGTCAACCAATTTTTGCAACACAAGGACAACTTTGACTCTCGCAAGTGCCCTCTCTGGGCCATGCAAAGTACCCTGCTGAACATGATCTTTGAGAGCTGGAGTGGTGATCCCAAGGGCCTCGAATGGACCTGTTCCATCAAGAGTCTTCTGGCCAATGTAAGAGCATCCCTGCCCCCTAATTTTACTATTTGAATAGTGCTGATAATTGTAGATGGTTGCCGGAAACCGCTATCAACTGAAGCTCCGGACCGAAGCGCGCGAGGGTGCTCAGCCGACCCGCGAGGAGTGGATCGAGGACGAGTCGTGCCGCCGGACGTACTACGCCGTTTACATCTTCTTCGGCATGCTCACGCTGACTTTCAACCACACTCCAGCGATGAGCTTCGACGAATTTGACAATTTGGAGCTGCCTTCCTCGGAATCCATGTGGAATTTGGATGTGACGGACGATGAGGCGTGGCGTCGCAGCTTAGCGTCCTCCACGCCGCTTACTGTTCGTGAAGCGCACGACTGCCTTTTCCAGGGCGAGCAGACGCGCTACAGTGCTTTCGCCACCCGTGTGCTGATCAACGCGCTTTTCCTGCAAGTTTGGAACCACAAGAGGAGCTTCGAGGCCCTCCAGGACGTGGTGACCGAATACAAGCTCCGCTTGGCGCTGGAGACGTGGGAAAATTCGCTGGAAGTGTGCGAGCCGGAAACGATTGTGGTGCCTCTCAGCACCCCTCAAAAGGGCCACCCCTTGATTTTCAACTCGATGGCCGTCTACCGCAACACTCGCGCCCGCCTGGAAGTTGACCTCAAGTCCATCCAGGAGGCTCTGCGCTACCACTCATCTTACGAGGTCGCCGCTGCGATGACTGTCGCACGCGAGAAGGTCAAGCGGTCTCAGGAGATGAATAAGGTTATTCAGTCGTGCTTTGAGTGCATTGAGATCGCCGCCGTTCAGGGCATCAACTGGGTCGCCAAGACGTCGGCAACCAACTGGAGCGTCGAGCATCCTCTCTGCGGCTTGGACTTGATGGTCATCCTCAGTCTCTGGCTCTATCGCCTGGAACATGACGAAGAGCCCGCAACGGAGGCTGAGATGGCCATCTACAATAAGGTTCGGAATTTGTTTGATGATGACGCCGTCGATGCTTTTGGAAAACTCAGCTCCACCGTGGCCCGTGTATGGGGTAACATCCTAGACGGCGTGGTAGTTTGGGGGTAAGTTGATCCTCTACTATGCTCATGCTATGATATCGTATGCTAATACCTTAACAGAATTACAAAGCTCATGGGCGAGTCATTCAAACTTCATTCCCAGGCCTTGGTCGGCTACGAAGATTCGTTGCGCGTCGCCAAGGACCAACCTATTCACCCAATGCCGACGAAGACGCTTGCCAGCGTTGGCACCGCGTACTAGTGCGATCAACATCTCTACTCGACGGACAGTGTAGCTTGACCATGGTCATCTACGTCACCAACTAAGTTCATCTTCATTCTCGTTTTCATTCATTCCTTACGCGGGCATTGGTTTTTTTATCTGATTTGGGTCGCGGGTGGATTTCGGATTGGGTCGGGAACGGCGAGCAAGTGGCGGCAGAGAATTCCCAAGGGATGCTATGATCTGGACTGCCGCATCATGCTGCTTGCTGGCGTTCCCTGGCTCACAGTTAATTGCTTTATTGTTTTCTGCGACGTCTTTCATTGCGTTATGGTTTCGCAAGAGCTCACGGGAGTCCGGTGTGGTCATTTTCTTGTTTTTGTGGGTTGTTTTCCCAAGGCAACATCTCGACACCCGGCTGGTCCTGTGTGTTCATCCTAGCACTCGGTGGAGTTGTTGTTTTTTCATTGCCTTCTTCTTATACGCTCTTCTACGCCCTAATCATTAGTGCCGTCCGTTCTACATGTGCGCATCAGCGTGTTTGGTCAATTGCCTTGGGGTTACCCCAGGCCATCTTTGATACCTTTGTCCGTTATATACATTCTTCTGCTTCAAGTCATTCGTTCAGACCTTTTGATCTATTACTTTGTTTCGTGACCACTTAATGTATTGCGTTAAATCGTTTGATATAGTGATGTGTTTATGTGTCCCCGCCGTTGATGTTCTCCGCTCTGATTTTGTTTTGCTTTTAATCTTTGGCATCGTTGTTTTGAATTGTTTAATTGCACATGCTTTGCTTGACCTTTATCAGTAGTTCTCTGTACCATAGTAATTTGCGCAGAAAATATAACTTGTTGGCGGGGTCAGCGTTTGCAGTCTTGTAGAGTTATTGAACTGGCTTAAGTTGACTGGATTGCTGGAGTAATCGAAAGACTTGAAAGAGTGGGTCAGCCAGCACGGTGGATCAGTGGGGGATCTGGTTCGCGGGTGCTTATCAGGAAAGAAAGGAGGCCGACCATCGCGGGGAATGAAAGTGTGAACTGAAGTCACAATGAAGGAGAATGAAATCCATGGAAGTTGCAGAGACTGGAATTTGGGAGATCACTGGACCAGAGCAGGTGACTTGTTGCTTACCTTACCCCTCTTCTTTGCTTCTGCAGCAAGCAGTGATGCCCGTTCCTGGTTCCTACAAGTACTCCATAGTTAGCTCCTGGATCCTTCTTCCTCTTCCCCTCACCTTATCATTCACTTAGTACTATTACTCCAACTGAATCAATCATGGCCCTCCCTTCCAACGTCCACGTCTCTTCCCATCCCCTCCTCCAAGCCAAGCTATCACAGCTCCGGTCCGCATCCACCTCGACCCGCGAGACCCGCAGCCTGGTGCACGAGATAGCCACTATCTTGGGCGTGGAAGCATTTGCAGCAGGATGGAAGGTGAAGAAAGCAGGAATGGTGAGTCTTCCTCTATCAACTATTTATCAATAGACTTATTGACTTATTTGAATAGGACACCACTCCCCTAGGCACCGAATACGTCACTCACGACATTGATCCCTCGGACATTGCTTTGGTGCCTATTCTCCGGTCTGGGTTGGGCATGATAGAGGGTATCGTCCCTTCCCCCCATACTACCTCCTATCTCGGGCACCCACCTGCTCTCACCGACCAATTCCTAACATCCAATGACCATCAACTCAAAACCATCAACTCATAACTAATGATTATATAATAAACAGCAATAAATAACCTCCTCCCCACCTCCATCCCAATCTACCACCTCGGTCTCTTCCGCGAACGTCTCACCCTCCAACCAGTCGAATACTACAACAACCTCCCCTTCCAGCCCGACAGTTCCAGCACCAACACCGCCGCTGCTGCAACAGCCATCCTACTCGATCCTGTCATTGCAACGGGTGCTACCGCAGAAGCAGCGATCCAGTTACTCCGTGAATGGGGCGTGCAGAGAGTCGTCATGTTGAGTGTGCTGGGTTCGGAAGCGGGCGTGCTTCGCGCAGCGGGGACCTGGCCTGAGGGCGTCGAGGTGTGGACTGGGGCGGTGGATGCGAGGTGTGATGAGCGGGGGATGATTGTGCCCGGGTTGGGGGATATTGGGGATAGGTTGTTTGTTGCGATGGGGAAGTAGATGCTAGCTGGGGAGCGCTGAGCAGCAGGATACTTATACTAACTAGGTTGTGAAGCGTGAAGCGCTGAGCAGGTCTACTTGACTTCTTCTTCTTCTTCTTAGGGTATGTAGTGGGAAAAGAGATGGATAGATAGCCAGCAGTAGGTAAATAGACATGAATGATCCGATCAACCACCCGGTTAATAGATCAATAGATGAAAGATAAGAAAATTCACCTCCGCTGCAAAAACCCCAACACATCCATCTCAACCCCATACTCCATCTCATCCCTCCTACCACCACCACCAGCAACACCACCAACATTAGACCCCAGATTCATCCTCCCCCCAATAGGAGCAATCGAACCAACCCCCACCGGAATCTCCCTCCCAGCAGCAGCACCACCACCACCACCAGAAGCCGAAACAGTCGTAGAAGTAGGCGTCATGGGCCCCAAACTCGGCGACGAAACCACATCCATCCCGGTAGTCAACGCCACCCCGATCTCATTCTCCTTATACATACCCACCCCACTTCCAGCAGAAGCAGAATTCTCAGGAGTAATAATAATATTCCTCTGATGCAACCCCAATCCTGCACTTCCATCCAAACACCTACCATCATGCACATGGCTATGTTGAGAATTGAATTTCTCCCCGATCCCTCCGCTCCCGTGATGGATTCCCCGCGTGAGGAGCATCTGCCGCCGGAGTTTCTGGGCGTGTTCGGAGCGGAATTCGGCTGCTGTTTAGCCCCACCACCGCACCAGATATGGGATGTTAGTATGTGTTTGATGATAGAAGAGAAGGGTGTGTGTGTATGGGGTAAGCGTTACCTCTCCAGAAGAATACATATACGCCCATCACGACGAAACAGGCGGCTAGGAAGCCGAAGAGGATGCCGAGTTCGTGCGAGAGGGAGGTCATGGGGGTGTAGGGGGGGATGTTGTGTGGAGTGTTACCACTGGTAGTAGTAGGAGGGGGGTTTGTGGGGGAGATTGTGGTTGTGGTGGTGGTCATTTTGATTTCGCTGTGGTGGTTTCTGGTGTTGGAGTTGGGTGTGTTGAGATTGTCCCAGGTAGATATTGAAGGTGGGAAGACTGTTGTTCTTGTTTTGTTGGTCGTGTATCAAGTTGGAGTTGGACTACACTCTGTAGTCAGAGTAGGAGTAAGAGGGGGTGAAAATTGTGGGGTTGGGTCCCATTCACTGAGATAAAGAATAGAGAACGGAGATGACAGCAGTCTGCAGGTGCATGTCGCTCGTGTTCTTTGTCTGTCTGTCTGTCTGTCTGCGCAGTATCATCATTGGTTGTCGCACTCGTACTACCCGGATCAGTCAACAAAGCCCGGAATTGAAATCAGCAGTGAAGTTGAATGAATAGATTCAGTATTCATGATCAGTTAAGTAGTAAGTAGTAAGTGTAAGTAGTAGTAAGGTAATAGTAAATACATCATCAAACAATAGCCTCAATGGCACAAATCAAGGTATCATGTACACGTACAAGAAGCGTCAGTAGAAGTAGGTAAGGTAAAGGTAAAAGGTAAAACGACCCGGTCTATACATGGGGGTATGGTATGAATGCAAAGGTCAAAAAGTAATGCAGACTTCACAAGAAGTGAAGTGAAGAAGCGAAAAGAATATTCTGCAGCACAGCCATAAATTCGATGGTGGCTGCTGCAATGCAATGCAAGCAACGCTCGTAGCAGAGAGCGACCGATCCGAGTCTAGTCGCCAAAGACTGTCGTGAAATGAAATTATAAGATAACTCCGAATGCAAGTTGGTGCAGCATGAATATCGAGTTGAAAGTCGAAGAAAGGTCTGGATCACCCCAGCATCACTGCTGCCAATGCCGTACAGGTCAATCCAATAGCCATGCCAATCCATGGTGTTTGTCCGAGTGTGCCTTCACTCCGTGCGCGCAACGCCTTGGTTTCCCCTGTTGATGCGATTCTCCCACTCGCTGGTTCGGGCAGTTGATCTTGCACCCGTGTCGCATCTGTATTATCTTCGATCTCAAACAGCGTGCGAATCTCCCATAACTTCGCATTGAGCTCTGTGTTCGACGGTGTCGGGATCTCAGGCAACGGCGCGGGCGGGTTGGCATTGGGGAGGGAGGGCGTGGGAGACACAGCGGGAGGTATTTGAGCATCGGCCTCGACGGCGAGAGCTATCGTGGGAGCGAGACAGAGGAGGATCGTGGAGGTCTTCATCGTGAATGTATGTATGTATGTGTGGAGGTGGATATGCGAGAATGCGACGAGAAAAGGTCGGTGCGGAAGGAAACAATGGAAGCAAGGCTGCGGGATTCCAGAACGTGCTGGATTAAAGCCAAAAGAAAAACTCGTGCCAGGAATTATAATCCACCACTTTCAACAGTACCAACAAACGGAAGTAACCAAGTCCCACAGTATCGAGTCGATAGTAAGCTGAGTCGAGATCTGAAACGGGGAGCGCGACAGATGCGAAGAGCGAGAGCGCAAAAGAAACGACTGGCTGGTGTGTATCTCCTGAAACCTGTAACGAACAATACAGGAGAGCAGGCAACGGCAACGACAGTGTGTAAGTGTAAGTTCAAGTGAATAGTACAGCAACAACCACAGCAACGACCGTCTCCAACAACGACAGGCACAATACAATATAAATAAAGTACAAGCAAGAGAGAGTTGCAACAGGAGGAAATAGAAAAAGGGACGGACGGGAAAGCAGAAGAAGAAAAGAAGAAGGGGGGAAAAACAGGCGAAACGGCCCAGACGCTGACAGGCCAAACTGGAACGGGGGGGCCCTGACCCTGACTTTTGCCAAATTAGTGGAAATTTAATTCGTCTTTAGCGTTTTTGCGCCGACCTCTCCTCTTCTAAGAACAAAGCCCCACTTTCCCAAGTGGCCCCCAATAGATACCTGGTGGGGTTTTGCCCAGCCTGCAGTGGCCCGCTATATTTCCCAGCTAATTGGCTGGATCCTGCCGTGTCAGCACGGGCTGGGACTAGCGTCAGTTGAAAGGATGTCTCGTGCCACTTACAGAAGCTTGTCAGGGAAGGGCGACGGTGGAACCAGGGACAATCCCTGTAACCATCGGCATCAGCTTTTGCCCGATTGGGAGAGGGTCTGGACCGGGTGAGCCAATAAGAGATGACAGAAACTCCACGCGAGGGCGAGGTTCATTTCCCGCTATTGGGTGAATGGGGGACGGGATGATAGTGCACTGTACTCTGTATAGGGCAGATAGATACTAGTATAGTACGTTAGTAATAAACAGTATTATTGTTCCCAGTATCTATCAGGCTATCTTAACTCCAAGTGAGACATTAATTTGCTTGTGCTCACCGGCCCTGAAAATGACGAGCTCAAGCTGCGTTAATGAAGATGTGCAAATCACTCTCAACAACACGGGATGTCGCATCAAACTTACACCGTCCATCGGCCCATCTATCATGCTTCATTGAAAGTCTATCGAACATCACTTACTCGGCATCTCATACTTGATTACATACAGTGTCTGCCTCACTGCCCTCGGGTGGTCCGTGTACTAATTATAGTCCCGCTCATCACACACACTCTCTCTCTGTCCGCGACAATCAATCCCACAAGGCAATCAACATCAACACAACACCACACAATGGCTGTGGCGTGGCATGGCTGGCATTCCTTTCTTACGTCGTCACCTCTCACAGCCATCCATGTGGATAATACATCATCCCAAGGTTATTCCTCATTGGCATCTGAACTTTTGACAGTTCTATCTTTATCTTCGTCTTTAGTATGAACATAACATCCGATCGGCCGTCCCCCAGCCATCCCGCATGACGTAAATCCCTTCCTGCCTCCCAAATAAACAAGGCCATCACAACAGCCCCATCTATAGTGGGATACTGTCAACATTCGACCAGCCTTCTCACTGTTACTACAACATCATGTTACAGCATCCTGTTACAGCATCTTCCCCCAGTCCGGTGTCACCGTAAACTTCCCACTCAGCTGTCCCATCGCCCACACCTTCTTTTCATCATCCGGGAATTCCTCGTCCGCTGCATTAGGCGGGGTCGACACGATCAACGCTTCCTGGAGAAAGTCCACGGCTGTTGCGCGATCCAGCTCGAAGCTGATGCCTCCCCAGTCCATCGTCACCCGACCCGACGCATGGACGTTCAGCTTGCCGACGCGCCCGGCGCTGAGGCCCCAGTCGGTTGCAGTGACAATCTTGGATGACGTCCCTGTTGCCGTGGCATCCTCTCCACCTTCGAGGATCTCCACGCCATCTTCGCGCTTGACGCCTGTCTGCTCCGACCCACTGGCCTCCGGTGCGCTCTGCCCCGCCATCGCATCTGTAGCTTCATCCGCTGGATTCTCGTTGTTGCCCGGTACCACCAGGTTCGGCGTCATCGGTGGGAATTGCATCAGGAACAGCTGCCCCGCCAACTTGTCCTTGTTGACATCCTCTTCCTCCTGTTCCTTGTCCTTGTCCTCCATTGTACTGTCCTTGTCCTTGTCCTGGTCATTCGCAACCACAGCAGGGGCCTCTCCCTCTGCCGGGGTGGTGGTCTCCGATTTTTCAGGTTCGGGCTCCTTCTGGAAGAGGTCCTTGACAATCTCCAGGTCCTGCTCGTGTCGCTCGTACTCTTCGATATCCTCCTTCGTGCGTAGTAAACTCTTCGGGTCCTTCACGGCAGCAGGGATCTCCATTTCGGGCTGGGGTGTCGCCTCGTTCGACGGGGGTGTGATTTTCCTGCGCACCTTGACCTTCTGTACCGGCAGCAATCCATCATCCGTCGTAGCTGGCTCCTCGGCATGCGGAACATCTGTCATGACCTGATCATCATCATCCGTAGGCTCAGACTTGACCTTGGGCTCTCCTTCCGTAGTAGCCGCAGCATCATCATCATTCTGCTGCACAAAGAGCGCACCATCATCCTCCTTCGCCTGCGCCTTAGCCTTCTCCCTCAGCTCCGCCGACTTGCTCGAGCTCGACTCCATATTGACACTGACCACGCGCTCCTCATGCTCATGTCTCTCGACGCGAATAGGCCGTAACCCCTTCTCAGCATCGGCATACTTAACCGCCGCCTTCCCCTTCTTGCTATCGACCATCATCTGCTCCTGATCCTCCTCATCACTATCCAAATTGATCTGGTCAATACTGATGCGCACCTCGCCATCACTCTCATCCGACGAGTAATCGCGCGTCCCCGCACCCGCCGCCGTATTTCCCAGATCAATGACCGACCGACTGCGTCTCGACATAGACGAATGTCTCGAATCCTGTCCAAACCGTCCTCCTCTACCCCGACGCCCAGACATCCCCGAGCCCAATGGCCCGCCCGCAGACCCCAAAGGTCCGCCACGCCCGCGCCCAAACCCACCGCGACCACCAGGACCGCCTTGATCCCGGCCGCGCTGAATCGCCGCCGCCTCCTTCAGGCGCTCGCGGTGCCGCTCGGCTTCGAGCTTCTCGATGGCTTCTCGCTCCTCCTTGCTGCGACGGCCGACGGCGCGCGGCTTGTATTTGAGTGTGGGCTTGGCAGGTTCGCCGGGCGCAGCGGGCGCGCCGGGGGGTTTCGCGGCCGGTCCGATGCTGCCGGAGGGTGTGCGTTTCTTGAGCGATTGAAGGCGCTGGACGGGGGCTCGCCCGGAGGCTGATGGGCCGGGTGTTGGAGTCTGGGAGTCGCCCGTGGTGGTGGCGCTGGGCGCGGGACTCGCGGAGGCGGTTGTAGATGCATTGGCGCGGCTGGCTGCGCCGGCCGGTGCTCCTCGTCGGGGAGCACCTTTCGGAGGCATGATGGGTGGATGTGTGGATGATCAGAGTATGAGTGCGGTAGAGAGGTTGGGGTTGATAGCGTCGGAAGTAGTTCGGAGTGAGAACAAGCTGGAGGGGTATGTAGGGGGTAGCTCGTCCGGGGGTAGAGAGAGGAAGGGTAAACAGAAAAGGGAGGGAGAGGAGGGGAGAATTGGATGATGAAGTCGAGTGAAGATGAAGAAGATACGGAACTTTTTGGCAGGATCCGCGCCCGCTCGGCGTTGGAGAAAAAAAGGAAGTTCGCGCCTCAGGCCGCTAATGCGGGGCAACGCCAGTCAGCCGGCGCTAACCCGATCCGGACATCACCTCAGATGTTCATCAATAATTCTCTCAATTAATGGCAGCCATTCACTGAATCATTATGATGGATCGCATTGAGTCAGTCTTGAACAATGGGTCTATTCAGACCAGTATAGCAATAAGCCTGTTACTAGTAGTTGTTAGAAAGCTAGCCATTCATTGAGTTACCTGGGCTGTCTTTGAAATTCAATATATATTTCCTATTGATCACACTAGACCTCTTTGCAAGTTGTAACTCATCTCCAGTTGAAATCAGACGGGCACCAGCAAAGCCATTCAAAACACAACCAAGTAATCCAGATACATCCGCTCTTTCAATGGGGGCCTAAGTGAGTGGAGGCGACCCCGGACCGTGGCCGCGAAAACATTGCAGCAACTAACGCCAAAAGACACAACTCAGGAAGCTCAATCAACCCGCTCAGCTCAATCGCTAGACTATCCATGATAAATAACAGGCCAGGCAGAATGCAGACGGTAATGCGAACTAGGTTGGCGATCCGAGGAGAGAGAGGTGTAGAGAGAGAATGAAGGGAGCGCGGCACTCGTGACTTCGATGTGAGGTACAAAGAGAGACGTCGTGTACGAATCCGCTAGTGATGAAGGAAGGACATCCCAAGAGGCAGGCCGGCTCGAGGGAGAGGAAGAAGTATTCAGTAGTGTGATAGGGAGATTCGGAGAGTTTCAAGATGATCAAGCCAACGGTCCGCGTGGAAAATCTCGTTAAGGAGGGGAAGGATACGATGCACGGAAGAATGTCGATTCGTCTATGTTAAAAGGTGTAATATTTCAGGAGAAATGCAGCCATCCAGGCGCAGCTCATCGATGGTTCGGTACGAACGGTGTGGGCGAAAAAGAAAAAAGGAGATGGAGGTCATGGGCCAGGCACAGCCATCCTCATTGCTGGGATTGGAATCCAGCTAACGCTTGCGCTTCTTGTTCTTGTCCATGCTAGCCGCCGTGGTCACCGGAATAGCGGCCACAATGGATTGCGTCTCGACTCCGTTCGTAGTGGCGTCGAATGCTTTCTTGACAGGGACCCCCATGTGACGACCGTAGCGGCCTTTGCGACCGTTTCCTTCGTCTTCGCTGATGCACCCTTCAATGCCGATACCAGCATCCTTGCATCGGCCGCAAGGGCGCTGCCGATCGCAGCCCTTCTTGCTCTTACGGCATCGCTGGCAACGCGGCTTAGTCGACAAGTCCTCTTCGTCGGCGGCGAGCTGGTGCTGGAAGTTGACGGAAGAAGTCGATGTTTTGCGGACCGGCACAGGGCTCATCATCTGCGGTGATACCGCCGTCTTCTGAGCCACCGTGGTAGACGTCGCCTTGACTTTACGAGCGGCCCCATTGGCCGCTGGCTTGCTGCTCTTATTCGGACGCACGGGTGCTGGCTTGGGCCCGCGCGCCTTGGTGGTGCTGACAGCATGGGTGGGCCGAGTCTTAGCCTTCTTGGACTTGGGAGCGTCCCGGTAGAGAGTATCCTCATCCATATCATGCCTCACCAAGGTGTCGTTCAACTCTTCATGTTGGTATTCCTCGTCGTAACCGTCGTAGCTTCCATCAGAGCTGTCAAAGCTGGGAAGGATATCGTCCAGATGCTTGTGTGTGCGCTTGGTGGCACCAGGTGGGAGCATGGGGCTGGAGTCGAGCCGCTGCTTGGACCGAGCGGGTAGATCATCGTCATCATCGCTGTAGTCATCACCATCGCTGGTTGCACCCGTCGAGGATGCAGCATCAGCGGCACCGCTGAAGGCATCATCAAGTGTGGAGGCAGAAGTACGGCCATGCGAGAAATTAGATGCGTCTCCCAGACGAATCAGTTGCATAGCAACATCCTCGTCGGAAATGCAGCTGGCAATGGTAGGATCTGGGGTGGGGAGGATGCCCGGGCCGCCGCCTCGACCAGCCTGGTTGCTATACTGCCCACCAGAGGACTGGGTAGTGGTTCGGTCGCGCAGCCGGTGGCCATGCTCAGGAACCACAGGGGTGGCGTACACCGGATTGCGCACCGGATTGACGCTATAGATCTGCTCATTGTATCCATAGCTCTGTGGAGACGGCAATGGTTGTTGGTTGTAAGGGCGCTGGGTGGGGCGTGCGAAAGGTGAGATGGCCCCTTCCTGACCGATTGACCGGCGCTGGGGCGAGATCGACGACGTGGAGGTTGTGAGCGGGACCTGGGGAGGGACGAACAAAGGCAATTCCTGAAAGGAGACAAAGACTCAACGTTAGTAAATATTGTTTCAACAGAGACGGGGAAAGAAAAGATGCCCGCCACGAACCGAACTTTCAAACTTGGGCCGTTTCCGGCGGCCATCTTGAAGGATGTTTTCCATGCTGATATCTGAGCTGCCAAACTGCTCGGTTCGGGACTTCTTCGTCCCAGAGTAGCCACCCTCGCTATCGCTATAACCAGGAGTACCCTCCTCGTGGAAGCTGCCATGAGTGCTCGAGCCTCTACTCTTGTTGCCTACCCGAGATGACTGCTTGTTCTGAGATGCGCTACGACGGCTGCGACCAGACGGGGATACACTGCGTTTCCGAGCCAGCCGCGACGCCGGGCGAGAAGGTGGTTGGGCGTGTTCCAAGACCTGCGCCGGCGGCATTGCCGGCGGCATCTGGAAGGGCTCCCCTAAGCTGGGACGCTTGCGAGCCTCGGCGGGAAGGTGCCCATAAAAGCGATCACCGTAGCCCTCTGTGTATGCCTGGACGGGAATAACCCGCACATAAACAGTCATGTTGTTCCGTAGATTCTCATACCTGGCAATGAGGGTAATGCCTTGCTCGTCTTCGAAGCTGACACCGCTCGCAGCACCATCGTAGATGCCGTAAAAATTCTTAACCGTAGTCACAATGGAATCCGTTGTGTCATGAGGGTAGATCTGTACCCGCATAGGTATGCGGGCCCGGACCTTGGAGTTCTCATCGAGAAGTAGCTCAAAGGCGACGTTCTTAGGAACCGAGCTCCGGGGGGAGGGTTCCTGAGGCGGCGCACGATGGTCGGTGTAGGCAGGCGACTCCCCAGGGGCAGCATGCTGTTCGTACTGGACAGCCTGCATGGTGGGAGAGTCTGAAAGGAGGCACTACCACACTGCTACTACATTGATGTATGAATCAATCGGGTGTTCGAACTCGGGGAGGAAGAGCGGTCCGGGCGAGAAGAGACAAGAGGGTGGGTGGGGGGAAAGGAAACAGGCAGAGACGGGGAAGAGGAGGGTATGGGCAATTTCCATCCAAACCTACCACAACAGAGAAACCAGAGGGGTTCAGTTGATAGATGGACTACCCGCGACAGTTTTTATGGATATGTTGGATGGCGATGCAGAGGGTGGTCGGTGGGAGGACGACGGCACCTCAGTCGCAAGAGCCGAGAGCGACGGGAAAGGCAAAGAAAAAGACGGTCGAAAACCTGGACAGCCACCACCACGAAAGTCAGCACGATGTGATGCAAAAGATGTCAATGAGAAAGGAAGATGTCTGGAGAAGGGAATCCAAGTTGATTCGATGACGCCGAGACCTCCCTAGTCGAATCCTGATGGATTGCAGATTGGGAGGAGAAACGACCCGAAACACTCGGAAGACGATGGAGAGCATCAAAGACGTACCGATGGGAAATCAAACCTAGTTATTTAGAGTCGCACCCGAATATCGGATCCGACAAGATGAGAAAGGAAGGATAGCGATGGTGGTTGAGGATGTAGGAAGAGGGGTGGGCCGTGGGAGGTGAGTCGTTCTACCAAGCGCTTGGGTATGTCAGCGGTGGCATCACGCAGAGCCGAAGCGAGTCAGGAGAACCAAAAGGCCAGGAAAGGGGGAAAGCAGGTGCAAAGAAAGATCAAAGTCATGTTGAACGATGGACAGGAACCTACCTGATCGATATGCACCAAAATTTCGAAGGAAAATGGTCAAGAGAATGGGCGAGAAGAAGTCGGGTTGGGTCGAAGAGAAGGTTGAGGAGGGAGAGAGAGAGAGAGGAAGAGGGAGTGGGCGCTGGATGGATGGATGGATGTGGTTTCACCCAAAGCGAGCAGAGGTGGCCTGGGTCGGTGACAATCCATCCTCTTGAATGCACCCTTTTCCCCCCACAGACATCCCCCGACTTCCTTTCAGATGCGAATTGATTCTCTATATTCTCTATCTAGCCTGTTTTTTTACTTGCGCGTTGCTTTCTTTCATCGCAAAATCCTAAATCGCATTGCGTCCGAACGGACCGGCTTCTATCTGGATCTACGAGATCGGCGACTCTGCCTTGAAGGTCTTCTGGCAGAAAATAACATACAAAGTACCTGTCAGATGAATCGCTAAAACTACACTTTTATAATGCTGTAACTTTTATTCCAAAAAATGCCAGTAATGGGGTGTAGGGTCGGTGCAAAATGCTTTGGGATTCTGGAGTATCGGCCGGGTGTTGGCGCAAACGACGGCGACATCGTCGATCTGCGACCACAGAACAGGTGCAGAGTACTTTTGAAATACCAATCTACAGACATTACAGAAACACGGAAAAGAGAATCACCTGTGGATTAGGATCATTATTATTATTATTGCTCCCATTTAATTCTTTGTGCACCCAACGGACGAGACGGTTGACCAGATGAAGCGGAGTGGCGTAGGGTCAAGGTTGGCTGGCACTTCCTCAGCGCGGCCACGTCGAATGACACCCCCGATCACATCCCGGCTGCGGAGAGCGAGTGATGGACGCTTTCTTCATGTCGGTCCCCATTTCGGGTTTAACTCCCTCAGAAGGTGGACTTTTGTAGCAGAATGATAAAGTGAATATCTCGTAGCAAATGTTTAAAACAGCTGAGTTATAATTACAGACCAAACAAGCAGCGAAAAGATCCGAAGAATGTATCCTGGAATAAGGTTGGTTCCCTTTTTCCCTACGTGGTGGGCAAAGGACGCAATTAAAGACGACCGACCAACTGTCTCCGGAAAGAACTTGTCCCCCTCTCGCGGCGACCAATTCCCTCACGCTGGTCGCGCAAGGTTCCTCCCATGCTCAATGCTGAATGCTGCCATTCATTACTCGCGGGGCGTAAGACATGCATGGTTTGGAATAACCGGTTGAAGGGCGATCGATGCTCCGGATCCCCATATTGGGGAGAAGGAATTCTCCTACGGCGCAAATGTCCTCCATCGATGGCCTCAGGCTCATCATCCATCGCCAGTAGGTAGACTAGTAGTACGACTACTATAGTAGTAGTAGTTAGTTAGTAGTATTCTGGCATCGCCAGCACAGAATCCCGGAGAAACAACCAGGTCATCATCACTAAAGAAAAAGAAAAGGAAACAACGGAACAGCATGCAATGAATGAGGGGAGAGCAATCCAACCTCACCAACCATCACTACCGGGGGATGGAGACAGGAAGATTGAGATTCATTGGGCCAGGGCGCTGCAACGACAGAGAGCCAACAAGCCGACGAGCAACAACGCCCAATTGTTGCCTCGTTTCATGATCTGCGCCTGTCCAGACTCGTCCTTTTACCCCTCCTCGGAAAACGGTGGGCTACGTAAGGATCCCCGTCGTTCGTTCACCAACTTTCGGGCAGGCACAAGACTGAAATTCTTTGCGACCAGACTGAATTGACTGACAGCTACTAGATACTCTCATCATCCGAGCACCTCCAAATCCTACGGACAGTCCTTTGGCTTCCAGTCCCGCGGGTCCTTAAATCGCAATCTGCCAGGCCGGCCATTCCCATGTCTGCAAGGTCCAGTGCGACTTCGCAGCGGCCTGTGAACTAAACCCTCGGAGGGTTCCTTGACTGCCAATCCGCGGTTTAACGATGTCTTGCGCGTTGCACTGGGGTCTCTACATAATCACAATCCTGGCTCCAAGCGATCGAATGAGATTGAGCGATGGTCGATGGACTGAGAACAACCAACTGGCGTAACAATGCCGTTAGCCGGGTGGGGGGAAACTGGAAGGGCTGCATTCCGTAAGGAAGTTAATGAGTATGATAATGATGGGTTCATATATATATATATATATTTACGGCAAGAATTAGGCTCTATCATTCTTCCTCTTGTGTTTGCCAAAGTAATCTTTAGTTAAATCAAACACAATCCTGTCTCGTGCGATCACTCCGATTGTAGAGAGTTGGGAGTGTTCCTTATTGAGGCACTCAAAGCGGGGCCTGCTCCAGAGTCAATAACCAGCCCGGCCGGTGCTTCAATAGTCATCATATTTTTGCCCATAATGCTAGCTAACTAACTGTGTTTGCTATTGTTGTTGGTCAGCCGCCAGTCAAAAGACACACCGAAACTTTGCGTATCTTCAATAGTCCGCTTTCACCGTTCGGTTGTCCGCGACACCTCAAATGGCGGCTGGTCGCCAGCAATCCAGTGTTCATCCTTCCATCCTCTCCCTCTCTTCCTTTACAATGCACAATGAACCACAGGATCAGTCAGGGCAAATTTGCGACCATCACATAACACATGCCACCAATACTGGCTGATTCACTGATGGCAAATCCGGTGGAGGTCGGACTTTTTCGCACACGACCATCGACAAACCCGCTCTTATGAATCCCGCCGCCTCATGATAGGTACCGCCGGATCCGCGTCCCACAATGGGGGGAAACTTGTGGCTTCCTGGCGAGGTTGGCATTCTGCGCGGGTGTAAACGGGACCCAAAGATCAGTCCAAAGTAAGTGCCAGTTAAAAAACCCGCAAAAAGCCAGGCCAAAGATGTAAACTGTAAGCCTACAGGAAACATGGATTCCTCAAGTCATTGACGGGACTGCGATTATCATGGCCCGTCATCATTGGCATTACCAGATTCCAGCTGGAATCTCGACCCGAATGGCCCATCCACCCCATCCTGGTCGAGACGTTTCGCTCAAAGACAATCGGTGCCCTGCCATGCGACACCGGTGAGCCTGGTCAATAGTGCGATCGGGGGTCCTGGATAGATAGTAGGTTTGGTCGCAAGCTGAATTCAACATTCCGGTTGCTCCAACCTCCGCTTCAAGCGTCAAATCCCGGAGCGAAGATGGCAGCCCGCCCGCCCGTTCTATGTCACGTGAACTCGCGTTGGGTGAAGCCCGGCTTCGTGTGGCCCGGCGCGTCAAGGACCCGGCGGGATATTAACACTCATTGTCCACCACAACCGTAAGTATTGGCAGATAAAACTGTCGGGATAGAATCGCAAGTTAGCCTGCGATATAAAATGCGTTTTTATCATCAGTTATACTCTTACTTTGAAGGAAAAGATGGTCAGTAAAGGAATTGATGTGCTGGCGGGAAGACGCGTTAGATGATGTCACCCGTTCCGGGAGCAAGCAAACAGCGCAAACAGCAGCTGACCTAAGCATGCCATAGCAACCCCCGAAGAGGACTAGCGCGAGTGTTGTTGACGGTAACCAAGTAAGGAAGTGACCGTTTCGGGCAATGCTGGTGGTTGCCCTTGAGATCCAGTTCAAACTCAGCTTGTGTTTGTCCTGCCCTTTCTTCGTTGCTGGACGCCCTGTTTTTGTCAATGTATTGGTGTTAGTCGTCGTCTTTCAACCAACCTCCTCCCTCTCGTGGCACCCAATCTTAACACTCAAAGCCTGGTCGACTGGCGCTATCGCTCGAGCCCTTGGCGCGGTCTTGTGTTTGTTTGGGGTCGCATTTTTAGTATAACTTTAGCTGCGACGACCAACTCCTGCGCAGGGCGCAGAGAAGTAAACAACCACCCACCCTTCCCCAAGCTCCCCAAACACGGTCCTGGAGGCTTCAGAGTATTGTCTCTCTTCATTCAAGATGGACGCAAAGGTACGTTATCATCCATTGCATGTTCTTCCTGCCTGTCAGCCGCCCAATCGGCTTATAAACATGGCATGCATGTTCACGGTGCTGCACGCGCACCGACGGCTTAGCCTCCGAATACCCCTTCACCAATGTCGCAACATAGTTAATTACACTGAGCTGACGAGGTGTATGGCATTAGCCCCAGAGAATTCGCGTCCGTGGTGACGAGAACGCCCCCTTCCCTCTCGCGGCCAACAAGACCCTTACCCAGAAAAACAAATCCACGCCTGCCTTGTCCACCATGTTCCAAAATGGCGCTAACAAAGGTGCGGCCAAGCGGGCTGCTTTTGGCGATGTCAGCAACACGGCTAAACCAATTCACGCGGGTCGCGATGATATCTCCCTGGCGGGCAAGAAACAGACCAAAGGGGCAGAGAAGGCGGCGTTGATCGTCGAGAAGAAGCCCAGTCTGGCGCAGCCAGCTCAGCGGCCCATGTCGATGGCTGGCATGAAAGGCCTCTTGAGCAATGTGCCCAACGCCAAACCCATCGAGCCTTCCAAGCAAATTGCCATGCAGCAGCAAACTGCAAATACTAGAAAGATCTTAAACAAGAGGGCTACAGTATTCAAGGACGCGTCGGAACCGTCGAACAACAAATGCGAAATTACATCCAAGGAAACCAACACCGAACTAGAGGAAGGGGACAACAAGGCATCCCTTGCACAGGCGTCCGCAGCTGCGAAGCGGACCACTACGAAGGAGGCAGCTACACACGAAGAGGCGAAGCCAGTTCTGGAAGACACCGAAGAGAATTCCATTGTGGACTCTGAAGTTGATGAGGCAGAGAAAGCTTTACTAGAGGCTGACGATGATCATTGCAAAGTCCAAGATCATAGCGAGGATCCCAAGCCCCGCGAGCTCCCCGCTGCGCCCGAGGTCCCTGAATCTCACCGCGTCGCGAAGGCTCATCGTGACTCTGCCTCGACCTCGCATGCACCGGCCCAGTCGGAGCCGGAAGATTGGGATGAAGAGGACGAGCACGAGGAGGAAGATGGGTATATCACTGCTCGCTCCTACCGCTCTCGCGGCGAAAATACCACTGGGGGTGCCACCACAGTGCTGTTCCCCAAGTTCACCCAGCAAGTCCGACGCGAATTAGCTCTTGCGGAGCAGGTCGTGGAGGCCACACGTACTGAGGAAGACATTGAAGATGAATGGTACGATACAAGCATGGTTGCGGAATACAGCGAGGAGATCTTCGAATACATGAGAGAACAAGAGGTACGTACTAAGTCGAGAGGCCCGACTGTATCTATTATTTAGCTGCTTACACTGCCTACAGATCAAGATGCTGCCCAACGCTCACTACATGGATAACCAAGCAGAGATCCAATGGTCTATGCGGTCTGTGCTTATGGACTGGGTCGTGCAGGTCCACTATCGGTTCTCTTTGCTTCCCGAGACCCTCTTTCTGTGTGTCAACTACATCGACCGTTTCCTTTCTTGCAAGATCGTGTCCCTTGGCAAACTTCAGCTCGTGGGTGCCACTGCCATCTTCATCGCTGCCAAATATGAGGAGATCAACTGCCCGTCTGTGCAGGAGATCGTCTACATGGTAGATGGGGGATATTCGATGGATGAGATTCTCAAGGCTGAACGTTTCATGTTGAGCATGTTACAGTTCGAGCTGGGGTGGCCTGGCCCGATGAGTTTCCTGCGAAGGATTAGCAAGGCCGACGACTACGACTTGGAGACGCGCACGCTTGCCAAATACTTCTTGGAGATCACTGTCATGGATGAGCGGTTTGTCGGAAGCCCCGCGAGCTTCGTTGCCGCTGGCGCTCACTGCCTGGCTAGGCTCATGCTGCGGAAGGGAACCTGGGTATGTCCTTGGCCAGCTGGAACTCGAAAGAAGTCGTTCTAACATGATTACAGACTCCCGCCCACGCCCACTATGCCGGATACACTTACACGCAGCTTCTCCCACTCATTTCTCTCATGGTGGAATGCTGCGAGAATCCTCGCAAGCACCATGGCTCTATCTACGAAAAGTTTTCTGACAAACGCTACAAGCGCGCTTCTCTGTTCGTCGAGAACGAGATGAGAAAGGGATTCATTATCCCGGAGCAGACCAGAGATAGCTCTCATTCCGATCGCAACGCATCAATTGAATCAGCGCACTACTGGAAGCGCGCATAGCCGCTCATCAAATCACTCGCGCTGATATCTTCGACCTCTTTTAACCGCTACCAAATACAGAAACTCAACCCAGAGTTGTTGTTTACCTCTGCATATAGAGCATGAAATTGTCTGACACGGCGCAGGGGTTCAGGGTTTGCTGGCTACACGGCCCTGCAGCCCGTGCCTGTCGAAGGCTGCTAATACTTGAAAATAAGAGGCGTGAGTGTGCGCAGAAGCTCACGTCGCCAATCCCCCAGGATCAAGGTCCTCACACCCTCATTTACCTTTTTTTATGATACCAAGACATGTGACGTCTATGGCCGTGCATGCAAGATGTAGATCACGCAAGAAAACTGATGCCGTGACCGGAATCGGATATCAGGGAGACGGAGTTCTTTTTGCTTTTAAATTATTTCTCTTCTCTTTTCTTTTCTTTTTCTTTTTTTCTTTTCTTTTAATGATTTGCACGACGGTTGAAATCATGCAAGCAATCCGGGTTCGGGAGTTAATGGGTCGATGGCTTGTCTTTTCATACAATCCCTCCTTTACATTTTCTTCATTTCTCTCCTATGTCGTTATGCCCTTGTGTTCTTTTACTTTTCTCGACTATCACGACCTGTTTTGCACGCTCCCGGCAGATTGCTGCTATCCACGGGATTTTCATGACGAACAGCGAGCTCGCCTGAGCATCGCTATAATTCATTACCCTCTGATTTCCTTTGTTTCGTTGGAAATGACGTTTACCGTTCGTCTATTACCGTATGCATCGTTCTGTGGATTATTATCCAGGTTTATGACGCAGGAGTTAATGCCATTGGATCTATCTCAGTAGCCTCAGTTACAGATGACTAGATATCGTAGTATTCGAACCGAAGCCTATCAGTCAAGCCAAGTCAGATCCACGCCCATGAACATCAAATTTATCATGAATTACACCCACATCTAATCTTCGCAGGACCTCTATCTTTTTGCTAGCCTCTACTACTATATACTCATATACTCCCCAACCTCACTAACCAAAACATCCACCCAAAACTGAAGCCATCCAAAATCTACTGATCCAACCCATTAAACTCAATCAACCTCTTCACGACCTCAACCACCTGATCTGCCGTCCTAGCCCGCTCACCATCCTCACCACCATTAGGCTGATCAATCCTCATCGCAATAATCTCATCCAACATCATCCGCAACCTCGAGACCAGAACACCGATGCGAGCCCATCCGCGCAGCCGTAACCATCCGTCGACGATCAAGCCGCGGCCAGCGGTGTCGAGGTCGATGGACCCGCAGAAGAGGAGGAGGGAGTAGGCGTTGAATGCTATATACCATTCTTTGTTAGTATACATTTCTCACAGGGTACAGATGTATAGTGAAGGGATGATCGAGATAAGGGATAATAACTTACGTGTCAAATCACGAACAAACACCTTACTCGTCGCCATTTTGGTAAAGTAGCTGAGATATGCAGATGAGCTGGGGTATGATTGGGCCGAGAAGCAGACGGAAGAAGGATGAATGAAGACGCGGCCATTCTCCTGGTTGAAGTATTTGATTGTTCGTGCGTCTGGGTCGATTTCCACGGTTCCCGTGACGGAGCTGGCGAATTTCTTGTCTGGGAAGGAGATTTGCGCAATCTGAGGCTGAAAGGCGCCGGCGATTAGGGCGCGGAGGAGGGGTTTGTTGGATGCGTTGCGGTTCCAGCGAGATGATGGGTCGGAGGAAGAGTAGTCGACAGGGAGGAGGCCGGCGTCTTTGAGGGAGGTTAGGAGTTGGGATTTGTTGGAGGAGATGTCGCGGAGGGTTTGATGGGAGAGGAAGTTGGCGGAGCACCAGGATTGGGTTTGCCAGTAGCCTTGGGCGTTGACGCGGTCGGACCACTGTTGGTAGGCGAGGAGATCAGTGAGAAGGTCGCCGTCGGCGCCTTTGGAGAAGGAGGCTTTTGCGGCGTTGGCCTCTTCGCGTTTCTCGCGCGGGGAGACGAAGGGGCTCTTGGCGGTCAGGATGGCGGAGATGGTGACGCAGGCGTCGATGCAGCTGAAGATGGAGCCGTAGACCATGAGTTTTGCGCAGCGGAGATCCGCTGGGATCATGGAGAGGTAGCGGCCCAAGGCGGTTAGTTTGTCGTGGTCGAGAGCGCCGACGCGGTGCAGGAAGTCGAGGGCTCCTTCGACGGCGGTGCTTTCTGGTGGAGTGATGGTGTTGGCTAGGAAGGTGGCGACGTCGTTGATGCCCTGCATGGCTTTGACGGATAGACAGAGCTGTTCGAGGGGTACTCGACGAATCTCGGGGTCTGGACGCTGTGCCATGTTTGCCTCTGCTTTGCGGGTATATAGTTTGTAGCATATACCGGCTCGGACACGACCGGCTCGACCACGTCGTTGCTTGCAGGCTGCCTGGGAGGCCCATACTTCTTGCAGTCGGACGATGTTGTCTCGGGGGTCGTAGCTTGTCTCCTTGACTCGACCGGTGTCGATGACGGCTACGATATCCTCGATTGTGATGGATGTTTCGGCGACGTTGGTCGCTGCGATGACCTTGCGCTTGCCCTTGGGAGGGCTGAGGAAGACACGCCGTTGTTCAGCTGGGAGGAGAGATGCGTGAAGAGGGAGGGGATGGGCGTTGGGTATTCTCTTCACAGCGTTCAGGCATCTCTCGATCTCCATTGTTCCGGGAAGGAAGATTAGGATGCCTCCTGGCTGGTCGCCTAGCTGGGCGTCAATGTATCGAACTGTGGAAGCGATCAATTCGTAGTTGATGCCCATTCCGAGACTGCGAAGAACCTTGCCAAGGGACTCGTCGGCTTGGGCAGATGATACGGCGTCTTCTTCCTCATAGTCGCGTTCGGAGAACTCAGGGTAGAATCCTGTGTCGCGGATGATATCGTCCAAGTAGTTGTCTTGCACGGGGAAGGTCCGTCCTGGGATGTTAACAAATCCAACGGACTTGCTACCGCCAAAATAGTTCATGAAGATGTCTGCGTCGAGAGTGGCACTCATGAGAATGACCTTGATGTCTTTACGATAGCGGAGGACGTCTCTCAGCAGAGCCAGAAGAAAATCGGTGTCGAGACTCCGTTCGTGCACTTCATCCACCACGACGTGGGTGACATCCGCGAGGGAGCTTGCGACATTGCCGTCAGGGCCACTGCCAGATTGCATGCGACGGAGCAGAACACCAGTGGTAACAAATGTGATCTTCGTTGTGCCTGCCTTGGCCTTCGACTCGCCTCGAATGATGTATCCCACCTCGTCACCAACCGACGCACATCGCTCATCGGACACGCGATCTGCCAGACCCAAAGCAGAGATTCTGCGAGGCTGGGTACAGATGATGTTTGCGGCAGCACCAAGGTCTCGCTTGATCAAGTCATCAAGCAAAAACTGGACGGACTGGGTACTCTTTCCACTACCGGTCTCTCCAGAGATGATTGTAACTTGGTACTTGTTCACGGCCTGAATAATAGCGTCCTGTGTGTTCCAGGCTGGAAGAGCTTGTCGTTTTCGAGTCATCTCTTGCTGGGTCTTGGTTGCCTGCTTCGCTTCCCAGGCTTCTCTCAGCGCGACGCTTTGCGGCGAGCCCGGCTGCCAGTTAACGTCTCTGCCCTTCTTGCGTGATTGGCGAACAGGGAGTTGAGATACAGACCCTGTCGCAGTTGGAGAAGCAGAGACGGTTGAAATATCCCGCAGACGCCCTGGGTTCTCCATAACTTCCGGCAGATGCACCTCTAACCAGTCCAGGATATTGAATATCATTGGCTCACCAAAAAAGTTCTCCTCAGAGTACTGTACCACCTGGCGTATAGCACTCAGTCGTATGTAAGCTGGAATGCCCTTGGCCAGAATAGAGATAACCGGAACAGCTGAAGGATAATGCGTAGAAGGCCTCTGGAAACGGAACGTTAAAGACTCCGGCAAGTCTGACCCTTCACTCTTAATTTCACAGACTTTAGGCGAAATCCGCTTGTACCGTTCTCCGAAGATAGCCTCCAGGGTATCTTGCTCTTCTGCCCACAAATCCTCTTCCGCAATGGGCGAAGAGTCGATAGCAGAATTTGATCCGTGCACCAGCGTGCTCTGAAGGAACTCTGCTGCCGCAAGTTCATCGCCCTTTTTGCTATCCAGTGTTCGCGAGCACAGGTCAGCAGGGTAGCCGATGGAGGCAAGCCGTTTGATTTTGGCCTCCCTTGCAAGATCATCGCTGGCAAGGCTCACACCGGCGGAGTACCCTTCAGGTAGACACCACCGTGGAAGATCATCTTCCGGGACATATATAAGAAGCCATTCCAGGACCTCCTCCCGGTCCTTGCATGTACTTGTCGCCTCCTCCACATGGCTGCGCCGGAAGCCCAAGTGAGTGAGCTCCTCGACAATAGACTTGCGCTCGCTTGCGGGTATCTCCACATTGTAAGGATTCCAAATGGCATGCTGACGCAGAATGCCCTCGATCTCACGGCGCACTTTACCCCCAAGATCAACTTTTGGTGCTTGCGACCAGATCTTCTTGCCCCTGTTATCACCGCTAGAGCCCAGTCCCAAGTCAACCGTCTTCTCTGCCTCCTTCGCCTGCATCTTCTCGCGCTCTTTCCGCTTCTTTTCCAGGTCTGCAGCTGCACTTTCTCGCTCCTGCTTGGCAAGGAACGGATCTGCCTCGTACATCCATCCTTTCCCTCCCTTGGTATCTGCCGTCTTGATCTCCGTGAAGTCCTCTTTCCAGAGCTTCTTATAGGTAGGCGGAAGCATCATATGTAGATTTTTCATGTTACACACTCGAAATAGGGCATAAGCAGCTGCGAAATGGCGCGCCTCTAATGCCGTAGGTTGCGCAGCGAGATGCTTGTGGGACGGGGGTGGCTTCATAGGAGGGAGTACGACAGTTTCTCGAGTCTTAGGATCGACGCGCTTCAAGATGACGGAGGAAACAAAGCCCTCTGAAACTTTTATCTGCATTGCGGTGGTATTGTCAGCATAATGACTTCGCAATTCATTAAGTAGTGAATCAAACGAAGATAGGCCACCATTGGCCGTACCATTGTATACTCAGGTTTCTCCCACTTCTGCTTCTGGCAATGCTCCGCGAGCATATTGACCGGCAGTTTTCCGGTCCATGATGCGCCTCCGATGACCTCCTTCACAGAGGGTTTCTTAGGCTCCTCCGTGGAAGCCTGCGCTTTCTTCGCTGTCTCCGCCGATCGTTCGGCGGCGGCTTTGGCTGATTTGGTCCCCGGTTTGGGGGCTCCTCCACGGGCGTCGTTCTTTTTCTTGGGGGCCATAATTCCAAAGTTGCAGGTAATCTAGAGCAGACGCCCGTGGAGCAACTCAGGCCGTTGAGGAGAATCCAAAAAGGTACCTAGAGCACTCCTGGTATTGAAAAGAAGCAGCGGGAGTTTCTGAGACGATTCCGCGGTTGGCTTGTCCCGCACTAGGCCGCTTTGATCCTTTGGGTAGGGCTGCGGGGAGTCGCCGCTGATCGCATCGCATGGCTTCGGCCTCTCCGCATCATAAGTAAGAGCTCTGAATCTCACCCATAACAGCTCTGCACCGGTCACTCGCTGTGCTCGTCAGCTAGAATCATTACTACGATGGCTGACTCTCCAACTCTGGAGCTCGACAGCCCCACAGAACAGGATGTCGCGCCCGCAGAAGCGCAGCAGCCACCGCCCAAGCCAGCGAAAAGAGACGCCTGTACGCTCCGAACACAAACACCGATTCACCCCTCTCCCTCCCCTTGCATACCAGACGCAGGAACCACTAACTGATTATTCCTATCTCAGTTACAGAACTACTTGCTCCGAAACCTAAACATCCCAAACATGGCGATCCTAGCACCTCCAAACACACTCCTACTACCTCGAAAAGGCGAGCCATCGGTGGCCCCCGAGACGGCCTAGGCGTCTACATCGCGAAACCAGAAACCTTCCCCTCCAACGTAGTAGTATACTACGACGATGATTTCGTCGTCATTCACGACATGTTCCCCAAGGCAACCCTCCACCTCCTACTTCTCCCACGAGATCCTCAGAAAACGCGCCTCCATCCATTCGAAGCCTTCGAGGACGCCGACTTCCTGGCACAAGTGAAAAGGGAAACGCAGAAGCTCCGCAAACTCGCGGCTGGTGAGCTCAGACGAATACATGGGAAATACTCGGCGCAGGATAAGGAAAGACAGGAGGCCCTGAATGTAGAACCACCGCTGGAGGAGCTGCCGCCGGGGAGGAACTGGGAGCAAGAGATCATGTGTGGAATTCATGCGCATCCCTCCATGAATCACTTGCATGTGCACGTTATCTCCGTGGATCGGTTCAGCGATCGTCTCAAGCATAGGAAACATTACAATAGCTTTTCTACACCGTTTTTCGTCAAAATTGATGATTTCCCACTGGCGCCGGATGATGTGCGGAGGCATCCCGATGAACAAGGCTACCTGCGCAGGGATTTTGTCTGTTGGCGCTGTGGGAAGCAATTTGGGAACAAATTCGCCGAGTTGAAGCTACATTTAAAGGAGGAGTTTGATGCATGGAGAAAGCTGTGAGGCGCATGACTACCCGCATGATGCAGGACGGTATAAGCGAAAGGGGGCTAGAGGCACGTTCTGCCATTTCTTCTTGAGCTTCAAATGATACTTGATGGAGTGATGCGGGGAACCGACCATGCAGTCCCCCTTGGCTGATTGCGTGAGCTCCGATTATAAATATCAATTTGAAGTAAATGTACACGCAAATCCAAGGCAGCAATAACTCCTGGTGGGCCACATTTTCAGTGACCCTTTCCCAAGTCCGCTAGCCTTACTCCAGAGTCGCTGAGAGAACCAACCAAGGTTCCCTCCGACTCCAAGCCCTTCCCAATATCTCCTCACAGATCACCCATCGACTCAGCACTGCAAGGGCCATTTAGGCACGGTTCTTAGCCTTGGCGCTACCCTTGACCTTCCTGGCCTCAGGACGGTTGATGTGGTGAGCGGGGATCCACTCGGCGTTGTAGGTAGTGGCAGACGAGACAGCAGGGCTGCTGGGAGCCTCAACGGGGGCCTCCTTCTTGGAGGCACCAGCGGACTTCTTGTACTCGGGGCCCTTTCCAGCGCGGCGCTTCTGGGGGAAGTAGGGAGCGATCCAGACGGTGTAGAAGAAGTAGACGACGCCAGAGAAGCAAGCCAGGAGGAAGAAGTACAGGAAGAGGCTAATAACAATAGGGTTAGCTTGGCCTTATCGGCGAGCTGTGAGAAAAGTGCCTTACATCTGAGGGTCAAAGATGCTGGTCTCCGGCTCAACAACGCTGACAGTGCCGTTGTAGGCGTAGAGAGTGAAGAGGTTGCCATCGGTATCAGAGATGACGGAAGCGAGGGTGAGCAGCAAATCCTGGGGGTGCATTTCGGTGGCGAAGCTGTAGCTGACGCTCTCCTGCTGACCGGCCGGGATCTCAACGCTGTAACGGTGCGCAGTCAGGTTGCGAACAATCTGGCTGCTTTCTCCTTCAACTGCCGACAAGGAACCACCAATGAAGTTCACAGTCACGGGAGATTCCTCCTCATTGGCGAAAGTGATCAGCGCCTCGGTCGGGTAGCCATTGACAAGCTTGACACCAAAGATCTCGGAGGCAGGGAAGGAGGCGTGGGCCGTGACAGAAAGCAATTGGGTTTCAGGGAGATCCTCCTTCTCAGCAGCATCCTAGTAACATGCGACATCGCGTCAGCAACTCAATTGACAGTGGGACGATGGGAGTCACGCGAGAGGGAACGTACCGCCGCGAGACTGCCGCCAATCAAGGCCTGGACAGAAAGGAGAGCCAGGGACAAGAAACCAAAGCGACCCATTGTGAATGAACCGGGAATTGAGGACGAGAAGAGAAAGGGTGAGGGTGAGGAGGGAGGGGGAGAAGGGTGGAGAAGAGAAAGATCGAAGAGGCGATCGGACCAGAGGTGGATGGAAAGGAAGAGAGAAGTAAGTAAGTGGGAGAGGAGAAGCAGTAAGAAAGAGAAGGGGAACTGGCAATTTCTCCACGTAGCCTCAATACTGCCTCAGGTTGGCTGGGATGGTTCCCCATGCGGCGGGCTGACTCAGCCCCAGTTCTCCCCGGCCGGCGGCTCGTGACTGGTTGGCGCCTCATGCGGCTGTTTTGATGGTGACTTGCTCTAGGCTTGTGCCAGCCCAGTTCACCTGTCTCTGTAGATCTTGCACTCTCTTCGTGATTGTACAGTAAACTCAGTCCCGATAGTATTGACTCCCCGCAGTCTGCCCAATCTACTATTCTTTTTGGCTCCATAATCTCGATTGCCGCCGTCTCTGCCGCCCACCATCACCCTCCCCATTCTCGGTGCTTCTATAGCCTTGAGCTTCCCAAGATCGCTCTCTCACTTCCCTCCTCTAAGTCCCTTAGTGCTCGAACCTTATCTAGTTCATCATGACAGCGCCGGAGTATCTCGAGCGATATAAACAGCTGGCTTCTATAGAACAAGATAAGAATATCCTAATCGAGGTAGCCGCTCAGCATCACAGTATCAAGTGCTCCATGTTGACGTTACACTCCCTGCACCTAGGAACTTTTGCAGCGTGTGACAGAGTTGGAGGCAGCCTTCCAGCAAGAGAAACTCGATCATGAACGTGAAACGCGGTTTAATCGTGATATCCAGCTTCATGAAATGGAGTTAATGCAGCATATCGCGAGGATCAAGGCCATAATGGTGGGACCTTTATAGTTCCGCAGCCTGGTCTGTGCTAACGATGCTCGTCCGCTTTTAGGACCGCGAGCCCTTCATAGTTGTGCTACTAGATGGAACTGGCATCATCTTCAGAGATGAATTTTTACAAAAGGGAGAAGAAGGTGGAAAGATTGCAGCCAAGAAGCTTGCTGTCGCCCTAAAAGACTATGTTGCCAGCAATTTCCCAGGCCTTGATGCTTCAAAGATAATCGCAAGGATGTACGTCAACTTAAAGGGCCTGAGTGAGATGTGTGTCCGAGGCGTCATTAGCACCGACCCATCATCAGTCGAGGGCTTTGCTAGGGGCTTCAACAATGGCCATCCACTATTTGACCTTGTGGATACTGGACTGGACAACGCACATGATAAGATCGCAGGTACGCATCGAGGCTCTTGTCCAAAGCACTTACATTGGTATTCAACTTACAACGATGCGCTGACCTACTGCTCGCCGTCTTCAGAGGCCTTCAGGGTCAACCTATATAACTGTCACTGTCATCAAATCTTCTTAGGATGCGCCGACACCAGTGCATATGCCCAGATTTTGGTGGATATAATGGAAGACATTGACCTTGTAGGAAGAGTAACCTTGATCGAGGGCGTCACCTTTGAAAAGGACCTAGCCAAAATCAAGGCCGCATACAGAGTCTCTCAGTTTCCGGAAATTCTCCGAAATACAAAAATAACACCTGTCTGGGCCCCATGGAAAGCCGCAGTGGCGTCCAAACCTCCTCCCGCTCTCACCCCATCACCGAAACCAGGCGCAGTGCCACTGTCACGAACCTCGACTAGCACGTCAACAAACGCCAGTACATCGCTGTCTTCCACGTCTGCAAGGCCGTCAAGCCCTGGAGAGTTCCAAGTGGTACAGTCGAAATCAGCTACACCCGCACGGCCCAAGATCGTTGAACGAAACAAGTACGGTCAACGTGTAGACCGAGTTGACTTTAAAAGCATACCACGAGAAGAACTGAACCGCCTCAAGAAACTGAAATTATGCAACCTTCATTACCTTCTAGGAGAATGTACAGTTGATAACTGTCAGCACGACCACTCGCGCAAGTTGACCAAAAATGAACTTTCAATCTTGTCCGCCATCGCCCGCATGACCCCCTGCCGATACGGATTAGAATGCGATGATCCGGAATGTACATATGGGCATCGATGCCCTCATGCAGAACCCGGGAAAAGGGACTGTTACTGGGGTTCGAATTGTCGATTTGATCCTGCCGCCCATGGCATCGACACCAATATCGTTAAATTAACTAAGGTCTAATATTATGGATATAATAGTTGGGGAAGCGAACGCCATTACCTCTTTTCAAGTTTGCAGCGCGAGACAGAACCTGCATTGCTCTAGCCACAAAAGTTGTGTTTTCCTTTGGCCTTTGTAATGACTTCGCGCAGATAAGATTGGACTCTCTTCACAAGTTTCTGGCCCATTAACATCGATATTCCTGTTTGCTGGCGTGCTTCCTACTTTTGGTTTTCCACTCCCTCGCGTATGGTACATATATGAATATCCCTAGCTTCGTTACTTAATCTGTGAGATTGCTATCAATATGACACTTTTGCCGACCCCTTAGCCGCTTTCGATATCCAAGTCATTCTATATCTTACTTTATCGATAATATTACCATATTCGGACTCTAGTTTTTTATAATCATTCAGTGTTACTGTTGCTGTGCATCACCGCAGGGTTGGGAGCAGAAATCTTTCAAATTTGTATACAAGTGTCCCCAAGACTCGAGTCCTCCGATGACCATGGCGCCAAAAGCAAAACAAAATCCCCTATGTATACAAAAGCAGACAACATCACATACTCCCAGAAGCCGCTTTGCAACAATGTATTAGGAAATAGTAGTAAGGAACATAGAAAAGCGCCTCTCCCATCCAAAGCAGTCATCATGGCTACAGCCATTCTCATCATCTTCATTATTAGTGTTGGTGTTCTCAGTATCAGAACGATGTCTGCAAAGAACACCATACTCTTGAATGCAGCAATTGAAAGGCCTGCATGAAACTGGGCCGAGGTCCTGTTTGCCATCGTGTAGGGCCGCTCTTTTGCGCTCCTCGAGGTCTCCCCATAAGATGAAGAGCTTTTCTCGGAGTTCTTTCAGATCGGTTTGGTTTTGTCTTAGACTAATGGACATAGGAAGAGTTATGGTTAGATAATCGACCTCACGGCGATCTTAGTGTCGATATGTGAGGGAGCCGAGATGACTTACTCAACTGCAGTCAGCCCTAATAGATACTCTGCATTTGGGCCAGCTACAAACAACCTCATCTGTTCTTTCGCTTGACCTGCGGGTGGAGGAGGGACGCTCTCCACGAGCAGACAGAAGCGCCATTCCCATCTAATGAAACGATCGGGATCTCTTTGAGAGGTACCCTCACCCGAGGAGTCTTCGGGGACGGAGAAGTCTTCCAGTCGTGGGGGGAAGAAATCGACCACGCGGACTGTGGTTCGGTAGCAGAAGTTTTGAAAGGGGAAGCGGTACTGTATGTTGTCATATGAGATGTTGTCATGAAGTTTGTTGGAAAGGATCGCTTCCAGGGACATTGTAGGGACGGACGGGCTGCCTGCTATGACTATCATAGACTGTTAATCAACTGTAAGATGCCCCAGTGGTTATTACTAAGACGGCATGACTTACTGTTTTCATTTGGCGCATATCGCTTGCTGCTTGCTGCTGTTATGGGAACTTGGCCTTCTTCCACCTTTTCGGCTTTCTTTCGCTGTTTCTTGGTGCTTTTCTTCGAAACCTGCTGGCCTTCGTTTTCGAGTTCCCGCTTCCGAGGATTCGCTTTCCAGTATTCCGTCCTACGCTGCAGAAATTGTTCGACAAACGTGTCTTTGCGACGATCCAGGGTGTGTACATTGACTGAATTTGGATTCGTGCGGTTTGTGTGGATACTGGCTTCTAATATCCCATTGATGCGACTGCGCTTGACATGCACATTGTATAGCTGGATGAGATCGTTATCCTTCAGATGTTGGCGCGCATAGGATGCATGGGGTTCCCAGAGTGTGATTGTGAGGGTCATCCGTCCAACTGGTCCTGTCCATTTCTTCTTGGGTCGTTTTTGGTAACCGTAGATATCTCCTTCAGTGCCAAAGTCATTGTCACCGGCATCGTTTATTTGGCGGTCTTCGAGACCATCGTTGGCCGTGTAATCGGTGAAATAGAGGACGACCTTTTCACTGTCGTTGGTATAGACCTTGACAATTTGCCCCACGAGGTCAACATAATTTCGCTCTACAATATCCTTGACAAGAGAAAGCCTCTTGTGCGGGTAAGGTTTGGAATTTGGAATTGCAGCCTGGACAATATAGGAGCCACGTGGAGTATCTTGTGCTGGAGCTTTGCGAAAACCATCGACTGCAGTGAGGCTATTCAACAAATTCAAAGCATGTATCTTCTCTGAAGGAGATGGCTCAAAGTGCGTAGGGCCACAAAGGGGCGCAGGGCTAGACGTGGGATCCGGGTCCAGGCGAAAGATTGCCCATGGTACTTCTCTGTCCTGGGCAGCGACTCCCAACGGGTCTCCTTTGAAGTTCCTTATCTGCAGTCAAAGCGTCAGTCTGTCACCGAGGAAGGGGTCAAGTCTTGCCTCACGAACCCACAGATCTCGTATCAGGATCACGTCGCGTAGTTGGACGGGAGGTAAATGGCTCTCATTGTCTTTGAAATATTTGATTTTCAACCCGTCCCATGTATGTCCGTTGTCAAGACCTGAGTCCTTGATGGTGAAGGTAATACAGCTGGACGAGCCTCTAGACTTCCATATTCCGCCGAAGACGTCGACTACGACGCCAATGACACTTACTTTGCCCTGCGTAGAGAGTGCGGTGGACACATCCACGAACCGGGAGGCATAGCCGCCTGACATGGTGTAAAATTACGTTATGTCGCACAATGCATAGTGATGCCACGGTAGAACAGAGCCTGATGCATCTAATGCATCCAATGCAAGATTGAGACGCCGTGAGTTCGGACCTCCTTGGCTATTGATATAGATAGAGAAATTACTAGAAGTAGTATTGTTGATCGAACCGCGAATAGATCGACGCGGGACCGGGTGGAGCAATTAGTAGTAATACACGTAAACAATGCATCCACCAGAAAGGCCCGAATTAGAAATGGCTAGCAAGACAGCTTTTTCCAGAACAGCGTCAGAAGGTTTCTCGATGAGTCTGATACAGTATAGATTAGAGAAACACGCAGAGGCGTTGAAAGGAAAAAGTAAGAGACAAGTCCGCGCCAACTTCGCTTAGGCGGAAGTGGCGCTTGCGGGCGGAGCTGGACGAAAACAGCAAATCAGCGGCGTCCCGTGACTGGGCAATCCCACCTCCGAAGAGCATCAACACTTTTTTCCCCTCCTTCTACCATCTCAGCTTTGCGCTTGTCCTTTCTTCCTTTGTCTAGCCTCTTTCTCTATCCCCTTATTTAGCTCGCTGGGATTCCCATCTCCCACATCTTGCTATCTATCTCACCTTCTTCTTTCCCCCCACTCTTTTTCTCTCCTCATCTCTTAAGCTAATCCACCCGGTTGTGGTGCGCTTTGTTTTCACCCCTCTGTGTCCCAAGCAACCATGGCCGAGCGCTATATCCCCGAACATCGTCGCACTCAGTTCAAGGCCCGGAACCAGTTCCGGCCTGACGAGCTTCGTCGTCGTCGTGAGGAACAACAGGTTGAGATCAGAAAGCAGAAGAGAGATGAGAATTTGGCCAAGAGGAGAGGTATCCAGACCCGCGATGGCGGCATTGGCGTGGGCGGCGGCGTAGCTGCCGAGAGTGATGATGAGGCCAGCGCCATCGAGAGTGAGGTATGCAGTTCCTGCATTTCTTTTTTGTTTGTATCTCATTGTTCGATCTCTTTGTTCCTTTCCCGACCGGGAGCTGGGCCCATCGGCTGCCCGTTTTCGAATCTTTCTTTCTGGTCGCTCTTGCTTGTCCAGATGCGTCCCAGCGAGAGCTTTTCACCGCTTTGCCGCCGGGCGAGCCCTCATTCGGCTCTGACTGGACAAGCACACGACCAGCATCATCAAGACTCCCTTCGCGCTCAGCCAAGATGTATTCATTACTGTGCAAAATAGCTAATGGATGGTTTTCTAGCTTAATGTGGAGCTCCCCGAGATGGTTAAGGGCGTCTTCTCCGATCAGATCGACCAGCAGATCCAAGCCACCACCAAGTTCAGGAAATTGCTCTCCAAGGAGCGCAACCCCCCCATTGAGCGTGTCATCGAGACCGGTGTCGTGAGCCGCTTCGTTGAATTCCTCCGATCCCCCCACACTCTTGTTCAGTTCGAAGCTGCTTGGGCTTTGACCAACATTGCCTCTGGTTCCGCCCAACAGACCCAGGTCGTTATCGAGGCTGGTGCTGTACCGATCTTCTGCGAACTCCTGAGCAGCCCTGAACCCGATGTTCGTGAGCAGGCCGTCTGGGCCCTTGGTAACATTGCGGGTGACAGCCCTCAATGCCGTGACTTCGTTCTCAACGCCGGTGCTCTGCGTCCTCTGCTGAACCTCATCAACGATGGCCGGAAGCTGAGCATGCTGCGCAACGCTACCTGGACCCTGAGCAACTTCTGCCGCGGCAAGACGCCTCAGCCTGATTGGAACACTGTATGTCATCCTATCTGCTCATCCTAACGAGCTTTTGTCGCTAACATTGGATTTCAAAGATTGCCCCCGCTCTTCCTGTCCTTGCTAAGCTCATCTACATGCTTGATGATGAAGTCCTGATCGATGCTTGCTGGGCCATCTCCTACCTGTCTGATGGCGCCAACGACAAGATTCAGGCTGTCATCGAGGCCGGCATCCCTCGCCGTCTCGTCGAGCTCCTCATGCACGCCTCGACCTCGGTCCAGACCCCCGCTCTCCGGTCGGTCGGTAACATCGTCACTGGTGACGACGTCCAGACCCAGGTCATCATCAACTGCGGTGCTCTTCCCGCCCTCCTCGCTCTGCTGAGCTCCACCAAGGACGGTATCCGTAAGGAGGCGTGCTGGACCATCTCCAACATCACTGCTGGTAACTCCAGCCAGATCCAGGCTGTCGTCGACGCCGGCATCATCCCTCCCTTGATCAACCTGCTGGCGAACGGTGACTTCAAGACGCGTAAGGAGGCCTGCTGGGCCATCTCCAACGCCACCTCCGGTGGTCTGCAGAAGCCTGACCAGATCCGCTACCTCGTGTCCCAGGGATGCATCAAGCCCCTGTGCGACCTTCTTGCTTGCCCTGACAACAAGATCATCCAGGTTGCTCTGGATGGTCTGGAGAACATCCTCAAGGTCGGCGAGATGGACAAGGAGGCTGGCCAGTCTGAGGCCAACGTCAACCGCTACGCT